TAACATGATAACAGAAAAATACTATCATGACAACAAGTCTGTATCTATTCTTCTTAGAGCAATGCAATTTTGTCAGTACATTCATCAGTGCAGGATATATCTCACCGATCTCTGCAATTGCCAATAATGGCCAGAAACTTCATTAAATGGTATTTATTCTAACTGTAGTAAAATGTCATTTTTTTTTGTGAATATAATGCTATATATATATAGTATCTTGTCCTTTGAGTACACTTATAGTTTGTATTATTTTGTAAAACCTAAAACCTGTACAGATAGTGTACAGTAATTTCAGTTTGAACTCCTTAAAGTAAGAATATACGCGAAACTTATACCAGTACGAGCTACTCGATGTTAAATAATGTGCCATGAAGGAACCAAACTTAAAGAACAGCAGGAAATTGCCATATTAACACTACAACATATGCTGCCAATCAGGGATATGCCAGCACTCTAACCAACATAGCAGCCACGGTAGAACGCCTCCAACAGCAACTGAAATATTCACATAACAGAAGCGGCCAAAAACGAAGTAACCAAATGTGAAAGTGGCATAGAAAATATGCTCACTACAACCCCAATAATGTCTATTGTTAAACCAAACACAGAAACTCATAGTAGGACAAAACTATGCAGTACCGTAGCTCAAAAGCACAAAACCTCCATATTTTGATATCACGACTTAAAAAAATGTATTAAACATTTTTTATTTTAGATGCTAAGCGAAATAGCAAAAAAATCTTTTTTTCTCAGTTTTTTGAAGGACAACGTTCTTTAATTAAAAAGTGTGGACTTTTGATGGCGTTTGTTTAGAATAATATTTAATATCTATATATATACCTATATAAATGCTTGGATTTATTTGCAAAGGTAATTGAGTTCTGCATTAAAAATATCACGCTGAATTTAAATTTGAAAAATCCGATTTTAACTCACATAAGCAGTCAAATTATTTCACAAAAAAAATGTTACAGAAAATTCTTAATGTTAAAATCAAATATTATAGTTTACGAAGAAAATATGAGAAATGTAGCATGTAGTTAATTTTGTAAATTGTAATTTACTTTAGAAACAGATAAAGACAATTTACGAGATATTTTAAGACACAAACATGTGAAGAAAATAAAAAACCTATAGAAACGTTTAACAATTATGAATTACAACAATTTTTAATTATTATTTGGCTGACCATACAACTGTCAAATTTGAGTTTTGCCAAATATCCATCGTCAGTGACTTTTTGGAAATATTTCTTCTTCTTAATTATTTGTAAATAACTTTTGAGACTGTGAGTACAAAGGGTCGAACTTGAACCCTGTCAAATATAAAGCTCAGAGTCAGATTTAGATATATGGATAGATACATAAATTCATTTTAATAATTAAACACAAAGTTTTTTTTCTATTATTTTACTGCACAAAATTTCCATTGAATATATGCGAAAAAGACTGGTTAAATGCAAACCAAAAAATATTTGAAAATTGTGAACTAAAAATGTAAAGAGTTCTTCACAAAACTAAAAGAAGATTAAAAAAAATTTGTAGAAAAAAGTTGTAGAATTTTTGTCGATGAAATCCTTGTTCACACCACTGTGCGCCGATTATACATGAAGAGTGCAAATGCAGATGCGCTTACCCCTAGAAACCACCATCTGCATTTACGTTAATTTACCCATTTCACAGCATCCTCGCCTGCTTGCAATGCGTTGTTTCGTTTTCATTATTGTTTTTGTGTGCTTTTGTTTATTTTCGTTTATTTTCGTTTGCTCTTGTTGTGGCACAATTTAATGCTCTCAGTTATGGTGCGCATTTCTGTGGGCCTTCATGAATCTGCTGACTCCACTATATCTACTGCATCTACTGACTGCACTGACTAAACTAACTCTGCTGACTTTACTGCTCTCATCCGTTGCTCGACTGTAACTGAATGAAGTGAATTTTTAAGTTCAGTGAACGTAAATAATGACAAACAGCGTTGTTAGTGGCGAGCGGCGTCACATTTTGCCAAAAGGCTCAGCTCGTAAATTCAAACACTGAAGTTATGTGCTTTTACTTCGGTTTGTATGTACGCCTGTATGTGCGTAAGCATGTGCGTGCACATACTAGAAACATGTTTTCTTACGAAACAAAAATGGATGCCGGAAATGTCGAGCAAGGATGATGTTCTGCTATAGCTTGCATAAACTTAAACGCTTACAACGACTTTATTGGACTTAATTATTTAAAATAAGCAAAATGCTTTTAATTATTTTTTGAAATTTCATTTTACACTTTAGCATTGTCATCATTTGATCTCATTTGTTAAATATGTTAGAACCTGTTGACCTGATTTCAATTTTGTGTATTTACACGACTATTTAGTATTTCTTTTGCATTTGCTCATTAAGAGCATGAATGAAACAAAAAAATTTTAAACTATTATCTTTTGCATATTACATTTATTTTTATGGCAATTGTAATATGATTTTCTCACTTCCTTTAAAAAGAAACATAACTTTCTACGTCTAATAGAACATTTGAAAAATTTTACAGACTTTTGATCTTATAATACAAAAAATCAGCGAGTCGAATAACTTAATTTCAAATTTTGGCAGGACACAAGTTCTATTCCTGGTACTTACAGTTTTAAAAAAACTATTTACAAATAATTAAATACAAGAATTATACTCAAAACAGCTGTATGGTCAGCGAAAAAATTCAATTAAGTAAAATAATATAATATGAATTTTAGTTGTTGTAGTTCACTACTGTTCCAAAAAACCTCTTTATTAAACAAAAACATTTGAAAAAGTTATATATTTGTATTTTTAAGAGAACAAAATTTTTGTATCAGATTGAATTACATTCGATAATTTCACTGCTTCAGGCACTAAACAACGTATTATCAAACACCACAAGCAAAATTGAGTGATATATGTAATCATGTAATCATCCCAATGCTCTACACTTTATGAAGAATTATCTTATCCTTATCTTATAGCCGAAATATTTATAACTTGAATAAAAGTATTAACAATTTTATTATAATTGATACAAAATATGAGAAACTAAAATCTTACATTTCTAATTTATACATATTATATAAAACAGTCACATCAGCTCTTAGTCACACGCAATTTGGTTACTCAAAAAAAAAATTTCCCAATTTCCATCTATAAATATACTCCCACTCATAAATCATACACAAAACTGAAAAATGTTTTCTTTCTTAAATGTTTTCAGACTTGGCTTCGTTAGCTAACTTTAAACGAATTTTTCTTCTCAAAACCTTTTTGTTCTCGCAACATTAATTTTAACTAAATGAAAAAACCATGAGATATAACAGAAATCAGATATATGTGCCAACAGTTTAAGTTAGCTTAGAAAGAAACCATTCCTAGCAAACATTCAAAAAAAATTTTAAAAGTTTTTTCTCTTCCTTATGTTGAAAGTCACTAAAAATGTTATTTATGGTCAAAAGCTGCAAGCAGAGTAGTCAGAAAAAAATGGAAACTATTAAAATAAGAAAAAAATATATTCACACAAAAATAGGAAAAATGCACAAACCACATCTGCGATTGCTGTACGACCTAAGGGAGTTGTCATCAACAGCGCATAGTTGATCTGGAAAGCTGCATGTCAACTGGTGTCGTTTGTGAGGTAGTAACATAAAAAGCACTGTTTAAAGTCTTTCAAATATACTTTAACATAGGCTTCACGACCCCGAAAGACCAACTATTGCAAGAACTTTCTTAGTAAAAAAGTATCATCAATGCGGCGAGCACTGCAACACCAGGCTTAGCGCTGTTGCACAATAAAGTTGACGGGATAAACTGCAGAAGGCATGGGATCGTTCTACGTTCCCTTAACAACACCGAAACATGAGCAAAAACGTTGGGTTCTTTTGCACAGTGAAACATGGTCGCAATTTGTAAAATTCGCAAATAAACACACATATAACACATTCACACACATTTGTGCAATAGGAGCATGCATTCGAAGCTGACATCTAGTACCACTCAAAGTCGTACAAAAAAGATTCAAAAGCACACAAATAAATGCTACGATTACTGTTTGTGGTTATTTTACTGTCGACAGTGTTGCCACACTTTTTTAGGTGTAATGTTTTTGGTATTTGTTTTACAGTTTTTAGTCTTTTTTTATATAAATTTTTGCGGTGACTTTATGTGCTGAGTTCAGAGATGCAGTATTTGTGATGTTCAGGAATTAAGTACTTGCTAACGCTTTTTTCACTATTTTCACTTTCTGCATCGCCCCGACAAAACCAACCTTAAAGTATTTTCTCTACAATTAGGAAATGGTTTAGTTGGGTTTGCTTAAGTTTCGCGTGGCTTACTTTGGTTATTGCTTTACATGGCAATGCATATAAATTTGTTTATAAGAAATATATATATACAAATTAAAGGAAAATGAAAAGAGAATTTCACGTGTTCACATAAAAAAAAACATACAATATCTAAAAAATAAAAATTTTTGAAAATTTTAAACTTTTCTCAAAAATTTAAAACGAATAATTTGTTCGTTTTAGAGCTTGGATAGTGTTTATTCCTTGTTGAAATCACCCAAATTAAATTAAATATTAAATAAGCATATAAATAAAAACATATAGCATTACAGACCCATTTGTAATACTCAATGTGATATCTACATTAAAATTGAAATTTAGTTAAACTTTTACATTTTAAATGGAGTTTATTTTTTATTAATAAAATTTAAATAGTGAACGCCTTACACACTAGGTAGTTATAAATATTTTAAGTTTTTTATACTAAAATTACGTATCAAATTTTGATGGTTTAAATTATACCCATCAAAACCAAATATACATATATATAATTGCACACAAAATTAAAAATGACCAAATGATATAATTAAATTATAAATACTATAATGCTATGTTTAGCATGTATTATTTATAATAATAATTTTAAGAAAGTACAAACCTCTTAACATTAAAGATTAAATAGTAATGATATTGATTCATTTGGTGTAATTACTAAAATGACAAGAACCACAAATGTTACTCATACGCTGCGTTATACTATGCCATCAATTAAGTATTTATTCCGCGGTTCCACAGAATTCTTAGGTCGATTAGAATTTCTAATACAATGTTCTTAAAATCACGATTATGAATATCGTTAACTATTACTTGATCCATTCATCGTTATTCACTTTGATCTTAGTAATAATAATACTACCTATACCATCCATTAACAATCATTTGGCAAAATTTTAAATCAAATAGATAAAATTTTATTGGTACACCTCATTCCAGAAAAAATATCATCATTACACTAAATACTCTTTCTTATTATAGCGAAGCCATAAATTTGATTAATTAGAATTCGTATGTATATGGTATATATATCTGAAATCAAGATAAATTCCACGAAAATGTTTTTTTTTTTTGTTATTTATAAAAATATAATTTATCCGATACTTTGATAGTTAACAGAAGGTGGTAAAAAGAAAAATACTGAAAATGAAGGATTAAGAACTCGACGTAATGACGAAATTTAGAACCCAACAAAGTTGGTGAAAACTTTGTTGAATATATGAAATCTCAAAGGTTGAGCTAACTTGGGTATGTAGCTGAAGTGAACTCTACAAAAATCAGCCTAACATTATGAGAAACAGCGTAAAGACGATTGAAAGTTACCAGAGAGTTTTTACGAAAGAAAGTCCCGTATGAAATCGAATTGTACTGCAAAATTATGTTGGATGATGATGATAATTTATTTACATTTGAAGAAAGTTATTTAAAATATTATTGTAATGAAATATTTTCAAATGTATGAATCTGTTTTGTAAACTCTGCTGAAACTCGGATGACGGGCGAAAAGAATTTGTCTTCATAGCATAACACTATATAATTTAAATTTCTCAGTTGCAATTAGTATTTATGCAAAATATCGAAAAGTAAACTTTTGTAGATACAAGTTTTGCGGTTGTGTTGACAATTCACTAATTGCACACAAGAACACAAGCACATTCTTGTCCTGGCTGTGTGCAGATGCATTTCAAACCAGCATACAATTCCATTTCATTATTCCACATTACAGCACTTACTCTTTCCATTATCAACCCAGCATAACTATTCGAACTATTTCTACCACAAATGATGCAATCGTTTTGAAATAAAATTGATTTGAATTTCATTTCATCTCATTTCACTTTTTTGTCATTTACAGAGATTTGCGTTTCAATCACTTTGAAGAGTTGCCAGCAAATGCATTTGAGGGCCTTTCTCAGGTAGCAACGTTGTTTCTAAATGAAAATGAGATTGCCTTTCTTCAGGATGGTGCACTAAATGGACTTGTGGCGATGCGGTTTCTATATTTGAACAATAATCGTATTAGCCGCTTACCCATGCATGCCTTTCAACAGTTGAAGCATTTGGAAGCTATGTAAGTCGAATAATAAAAATCTGATAAAAAGTTACCTATTTTCCTTTTGCTTCTACCCGGCTTTTACTCCATTTTGATCCTATTGCACAAACACAAAAATGAAGCTGAACGAGATGAAGGGCAAAAAATGATATAATAGAAATTATTCTGTTTCAGTTTCATCTTGATATATAATTATCATATTATAGAATATTTTTTCATTTACTTCTTTTGTTTGAAGCTATTTGCAGAATAATGACATCTGGCAAATTGATGTTCATACATTCAACAACTTACCCAATCTAAATCGCTTGTAAGTATCCAATTTAGTAACAAATAAGCAGACAGATTTGCATACTTATAAACTCTCAGTTTGAAGTAGAAATATTATGTACTGATTCATCTTTGATTATTTTTCTCATTTTCTATTTATTAGATTCCTATTTAACAACAAACTGACAAATATCCCAGCGGAAGCGTTTTCCAATTTACCAAGTCTCAAGCGTTTACGGCTTGATGGCAATCCAATCGATTGCGATTGCAGCATTTATGCACTTTGGCAGTACCATCGACGTCTTCCTCAACGTCAACAAATAACAATCAGTTTAAATTGTGAAACTCCGGCAGAATTGTATGGTCGCGATTTTTCAAAATTGCAGGAGGCACAATTTCATTGCAGTAAGTTAATAAGGTCACAATATTATGACAGCGGAGAATTGGTAGGGTAAACTGTACACGTAGTAATATTTGTGGAAATGTATCCTTAAGGATACATTTAGAAATACAACCGAATTACTTTGATAGTCAGTGGAATGGTTTAGTATCACTTGGTATATTATTATTTATTGATTCAAAAATTCATAAAGCACTTACAAAAGTTATAGAATTTTACTTAAAATCTTAATTGACAATAATATATATATTGTGTGTTAGATTGACATACAAATAGTGGTGCATATTATTAACATTATTATTCATATAAATTCATTAATAATTAATCTTCTGTAACTTGAAACACTTTTCATAAATTTGTACAGATTATAAATATTGCTACCACTTAATAGGACTTTAACTTCTTCTTGATAAAAAAAAATACGTCTATGTTCTCTGAAAATTGGGCATACACATATATTCTCTATTACATGACGATTACACAAAGAACAATCACGTTCAAATATACTAGATTTTCTACCATTCAGTTTAAAAAGACTGTCTCTATATTTAAGAAGTAGGTCGATATGTGCTGAGTGTTTACGTAACAAAAATTATGCATAATATCATATTGCAGCTGTGGGTACATGTCATGCGATCCCGACCTAGCATTCGCGACAAAGGAATCTTGTTCACTCCGTTTGAATAAAGTTATAATATTATTGTGTAATAATTTAAGATTCATACTTCGAATACTGGTTATTGAAAGTCCTAATTCTAAACATATATTTTCCCAATCTTTGGCCCAATACATGCCTTTGTCAATTGTAAGTTCAGCTAGTATTCGAGGAAGCCTTATGGAGAAAAGATTAAGACTTTTTCTAACATAGGTGAAATGTGTACTGTGTCTACAAACTGCGTTGATAAACCCGTTTCTAAGTGGAGCATATAGTTTGAGGTGTTACCACTTGGTATATATAAAGAATGTTGGTATATGTAAAGAATGTTGCTAAGAAAAACCTAACTTTTACAGCTGCAAAAATAACAGATCATAAAAATATATGTTTTTTGAATTCTACGAAAAATGTTATAAAAGAAATTTTTTTACTGTAAACTAATGTTATAGTTATTGTATTTATAAAGAATAAAACAATCACAGTTAGTGACTGAAAATCACGCAACCTGGTTGAAAATCATTGTCTATTGATTTTGTTGCGCATTGATTATATGTGATTATCGATAATAGTGTTTCTATTATTACGAACAATGAGTGTTTCAGATAATGAGAAGTAGTGGATATTTATATATATTAATACGTGTTAATTCGTTTTTGACAGATTGCCACATCTTCTTCACTTATCGTCTGCTACGTTAGGATCAATGATGTACTTTAATAGTTTCTCATTGGTTTTACTTGATCCTGCTACTATAACGTTTTGAGTTAATCATTTAGAAGCAACGTGTTTCTTTATTAGAATCAACTGCTCTTAATTCGCTGTCGTAATTACTTTGCTGTAAGAGAATAGAGAGAGCGAAAAGATTTTATAAAAAATATTTAGTAATCATCATGCAATGACTTACGCCCGGACATCATCACCTAATTGTCAAAAATTGTTTATAAAATCAGTTCTAAATAATAGATACGCAAAAAGTGCTTCATTAATTTTACGAACAACATAATCGACCAACTAAGTCATTTACATAAAAATGCTAAAAAATTTTCATATCACGTTCACTCTTTTCGGAACTAAACTATTATCAAAAATTCGCACAAATGAAATCTATGGATGTTGTAGAAAATTTTGTGCAATAACTCAAATCTTACAAGATTCCATTGACTTAAGAATATCATTCTAAGTTCAGAGAAAATGATAAAGACCGAGAGTTTACCAAAAAGAAATTTTTATTATGATATATGATAATTTAAGATACTTACTTCTTTGTAAAAAAAATTCATATGATTAGATATTTTGAATTAAGCTCCATTGTATATTATTTTTCTAAATTTTCAAATTCCATTTTTTATTCGAATTTTCTAGAAAAACCAGAAATTGTCGCTGCACCGCATGATATGCGTCTCAATGCAGGTGACACAGTTGAATTACCATGTCATATGACAGGTGACCCAAAACCGGAAATTATTTGGATGCAAAACACAAACGAAATCTCACGTGATTTTTCAGCACGAATGCAAATACTACCAACAGGAAACCTGAAAATAAATTCAGTCATTCCCAATGATATTGCCATATATGAATGCATCGGACGAAATGAAGTAGGTGAAACCAGAACTCAACCTATTCGTGTGATGGTTGAAAATGACATTGGCGATACCAGTGCACAACATCTATCATTGCCCTTGATACAGAACGAATTCGATATGGATAAACCTCCGCATTTTATTCACTCGCCAATGGATCAAATTGTTGCATTAAATGGTGATGCGGTAATGCTTGATTGTGTTGCCACAGGTGTGCCTCAGCCAGAAACGCAGTGGTTTTTTAATGGACGCCTCATTGCACACTCGACTGAAACTGTTCGTCTACAAACAAATGGTAGCTTACAAATTCTACAACCAACACTAATGACTGCGGGAACATATCGTTGCGAGGCAACTAATCATTTGGGCACTGCTCAAACCAGTGCCAAAATTGATGTGCGAGGTAGGATACTTTTTTAGATGTTTAATCTATCGAAATATTGCAAACAGTCAGCGCACATATTTGCTTTTTAAAGAAACATAATATTTAAAATAATATTGTTATAATATTGATATAATATAAATATGTGAAAAATTCATAACAAATTGTTAAAAATGTCGTAGAATGGTCTGGGGGCTCGGAGAATTTGCTTTTGGATTTTTAATTTTATCTTAAAATAATTGCTTTATTAACTGAAATATATGTTTTATATTTTCAGAGCTACGCTTCTACTAGCAAATACGTATTTATCTAAAAGCAAATGTTTATTAGAGACACACAAGTTCATATCAAAAGTATCTGTTATTTGCGTCAAAATTTACAATTCCTTTTTTATATGCTTATTTGCTTTTAACTAAAATATCAAAGAATTTGAACACCAATCACCGCTATTATAAAGCGGATGAGTAACTTGTAATAACACTTTTTGCTTCTTAATTAAAATTTGTCCTTCATTAACCCGGCCTATTAATAAAATTAAACAAGCGCTAAAAAATCAACACAAAATCGAAAAAAAAAATAAACAAGAAATAAAATTAGTATAACCGAAACTGCAGTATCCTTCACACAAATAGTTTTGTTGCAAAAGCTCATAAATATTTATAAATATAAAATTATAAGAATTAAATACGAGAAAAACTTACAACTTATAGAATAAAAAACCATTTTCTTTAATAAATCTATATATAACTTTTTTATAGAACTTCCTGAAATATTGATTGCACCACAAAATCAAATCGTAAAAATGGGTAAGTCAATTATGTTGGAATGCGATGCAGACGGTAATCCTATACCAACAATTTCGTGGCAAGTGAACGGTCAGCGTATTATTAAAAGCAAACGTGTTTTGCTTGAAAACGAGAATACCGAGCTTATTATCGAACAAGCAACTGAAGAGGATACAGGTAAACTAAACGGGCATTCTTAAAAAATTATATAAAATGGAATATATTAAGCATATAGTTCTATATGTATATTTATATATTCAAAAAACAATTTTTACAATAACAACAGGCATATACACTTGCACAGCAGAAAACGAGAATGGGAAATCCACGGCCAAAGCTACAATCACTGTGGAACGCATTGACAGTGCGCCCATACTTTTAATTGAACCATTTGATTTAGAGGCAATAACTGGTACCACAATCGAATTGCCATGTAAAGCTGATGAACACGAAGGCATTCAGGTAATCTATATGCACAAGCACCAATATCTGTGATCAACATACTTGTAAACCAAATATATACAATTTTATGCAGCTAACATGGCGTCGGGATGGACGACTAATTGATCCAAACGTATTATTAAAGGAAAAGTATCAAATTAGTGGCACAGGCAGCCTTTTCGTTAAAAATGTTACCATATTCGATGGAGGACGTTATGAATGCTCGGTAAAGAATGAATTTGGACGTGCAACCGCCTCTGCTTTAATTACTATTAAGTAAGAAACTTAAATTTTAATATTAATTTATTTGTCACTTCCTTAAAATCCTTCACTCGCAACAAATTTAAAGAAATACAATAAGCACAATAGTGCTTATTGTATAATTATCTTTAATTCATTTACGATTGCTTGAGTTGAGATGACCGTCATTTCACTACCAACCCACCACCCAAACAAATTGACTCTTCAACAAACTTGCATAAAAAAAACTATATTAAAACTAATTTCTCTATTAGCATTTTTTAATTTTATTCATGCACAGAATTTTTCATTGTACAAACTTCGACAAAATTTTTCACATGACCATCACAAACTTAAATGGGCCAGCTTAACTGGAAGGTAGCAATAACTGTTCTCTAATAAAGTGTATACTATTTCAATAACAGAAGTAATGATTGCAAACTTCAATATAACCATGATATTGGTTTTCCTAATTACAGCTTCGAGTACATATTAAGTACAGTTCTGTTAAAATTATCAACAGATTACATACTATATAAGATCACTCCTTTTAATATGTGTATATTCTTGTTTGTATCAGCAAAACTTATATGACGTATATTATATGTAACCTATTTCATTAAACAATATTTTAATGGATTTTTTTTTCAGAAATAATGAAGATTTGGCGCCCGGTGATCGTTATGTAAGAATTGCTTTTGCGGAAGCTGCTAAGGAAATTGATATTGCTATCAACAACACAATAGATACTCTTTTTAGCAGCCGTAGTCGTTCTACATCTCCTCCAAATTATAGTGACTTACTACGCGTTTTTCGATTTCCTACTGGTGAGGCCCGTCAATTGGCTCGTGCTGCCGAAATTTATGAACGTACACTGCATAACATACGTAAACATGTACATCGCGGCGATAATCTAACCGTTGAGAGCGATAAATATGAATTCAGAGACTTGTTGTCTCGTGAACACTTGCACTTGGTTGCTGAACTATCAGGTTGCATGGAACATCGTGAGATGCCCAATTGCACGGATATGTGCTACCATTCTAAGTATCGCAGCATAGACGGTACTTGCAACAATCTGATGCATCAAACATGGGGCGCTTCTTTAACCGCTTTTCGACGCATTTCAAAGCCAATTTATGAAAATGGATTCAGTATGCCAATTGGGTGGATGAAAAATAAAACATATGCGGGATATCCGAAACCAAGTTCGCGCTTAATATCGACTACTCTAATATCCACAAAAGAAATTACTCCTGACGATAGAATTACACATATGGTCATGCAATGGGGACAGTTTCTGGATCATGATTTAGATCATGCAATTCCATCCGTCAGCTCCGAGAGTTGGGATGGTATTGATTGTAAGAAAACTTGTGAGTTTGCACCGCCCTGCTATCCAATCGAAGTGCCACCAAACGATCCACGCGTCAAAAATCGACGTTGTATAGATGTTGTACGTTCCAGTGGAATCTGTGGTTCTGGAATGACATCAGTATTTTTTGATAGTATACAACATAGAGAACAAATTAATCAACTTACGTCTTATATAGATGCATCTCAAGTTTACGGTTTCAGCTATGCTTTTTCACAAGAACTTCGTAATCTAACTACTGATGACGGACTGTTACGAGTAGGTGTGCATTTTCCAAATCAACGTGACATGCTACCATTTGCCGCTCCACAAGATGGAATGGACTGTCGTCGCAATCTGGACGAGAACACAATGAATTGCTTTGTAGCAGGTGATATACGTGTTAACGAACAAGTAGGTTTGTTGGCCATGCATACTATTTGGATGCGTGAACATAACCGTATTGCTGTAAAATTACGTGATATTAATCCGCATTGGGACGGTGACACTCTTTTCCAGGAGGCACGCAAAATAGTTGGCGCTCAAATGCAACATATTACATATAAGCATTGGTTGCCACTTATAGTGGGACAGAGCGGTATGAGTATGCTTGGTGAGTATCGCGGATATAACCCAAATGTGAATCCGACAATTGCCAATGAATTTGCGACTGCAGCGTTACGATTTGGACACACAATCATTAACCCAATACTTGAACGTTTAAACTCCACATACCAACCGATACAAGAGGGCCATTTATTATTACATAAAGCCTTCTTTGCACCATGGAGACTCGCTTATGAGGGCGGTGTAGATCCTTTGATGCGTGGTATGTTTGCTGTGCCTGCTAAATTAAAAACTCCCGATCAAAATTTAAATACGGAACTGACAGAAAAGCTTTTCCAAACTGCACATGCAGTTGCTTTAGACTTGGCTGCTATTAACATACAACGTGGCCGAGATCATGGTATTCCAGGCTATAACGTTTATCGCAAATTTTGTAATTTAACTGAAGCAAAAACATTCGAAGACTTACGACTTGAAATTAGTGATGCTGAAACTCGTAGAAAACTAGAAAAGCTTTATGGACATCCAGATAATATCGATGTTTGGGTTGGTGGTGTTTTAGAAGACCAGGTTCAAGGAGGCAAAGTGGGACCTCTCTTCCAATGCTTATTAGTTGAACAATTTCGACGTTTACGCGACGGAGATCGCTTCTACTATGAAAATCCAACAGTTTTCTTACCGGAACAATTACAGCAAATAAAACAAGGCAGCCTAGCACGTGTACTTTGCGACAGTGGTGATAAAATTGAAGAAATAAATGAAGATGTTTTTATATTGCCAAAACATCAAAACGGTTTTATGAAATGCCAGGATGTAAATGGTATTAATTTATACTTTTGGCAAGATTGTGGAAGTTGTAGTAGCTTACCTCCTTTATTAAATAGTTATGTGCCACAAACTTATGAAAAATATACGCGTAGAAAAAGGGAAGTACTTGCCGAAGAAGAAATACAGATACCACCGATGATCAACAATCATCTGGAAACCTTAATAGATAACAACGAAGAACGTGTCAGTGGTATTGAAGACATCATAAGTAGTTTCCAAAGAGAACTCAAAAAACTACATAAAAAGCTTAAAAAACTTGAGAACCAATACAACAATGACGGCAGTACCGACGACAACGTAAGCTATATGCTCAAACCAAGAAGAAACTATTGTACTGAACAAAATGGAACTACACGCCTCAACAATGAAGTATGGACTCCTGATTACTGTACCAAATGTGAATGCAGACACGCACAAATTACTTGCACTCGCGAAAAATGTGGAGATGTCGTGTGCGAAAGTGGAGTGGTTCCAATAACGTTTCCAGATGCTTGTTGTCCACACTGTCCAAAACTAGTTCAAGGAAATGAGTTAAAAAGACCTTAAATAACGATAGCACAAAAGTATACGTGTAACATAAAATCAAACATGAAAACTGAAAACTGAAAACTTACTCAATGCTAAGACAAATCTAATTCAATAGCAAACAACAAACAATCAAACATACAATTTGCTTCTTATTATAAAAAATCAAACATAAATTAGAAGGCTAATTGAAACTTGAATAGTTTATTTGCATTCATTAGGTCAAAATCTTACCAAAAATATAATGTCCGAGACTGTAAACACCAACAATATATACATGAAAGTGCTAACATACAACATCTACAACGACAATTAAATTTGTACCTATTTACTTAACTGTTTTTTTATCTTATCACCGTTGCCATTTAGCATAAATAAAGCTTTACTCCTAATCTATAAAAAACTTAGTTATTAATCTCCAGCACTTAAACCAAAAAAAAACATACTAACTCACATGTCAAAACCAATATTACCAAAGTAGCAGTCAAAAAATAAAAAATATTATAAATAAATAAATAAATTGTTTTATTGTATACTGATCTCAACAATAATTAAGCTTAAAGCATTTTAACTACCTTATGAAAATTTAACAAAAAACACATTATTAAAAATCTACAAATTTTGTTTGTGATCCTTTTGCTATAACAGAGCCATCTTTTTTGTGTCGTAATTCGCACTCAATAAAAGCCAGCTTCTTACCAGCCTTTATTGTATTTGCATCTATAATGACTTCATCACCTTTCTTGGCAGCTTTCATATAACTTACGTTTATATCGACAGAAACTCCAGCATGACAAGGTTTCGACATGAGAGCGTAAGTTGTGATCTGAAATATAAAACTACCATATTTTATGTTCTATGACATGTGTATATACTAACCATATCGATTAATGTTGCTGTAAATCCACCATGCAAGCCTCCACCCCTATTCAAGTGTTCTTCAGAAACTGTAAATTCCGCAGTACATCTACCATCACCGCCATCTGTAATTTTTACCTAAAAAATTACAATATTATAGTTTTTATCTCTAAATTTAATATTTATATAAGTAGTTATTATATTTTAGCTCTAGGACCTGGGTAGATTAAGATTTTCTTCCCCGTGTCGCTCCAATTTTCCCTGCTTTAAGCTATTCTCTAGTTTTTCAATTCATCTTCAAAAAAGCTAATTAATCATTAACGTAGGGGTCAGCTATTTCTTGCGGTTTTAATAGTGACATCTGTTCTTACAACATAGTCAACCCATATTATACTCTGTCATTTCATTGATCTTTGATCCTCTGACCAGAAGGTATTTTTGTGTTTTGCTCAATTTATTGCTTACACGCCTCTAATCTCGGCTGAAAGCCAATAACATATTTAAGAGGCTTTTATAGATACTCCTTGGCACTGCGCATTATTACACATTTTTTTTCTTACCTGTACTTCTTCATTACTTTGTCGGTATCACATTTGATATATTTTTCCTTTTGTTTTGCTATTCTTAATATCACTTTTCTTAGTATCATTTTAACTAACTTAAGCTTTGATTTTCACTGCCTCTATTGTAAGCTCCTAATTTTACTTCCGTATCTTACCTTATCCCTTCCCAATAGCGAATATATCTACTATTTTGTATAAGATATTTCGTTGTCATTGTCAGTCAAAATTTAACAGATCTGAAGGTCGTTATATATAGACATGGACTTTGTAAAGACTTTTCAGTTAATTTCAATATTAACATTAGGTCTTATTTATATAGTACAAGTTGTTCAAGAAACCGAAATTTAATTTCACATAAAATTAACTATAGTGATATCTTTAAAAATAATCCTAAATAAGGAGTTTTTGAGAGGTGTAAAGTAAAATAGCCATTTAGATATCAAATTAAAGGATATTGAATGGTATATAAAACTAAAAACCAAAGGTGTAAAGCTATTCAACCGTTTAGATATCAAATTAAAGGATATTGAATGGTATATAAAACTAAAAACCAAAGGTGTAAAGCTATTTAATTCAACCGTTTACAGGCTTTTAACTTTTTTCTTTATTAAACTAACAAATCATATCCAAACTTTACGAGACGTTCCCAATGAACACCCCTTACCTTAACAGAAATCTGGATATAATAGTCATATTAAAATACAAATACTCTTCTTAAAACTTCGTTAATACTTTTACCTTCATCAATATTAAGTACACATCTATCACATTTAATACTTTGAATATTTTTGTGAATAAGGATGCTCCTTATTTTGTGTTCAATCCTTATTCTTATTTTTAAAAGTACATTCCAAATACAAAGCAATAGTTTTCCATTTCAAAGCACTTTTTAATTTTTCAGAAAAATTCCACTCAACCAAAACAATCTGAAAGTATTATATGAGCCCCCACATTGAATATTAACTCCTTTAAAATTTTTAATTTTTTTCAGACGAATTTACATACATATATATGATGTTTAAACACAAAACATATTATTTTAATAGTCTTGTATTTATTACATAAACAATAAACTGATCTTTGTACTTCAGAGTCGCTAATTAACATACCTTCTCCAACGTTCTTTCAAATCCTGTTGATTTTGCTATTATGTCTGATATATGTTTAATGAATTCAACTCCTTTTTTTCTTGTTCCCAACATTTCATTAATTTTTTATATTAAAATACATGTATCAATAAAATTTGTTTGACGAAAATCTAGCACAATCAAAACATTACAAAATAAATACAATATAAGTAGAGTTGCCAACGTCAACATAAATGTAATAATAGCATAATGTATACTTTATAGTTTAAAGTTTGACCATATATTTTATTCAAAATCAACAAATTTAGTTTGTTGTCCTTTTGCTACCAAAGAGTTATCACATTTCTGACGCAATTCGCATTCAATAAAAGCTAGTTTTTTGCCTGCACGTACAGTTTGTGCGTTGAATATGAGCACATCACCCTCCTTTGCTGCGTTCAAGAACTTGATTTGTAATTCTACGGACACACCCGGATGACATGGTTTTGACATCAATGCATAAGTAGTGATATTATCGACAAGTGTTGCAGCCAATCCACCATGTAGTGAGCCATGGTAATTTAAGTCCTCTTTAGCAACTGCAAATTCTGCAACACATTTGCCATCACCACCATCAACAATTTTTATCTATAAATTACAAAAAAATTGTTAAATGTAAGTTTTAATTATAGTTTCGCCAGTAAATTATGTAATGAAATTTGTATCTTTAAATCAAAATACTTTAAAACGTAGCTATTATGTAGTAAAAAAAGATACATAGAAACTCAAAATATTCTAAAATAAGAAAACCTCCGAAATTATCATAACTTTATTTTGTTAAGAATAAAAAAATATAACAAATAAATAATTAAATTTATTTCATTTAATAAAGTGCATTTAGAAGAATTTGAATATATTTTTTGCTTGTATATTTCCTAATCATATGATCACATACATTCATTTATTTATCATTACAATAATAAACTAGCTCATTGCAAAATGATAATTGGCCATAAACTAAGTGAAAACGCTTTTTGTACTATGAACTTATAAGTTACCAAACCTGGCAACCCTTTAATGAATGTTGATGAAAAGTGTTTCCATTTTGTCGCATAGTTTAACTAATTTGTTTTATTAAATCAAAGCTTGTAAAAATAATCAGAAGTAATTTATATATACTCACTTTTTGTGTAACTTTATCAAAAGAATTAGATTTTACCATAAACTCGGATATTTGTTTCAGAAATTCTGCTCCACGTTTTGCCGACATAGTGCACTACTTATACTCGAAATATATTCTAATTAATGTCAACATTTTAGTGTCGAATTTTAATAAATTATATAATCCACTCTATATCTCTGCCTTGTAAATTGTCATATTACTTTCATATATGGATTTATTGCGGTGTTCATCTATTAATCATGTTATTTCGCAGTTTTTGCCGAAAACAAAATATTATTAAGAGTGCGCATTTTACTACAGCCCAAAATAGTGTTCAATGAATCTACACATAATAAAGCAAATGCATCATAAAACTACAAAAAAGAATTCGAATGAAGAAAATTTTATCATTTCAAATCTAAAATTATCAAATCTATTTGCGTTAGAAGAAAGTCAAAAAACCGGCGTATTGTGTAGAATATTAATAAAATGAACTGTCAAAATGTTTGTAATCAAACTTCAACCAAACAATTTATCGAAAAATCTGCAATTGTATTAAAGGTGGCAGTGCTGGTAAATTGTCAAATTGTAAATTGTAATTGTTCAAGATGATTTTAAAAATTTCGAAACTTTAATGCTGCTTTTATACCTATACCAAGTCTTGTGAAAAGTATTCTTCTGTTCAGATAAAACAATCAACATTGCTCCTTAGAATTTGCTCTTATACTCTGATAGTTCAAAATTGTAGCACTTTAATAACAATTTCATTACATCCTTTCTCTTTTCTTTCCTTTTTACTGGCGCATTTATTGTGATACGTTAAAATTTAGTCTAATTAGTCTAATTGACGTCATCCAAAAGCTATTTACACTTGATTTAAATTATCATATTTATAGCATTTGTACTAATTTTAAAAATGGAGAATGTTAAATTCACCCAACTATGCAAATCAGTAATATTAATTGATACAATGACAACACATAATTTGGTAAACAATGGAGATAAAGTGGCTATTTTGGGTACAGTAGAAGAACCAATTACTTTGGAACTAACGCTTAAACCAAATTCAAATAACAAACTACCATACGTGATTTCGTCAGGTTTTGTTCCAAAGCAACACGTACTTACAGATCTGAACAGAGAATACTCATTATCGAAAATATATGAAAATGCAAACGTTGAACAACAACATGAATTGGCTCTTGATCCGGCATTGAGTACACCAATGACAGAGAAACCAATTGTTACATACATGGAATTAATTAACCACAAGGTGAAAGACAATGTGCTTGCCATATTAACAAATTTCGGAGCGTTAATTGTAGCAAAGAAGCTCTTATATTGTCGAAATTGGGAACCAGCGCTTTACGTTAATGAAATGTTAAAAGATATATTTCCCTTAGGAAATTATGACAGCGATTTCGAGACTTTTGCAATGTATAAATCATTTATTGATCGTTACATAATAACGGCTTTAAGTTGGGACTCCAGTAAGGAAAATTCACACATATTATACACTGCAAACGCAGCGGGCTTCCTTGTAGCTTTCAAGATAAATGAAACATTTAATAGTGGTGTAAAATATTGTCATTTTAAAACAACCCTAGGTCGTATAGTTTACATAAAAAATTTTGGAAAATTTTTAATAGTCAGTAATATAAATGGCCAAATGCAAATTTGTACTATTAACCATAGTGAAACACCAACAATAACGGCGGCTCCGCTTTTGTGGGATGTAAAAGACCGTGTTCCATGCAAGCATATTATAGTGTCTAAATTAAAAGAATCCAATGACTATTATATAGTATTTAGTAAATCCGCAAACATTGTGGCTTTCAAACTTTCAAAAAATGGTGAGCTACTCAACAAAAATGTATTATACATCGGCGGATTTAAGATAACTGGTTAGTAATATGTTTTCATTATTAACTAATATATTAAAAGTTCGTTTTTCACAGCTATAGAAAGTTTAACTGACAATGAATTTATTGTCACAACAATGCGCTGCCAAATTATAAAAGTAAAACTTAGCTTTAATGCTGGAGGACTTACGGTAGAAAGCTCCCGCATAAAAAACGAAAATGATGATTTTAAAGATATGCAAATAATTGGAATGTCTGCTTCAACAAATAAATGTTTGTGGACTTTTCTTCTTTTTCGGGATAAAGAATATGCGCCACATCTTAAAGCTACACGTCAAGCAGCCTGCCTTAGTATATGCAAATTAGATTCTATTGATCCACTAGCTAAATTATCAAAACGCGAAATAAAACTATTCAATCAATACTTAGATTATCTGATTGTTATTCGATTTAATATACTTAATTCGAGTGATACTCTTAGGTATGCAAATTTTTTCGAGTTATTAAACGAAACTTTTTCAATGGAAATCAATGATAAACTTCTACAATCACTCCAAATAAAGTATTTCATTGCAAATTGCATATCGGAAAGTCAGAAGTGAGTAAAATAATTTAAAACTGTTTTTAATAAAATTGTAATCTACAATTGTTTGAAACAGAAAGTCCACTCCTAATGGTAAGCAGTGTACGTGTTTGGAAATTGATTTTTTGCACTTGGCAATTAAATCCATACATATATTTTGTCGACTAACATATTTATCACGATTTTCGAGAGAAAGCTTAACACAATTTCAACGTAAGGCTATTACTTGTATGATAGCTACATTCAATGAAACAATGACTCAAATACAAACTCTAGAAAATAAAAATGATTTTTTAAAAATCGCAATAATTGCATTTAGAAAACGATTAGAAACTGAGTTTATAGTCAAATTCAAAAATCTGGTAGAAGATACAGAAATTCTCAACAAAGATATGATAACAACCGACAATATATTTTATCGCTGTAATGTTTCATTCACACAGGTAAATAACTTATGACTTTTTAGAAATTTTATATTTAGTATTATAATATTGTACTATGTTTCTTTATTTTATGACAACTTACAAAAAATGAGTCCTTTTTCAAAATTACACAAACGCAAAAATAAAAACCTAGATTGCAATAAGTACTTCTTTCATTATTAATTATCTCACTAATTAATTTCGTGATCTATGAATTGATAGCAAATACAGAGAATTTGTATCTTTTTATCTGCTTTACACTTATATGTTTGCATGACAAGGCATTGTACAATAGTATAGGATATGGTTTGTGAAATGGTTTAAGGTAGGAATATTGAACTTTGTTTTGTGCGTACAGATGAGGAAATCTTGCCAGCCAGATCTTGTCAGATGTGCGACGTCATGAGGAGTAGAATTACAATTGTTGCAAATAATGAAAACTGACATATTTATGTGTAACTAGAAATTATTAAACACGTGTGGTAGGTGTCGATGTATTTATTATACTAAGGAATGATCAACTTATTCATTGTAGAATAATCGTATATTGCACTGAGAGTATTCTATTTAATATTTCATTAATTTAAGCTTATCATAAGTTATGAACATTTTTTTCAATAATTTTATTATTTACAGCTTCCATTGACGACCAGGCGTTTCTGTCCAAATTGTAAAACTAGAGCGTTAAACATGGAAGATGATTTAAAGCAATTATTTCCATCAGATGAGCGCGTCAAATGTACCTTTTGCAGAATCGAATTTTCGCTAGACACTAATTAAGTTTTTATAAGATACAAATACTACATTTTCTACATTATATGTATTATTATTATATGATATAAGTTTATTTAAATAAATACTTATATTAATTAATTCTATTAATATATATAATTGCAATAGCATTAGATTTTCAGTTAATTAGACACAGTACAAGGAACAAACTGTTTTAAGTTATAAAAAAATTGGTTAATAAGTTAATGAAAAGCTGTAAAAATTTATAAAAGTTTTGTGTAAGATATATTAAAAATGAGATATGTAAATATCTTTTTTTAAGTCCATAAGATAGATGTCTTGTTCAAGTTGACGTAACTGATTTTCCAAACTAGTCTTTCGGAATGTTTTCGCAACGGTATCAGTACAGAGTGGCAAACTTTGATAAGTTTTATTAATAGTTTGATAATTCTCTTTAAGACCCTAAAATGAAAATATTGGATTAAATGATATCATATTTTGAAAATACATTTTATACTTACTTTTAAAACATTATTTCTTTCCTCTTCCGTCATCTTACGAGTGCCAGGTATATAATTTTGCAAAAATCTTTTTTTATTTTCTTCTTCTAAATCATGAAGACGACGGTTCTCAGTTAGCATTTGCTTATGTTTATGTAAATATCTTGGCACTTTTCCAAACTTTTTAGCGCAGCTATATTGTGGTATAAGTCCAGTATTCAATAAACAATGTGATTCGCCGGTGGCAGTGTCTACATATCGTAGGTTCGGCTTTTTTGCTTTTAGATTAGTTATTTGCTCAATGTTTAAAGCAACAAAATTTTTGTGCTCACGTACTCCTCTACCAGAACTTATATAATTAAACTCATTTGTGGAATCAGTTATATTATTATTGCATCGCAAAAATTTGGGAACCGGAGGAAGTAACTTACATGGTGGACACGTATGTTCATTTAAACGTCGCCACTTCATACCCGAACGAAAATGGTTCTTTTTACAACCTTCAGGTAAAAAAGATTCAACAGAACCCATTGTTTTATGTTTAGAAATCTTTGAGCTCGTTATCAACTTTTCTCCATTAGGTAAATCAATAATATGAGGTGTCTTCCTTTCTGTTGATATTGCAGTTTTAAATTTTGAAATATGCATTTTTAATATTGGTTTCACTTGTTCTGCTTTAACTTCCAAATCTGCAATGTTCTCATTGTGATGTGTTATAAAAACCAAAGACATATTATACAAAATTTATAACAATTATTTTAACCAATTTGACAAAAAATTTTGTATTAACTTTTATACTTTGACTTGTAAAGACAACACTACATTACAAACTAACACTTACGATTTCGTTACCTTGGAGAAATGCTACCATGGTTTCATTGTACTATTCTTTAATTTAGATCGATATAAATAATATTTATTTTTAATGTGTATCACATTAATTTTTATAAAACGTACAAAAAAATTGATGTAGTAGTTCATTTATAATATCAATAACGAATTTGTTTTAAAATTCTGTAAATATATTAATAACTAAATTTTTCCCCATTCATGCATCCCGAATTTATTTATTAATCCACTTGTTCTGATATTCCTAGAAGAATCATTTTCAAGGTTTTCCTCATAATGTGTCGTTGACTACTGAAGCAATGTAATTAATAATGAAGGACTCAATTAAACTAAACTTAAAATAAACGAAAAAGTAAAATAGGAACCTCTTACTCTCAGCAGTGCAAACATCTATTCCTAATTGTTTTGTAAATAGCATACAAACTTCATATAATAAAAAAATTAACTTTATATAATAAAAAAATTTATTACATATTAATAATATATCATGTTGGTCTAAATGTATAATTTATAAATATATTTGTATATTTTATAAAATAATTTGTGTTTCATTATATTTTTATTTACGGAAATAATTTTCAAAAATAAAATCTATAAGCTAAAAAAGGCTAATTTATATATGTATATGTATATGCATATGTATATATATATATATTCGTTATAGATTTCCATATATATGTATATATATATTCGTTATAGATTTCCATATATATGTATATATATATTCGTTATAGATTTCCATATGTATGTATATATATATATGTTTATATTTAATACAACTTATATATAATTCTTTTTTTAACTTAAGTTTGAATTGATACATTTCTTCTATAGGCACATTTGTTTTTTATATTTTAAATATTTGATAAATTTTTTACATATTATTGCACATTAATATGAAAATTAAAAGAAAGACTGCAAATTTTACATAAATTCAAAAGCTTCTGTTATAAATATGTTCTTCATTAAAATATAAAATATCAATGAAATTATATATTTATATTAACAAAACCCAATGAACTGTACATTTATATAACCAAATGATTTCGTATATACAAACGTAATGAACAAATAAATTTTAACATATATAAAAATAATCTCACTATTTAAATATATCTTAACATATATATTGACATTTATTGATATAGCATCAAATTTTTGTAAATGTTTTGTGTAAAAATAGCAAAATCTAAATACATAAAAGCAACAAATCAGTTAAATCTAAAATATTATTTGTTATTGTTAACACCTTCGCTTTTCTTTTTACGCTCTTCACGTATTCGCTGAAATGCTTCAGTTTTAATAAAATCAACGGAATTGTAGACAACGCTACTTTTAATAGGCACACGAGCTGATGGATCGGCTGGCAGAGTCAATTTACTTGGACCTTGCGCATATAAATTTCCTACACTTATGCTTTGTCGATTTATCGCTGGAAGATTAGCAACGTCTAAATCAAAGTACTGCAATTTGTGTTCGTTTTTTGGTGGTAATTGTAGTGGGGTTTGTATTTCGGGTAATACATGCATCGCGGCAGCGGCTGAAGCAGTTCTTTGATGTTGTACTACACATCCAGGTGAAATGTTGCTCATCTGTGCAACAGATTGCGTTGTGCCAACAGCAAAATTTGTTCTTGGCTGACGCGGTAATGTACGTGTTTCCATTACATAGGATTCATTAGTATTAGGTAGCACCATTGAAAGCGGCACACCTGTTGAACGTCTTGCTGATGTGAACATAGAACCTGAGTTGCTTGCCTACAACCATATCAATATAAATAAAATTACTTGATTGATAATTTTTTTGAAATTTTATTGAAAACCGTACCTTGAAAACATTCGGCTTTAACTTACGATCCACTGAAGGTGGATAGAGTGGGCTATTTTCATTGGCATTGCACGAGTGTACATTTACAGTATTTAACTTGTTTGACAATATGTCTACTGTTGTGGGTGAATTTTGTTGTGAATGTGCAACAGGCACCGCAGATACAGATATTATGGTTGGTGGTTTTGCGGGTACTTCCTCCGGCGGTTTGTCTTCTGAATTAACCTTAGGTTTTAGTTTTCTATTTACCGGTGGTAAATCACACTAAATTGTAAAAATTTGTATACAAATGTACATCATTATTGCACCAGAGTGTTTCATGTTAGTTGTTTTATAACTTACTTGTTCAATAAAATCGTAACGAAACACTGTCCCTTCAACTTTAGCTGGAGCGGCATTTGTGTAATAATGTCGTGGTAAAGTCCTTACAGATGCCGGCGTGTTTAAGCCAGATTCCAAACAAGCCATTAGATTAGGCGTAGACGCAGCTATGGGATTCGCCTCAGGGCTAGTCATTTTTTCAAAAAATTGTGCCATATTATGATATGGCAGATTATGCGAACGTGGTATATCATAACTCTCTTCAACTACAGATGTAGCATCACGTGGCCCAATAGCTGGTGAAGTATTTTCGGTGTCTGAGAGTTGTGGAATATCTCGTGGTACTCTACGGGAAAACAATTAACAAGATTAATAACACATACAATTAAAGGAGAAATTACTTTTCTGTTTCTTTAATATCTAATATTAAATTGTTTTTATTTTTTAGCACTTTTGCTAATTTGTCAAGTGTATGTGTGGATGTCGGACTACTCAATTGCTCTTTACCACCTTCATCTGAAACTTTCGAAAAACGTTGGGAATAAGTTAATACAAACGACTCATTCTCTATAGAACTATCTGAAGGTCGGGTACTCCGATCTGTAAAAAAATATATTTATTGATATGAACTACGTATTGGCAGAAAAAAAAGAGGAAGATGTAATTATACGATTTTGAATACATATGTTTTATATCATAGTTGCATCGAATTTACTTAATAAACTAATAAATATTTACCAAGGTTTTCTCTTAATGGTAATGGATGAGTCCATTCATCGTCATCGGTGAAAACGCTTTCGGAATCAGAGTCTGAGCGATGACTTCGATTTTTAGCTAAACTCATTTGTTGCTACACAAATAAATATTAAATTCGTTTCAGATAAAAGCAAATTAATTTAAATTCACTTACCAAACTACAATTAGTTATCTTCGGTGAGTAGGACTGATCATTAGTAAGATTTAATCCGATGTTGTTATGACTACGTGGTGTGTCATAAAATTTGGGATCCAAGTTATTTAATGGTGTCGAAGGATTATTACTATCAACCTTAAAAATATAACATATAATTGATAAATTTTATTAGTACAGTTAACAAAGAAATGTTTATTAAGAAAATACCAAAAATTTAGGACTTCCCGAGAAGCATTCACTTATTGGTATATACGGACCAGATGCTGTACTAAGTGCAGGTGATGGTTGCACGCTATTTTGTTGACTTTCTGGTAATGGAATGTTATTTAGCACCTAAAAAGTAAAAAAAAAACATATATGTTATCTTTTAAATTAAAGTACTACAATAATTGTATGTTTGTGCGTACTAAATTTTCTGGTATTTTGCGGACAACACCGTTTGTATTAATAACTAAACGTGCCGATTCTTGCTCTACTAATGCCTGTAGCACAGGACTATTTAAATAAACTACTCCAGCTGCAGGAGAACTTGAAGGTTTTGGTGTATTTGCATCAGTCTGCGGAGTTGCTGCAATAGCTGCGGATAATTCCTTTTTGTCGAAACTCATTTCACAAATTAACGTCTCCCTGTTTGTATACTCCGTATTTACATAAGCAGATTCTGAATTATTGTGGAAAGTCTCTGTTAAAATTGTTGATGCAGTAACTGTGCGTGGCTGTTGATCCACCACACCGGATAATACAACATCTGTATTAGGGCGACGCAAAATATTGTTAATCAGTTGTCGTGAATTGTCCAAAGTTCCTCCACCTGTAACTACTATACCAGTAGACGAATTAAGTGATGTTGTAGTAGTATTGTCTGTAGAATTTGTCAAAGCAGTAGAGCTAAAGGCTCGCTTTTGCTCATCTGCAATCAAAAAAAAATATATGTACAAATTACCTTAATTATATTATGAGTTAAAAAAAATGGCATTTCTTACCCTGCAGCTCAGTAGACTGCTTGGTATCATGTAAGTGACATACTTGACAGATACAATTCACCCAATCGCGCATGTCCTCTTCCGTGTCTGCTGCTAAGTAATATGTACGTTTTGGTGTTTTGATATCGAACATGTATTGAAACTTCTGCTTACGATTCTCTAATCGCAGACCACAATCGACCTGTTCGCATTGATCCAAATCGATTACGCCTTTCAATTTGCGACAATTGCGGTCGGTATAGTATTCAAGGCAGAACTGCTCAGGTATCTCACCCTGCTTAAGTGTAAACCAACGACGTCGCCAACGCTGTAATTAAACAATGAATAACGATAAGCATTCCGCATAGTAAATAAACAAACAAGAAGCACACAAAGCAAACATAAACAGCAATAAACTTACTGCAGTCTGCAATTTACGAAAACAAAGTGTAGAGCAAGTATGTAGATGTGAAAAATAATATATATTCTACAGTTTCCCTCAAACTCAAAACACTTTCGCTAACATTAAATACTATCTATCTTCTAGCTTCGAACCTATATATGCAGAGTGTGACTAACAACGCTTTTCCACGAATGCAAATTCAACAGCAATGGTATGAACTTTGCAACACCACGACAACACAACACAACTTACCACCCCACCCTGCACACATTTCTATCCGATCATTTTCTATCCGCTGTCTTCTACAAATAAAAACATTGCATGGCATGTAAAACTCAACGAAACATGTTGACAACGTATATGTCAATATGTTATAGACGTGTTAGTAATCGCATAACCGTAGCTGTATAAACACTTTCCTATTACCGCTCCGAAACTTAAGGGCCAATTTGATTCATTTCTTTGTTTTTCTTTGTGACTTGGTTTAGGGTATATTGTGTCCGAATTAATTGCTTAAAAAGCGAAACGTTTTCATAATCAATTTTCCCGGAGTTATTGGATTTTTTATGTGTCAAACACTTTTTTTTCAATAATAATTCATGTGATTCCGTATTTTACCCACTAAAAAATAGAAAGAAAACAACATTAATCGATTAAATTTCTGAAAAGTTTATTTTAATAATGAACAATGTAATGTCAAAATTATTTGTTTTATTTTAAAGGAGGATTCGTAAAGAACAAATATTTCGTTAGACTAAATTAAAGAAACTACTTTTGCAGGATAACGTCCAAACGCCTATTTCATTAAATATTAAACAATAATAGTAGAATGAAAATTAAATCATTTTATACACTAAGAAATTTATGTAAACGCTTTATCCAGTGATGACCTCAACAGATAAATTCACCTGCACTTTTTCACTACTTTTTGTGATGCATGAGTAAAGTAAAATTATTAAATGTAATATAACTGCTTTATTTAATTATGATGCAAATATTTCATACTTATAAAGTTAAAGATAATGATTCATATACTCTGCTTTCAAATGCAAGATTCTAAAGCAGAAAAATGTCATTATATTTACAAATGTATAGAATTTATAACATTTAGTTATTTAAAAAATGACTAATGTAGTAAAAAAAAATATGTAACAAACACTAATCAATCAACCACAAATCAACTTAGTAACAACTTAAATTGTTAAGTTGATTAAGTTGATCACTTAAATTTTTTACACACTTTCTAACGTACGTTTATAGACAAAAGCATTCCCAGTATCTTGATATATTCGTTTGGTTGCTATTTGCAAATTTATTCGAATAACACATTTAACAACAAACTGTGCACGACAGGATCACCTAAACAATAGTCGAGAATTGAAAAAAATAAAATAAATAAAAACAGATAACGAGCGAGGGCTTTCTGACTGAACCCTCATGTTTTGGTTTTGCTGGACTCTTTTATAATACCCAGGATCTCTGGTGGTCTTCGAAGACATTGTCTTCGAGACGACCTTTGATACTGCTTCCGTATGTTTAAGCAAATTTACAAAAAAATTGCTCAAAACATGAATGTAAATAGTCTCAGAGCTGACAGTAAGCTAATGGGGTGCCAGTTCTGCGGGAACTTCGGTTCCTTGCCGGGTTTAGGGAAGACTACAACTGTGGCCTGTTTTTAGATCTTAGGATATTCACCTAACCTAAACATACAGTTAATTATATTTGCGATAAGATGGGTCGCATCTTCCGGTAGATTACGTGAGCATTCGTTATTAATTTTGTCGTTCCCTGGTGCGGATCTTGTCTTTAATCTTGAGATAATTAGGGCGATTTCATCAGTAGAACAAGGCACGATGTCTTAATCAGAGAAAAAAATTTACAATTTAATTAGCACAAAAAAGGGAAAAAAACAAAAAAGGGGTAAAAAAAATTAAATTAGTAGCGCAGCTTTCAATCGTATGCGTCCGCTATGTAAAACATGAATTCATCCAGTCTTCGAGACATGTACACAAAATGTGTTTGAACACATTTGGCTAATTTGTTCGAAAATATTTTCGAAGACCGTCATACATATGTCCATGTATTCAAGACGTTTTCGATGACGGATCGATCCGTTTCCTACTGGAGAGTCGACCACACTTATATTTACGTGCATGTACGCATACACAAAAAATTCTTTTATGACAGCACGAATAAAAGTAAGCTGAGCTAATGATTTTCATCACATATTGTGTTTAATTATACAGTAATAATGAAAGATAATTGAACTCATTATTTAGCACCAACCATAGCACATAGAGGAAATTCCAGCTGTTACACAAATAATCATTTTGCACACAACTAACAACAAAATAAATATGTAAACAACAAAAAACAAGTGTGTTCCAAGTTCCAAAGAAATGCGTCATTATGTTTTTTATTTAATATATATTTATTAATATACACACATTTCACTGTAGTACTCTTTTGCTTTACGTAAATAGTGCTGATCATTCTTCTATGCTGTATTAGATACCTATTAAAATACCAATGAAATTTCAAATTAACTGCAAATACAATAAAAGAAATTAAATAAATATATATATGGCATAAAGAATAAACAACTATAACAAACAATATAACAATTAAAGCGGCTTGTCGTCTGGTAAGCCTTAATGATATCATTAGTAGGCAGGCCCATCAAACTAATACATATTACACAATTAAGCGTTGTTATTTTACTTATGACTTCTCGCAACTTCACTGTTCCGATTATGGTGTATAGCTTCATTTTTGTTTAATTTTTTTTACTCAGACAGTAGATGGTTCTCCTCAAAGGGTTAAATATGTTAGATGCGATGCCATCTTCTCTTTATACAGCGAAGCTCTATATTTTTGATATGACTCGAGATTACTCCAGGGCATCTCACAAAACTTCTTAATATTGTTTTATTAAAAAAAAAATGAGTGATTTATACTATTGTGTCTTTGCACACTAGAGAACTACGCAGATTAAAATGTATCTTTATATTACTATTCGAATAGTTTTTAAACGGGATTATACCAAATAAATGTTCAAATTAGTTCGTGGGTCTTTTTTTATATGCATAACAAACAAGCACTGTGTCTAATATGATATTAAGCAATAATCAGCCCATCCAAATTCAGTCTTGAAAAGCATTCCAATATGTCCAGACTCATTTTGATGACTTATTTTTGGAATGTTGACAGTTTTCAACTAAAGATCTTTTCTTCGGGTAGACTTTAACACTGTGTTAAAGTCTGTTAATATTAAAACTAAAGCTCCCTTCATCTTAGACCCCATGAAGTAAAAACATCTTAATATGAAACACACTGTTTTATAAGGCATAAAGTATCAGTATTTTTTATTATTAATTCGATAACAAACTTAACATATAACATATGTAATATGTTTAAGGGCACGATAGAAAATATACATGATTTTTGAATATTTTAATATTACTTACTCAAGTAGTTTATATGAAAACTTATTACATAAGTCACCATATATAAAAGTATTGATAAAATTTCAAAAACAATTGTATTATAAATGTAGGTTTGTGTACTTGAAAGTAAATAATTTAATGTTGATATATGTATGTATGTGTATTCATAAATTTACGGAAAATTTACTTTACTCAGTTACTATGAAATCGACTGATATCTGCATAGTTAAGCAAAATTTCGTGTGCATTTGATTAGCTTAAAAACGGTCGTCTTGTCCACCTAATCCAGGATAAACGCACTTTACCCTCTTGGGATCTTCAATTTTTTCTATCACATTAAGAACATTGCATTATACAACTTAATATATTGTTTTCATATTACATATATACATATGAGGAGTTAAAAAAGTTAATAGCTAAAATTGTTTAAAAATGTTTGTTTGTTTAGTAGGACTTGTGTGATAATGCAATGTGACCCCCCAATTCAATAAATGACCCCAATTGCTTAAGTGAAGAGTATTGACGATTTTTATTCCCTTTGTCAATGCTGCCATTTACCATTTAAATTTACCATTTAAAAATTTAAGGAAATTGTTTTTGTGTTTAAGTTAAAGTTTCCGCGTTAGAATTGCTATCGTTTACTCCCCAAGATTAGTGCAGCATTTGAATAAGTATGTCAGCTAAGTACAATGACAACTAAGCAAAACTCATATTATGAATTTGATTTGTTGTTGCAACAACAAAAACAAACAAAGCAATTACCATGATGAATAATAAAAAAATGACGCCACAAAAATTTTTTAAGTGAACACACAAGCAACTAATGAAGTTTATGCTTTTAACATTATCTATCTGCTAATAAAAGAGACTTTAATTAAAAATTAACAGTCATCTTTGTGTCTAAATATTTGCAGAATATTTTTAAATAATTTTTCGAACATAATTATATTTTATTTGCTTATATGTATCGGTATTCCACAACTTAGTAAATATTTTTATCGCTTTTAAACTTTGTGTTTTTTGCAATCACTAAATCGAATTAATGGAAGAAATTGTGCTCAATAATCATAAAAAAATGCAGTGCTTTTTGCTGCACACTGCACTTTGTGGTTAGTTTTGTCATTCTGGTTGTGTATCAAAAAATTTGTTCCTGTTCACTTCAAGAATTTGTGTAGGAATTTTTCAAAGTGTAGAGCAATTCGCTCGCATTATTGGCAGTTTTCATTTACTGAACTGAGTTTTTTGTTATTTTTGCTGATATTTTACTTACCGCACGCCAAATTCTTTTTGTAGGTGGCGATTTGATTAACCACCCATCATAGTACACTTCTTTGTTCATAATTTTTGCACTTTTCCAGATTCTGAGATCAATTTTGAATGTTTTTTTTTAATTTTAAATAGCACAAATAATTTTTTTTATTTTACTTTTTTTCTTGTATGCCTTTTTCTTCTACAGACGTAATAAATGCACTGTGGTTTTCGCGTCAATAATTACACAATGCAATGAAAAATGCGAGAATTATTACATTTTACAGTTTATAATATTTTATTAAAAACTTTATTAAATTTTTATAATCCGCAAAATAATAATGTATGGAAATCAGCGTCAACCTAAAACCGATGTTTATTTCATGTCGTTGCGGAGTAAACTATCTCTTTCTTCCATCCAGGGCTGCCAGAATACAATTCTCCTGTTTGTATTAAATAAAACACTACGAAAATAATAGGCGTATTCAAGTGTTTCTAAGTGCAAAATAGATTGCGACTGAGATATTAATATAAAGTATTTAAAAACTTATTGGCAACAAAAACTACTACTTTACAATTTTACTTCACACATTTGTTCAAATTAAATTCAAATAAGAATGAAATAAATCCAAGTTATAATCAATCATCTGCATAACATTTATCTGGCGTTTACATTGACCGAAAATGGTTCATTTTGAATAAGCCATTTGAAAGTGTTTACATTCGTTGTAGTTCGTTTGTTCTCATTTCAAACAGCTGATTTTTCAACTTGCTTGTTGATTTGATTTTTGACCTGTGCCAAAAAAATGTTGCATTAAGGTTAAATATGCTTTCAAACCTTACAATATAAACTTAAAACATATTTTTAACTTGGATTAATTACCTTTTGGGAAGTAAAAGTTCTAAAAAGAGGTGCATCGTTTTCAAGAAAATGCAACCACCAAATATTTATTTACCTTTTTTTGTAAATATGTCAAAAACAGCTTTCTCAGACTATCAAAATGTCATGAACATCTTTTATTTAGGGTATGTTCAATGTATTCCTTTGCATTCGCGCCATTCCATCACTCAATGACACTCAATGAATCATTTTCGGCCAGCGTAAATGCCATATTAGAGTACTCCACGTGTATATATCGATAAATATAAATTAAAATCATATAATTATAATACGTCTGTTCCACGAGCTACGCGTAGTAAAACTCGAGTAAAACATAAGTAAACTACATACTAAGAGCGTAATACTATGTTTATATTGTGAGAATAAAGGACAAAAATAAGTTAATATGCATTTTTTTTCTCCATCGTTTACATTATACATTGGAGATTATTTTAACGTTTCTCTTGTTGTGTTTTGTTTTGTTTCAAGTATTTGATAAATTTCTGTAAACAAACCATTTAATTACAATTTTACAATAAATTTAATAAATAATTTTATAAATACTTTTTCTTTGTTATTCGTATGTAAACTAAATAAAGTTCTTTAATAGCTTCTTTGATATACAAAAGTTAATCAGCTAGATAAATAAGGTCATTATAATGTGAATGTTCACTCATTAATATTACTCATTAATATTAAATTCGAAATTACGAAGTATTTCGATACGATACGAAAATATTTATAAAAATTTTTAAATTCTAACATTGTATTGTATTGCAAAATACAACCCTAAATAATAAAATGGTTCCGTATTTTAGCTGTCAACCGGCTTGCTTTACAAATAATTTCTCATATCCACATTTTGCATTCGGAAAAGTTTTTTATAAACTAATTGAGTTAATTCAAAGTCATAATAAATTCTTAATAAAATAATAAAAAATTATACTAGTAATTATAGTTATAGCATAGAATAAAAATATTTATCAAGAAAACGAAAATGGCTGCACAAGTTACGACGAATAAATCCGGGTCGGGTTGGCCAAGAAGAGGCAGCCAAGGGCAGCTAGATGCTAATAATGGCCCGCAAAAATTTAGTGCGAGTCAATCATTAACTATTAACAGAACAATTAATTTGTAAGTTTTTGAAAATATTATAAAATTTGTAGGGTATATTTAAAATTACAATACATTAATAAATATGTGGAAAAAATAATAAAATTTTTGTTTTTATATCTTGTGTAAAAAAACTATAGATATCCTTTGACAAATTATACGTTTGGTACAAAAGAACCTCTATTTGAAAAGGATCCCTCAGTGCCATCACGTTTTCAACGGATGCGGGAGGAATTTGATCGAATTGGAATGAGGCGTTCAGTAGAAGGTATTTTGTTGGTCCACGAGCATGGATTGCCTCATGTGTTGCTTTTGCAACTTGGAACTACATTTTTTAAATTGCCGGGTGGAGAGCTTAATGCCGGTGAAGATGAAGTGGAAGGTCTTAAACGTTTGTTGACAGAGGTAATCATATCATACAAATATAAGGTATCAGTATATATGTTAAAGTATATTATAGACATTAGGGCGTCAGGATGGCGTTAAGCAAGAGTGGATTGTTGAGGACACAATTGGTAATTGGTGGCGTCCAAACTTTGAACCTCCCCAATATCCTTATATTCCGCCTCATATAACAAAACCAAAGGAACATAAAAGATTATTTTTGGTCCAATTACATGAAAAAGGTAATATATGTAATGTTCTTATACTATTATTTATTACAATTCTACACAAATTTTATGCCCATAATCTTCCAGTCAGGCTAATATATGTATACTTTATTATATACAATATATAACACAAATGTATTAATATTTGAAAATTTTAGCGAAATTTTAGAAAAATCAAAAAGTATGAAAATATCTAACAAATGTTGTCATATCTTTTTAATGCTGTTTAGATACGGCCGGGAACTCCAGTTTTGATGTACATTGAGAAGTTCCTAACCTAGCGTATACAAATTTGTCTTAAGAACTTCAAGTTGAACTCATGCAAAAAACCGAAATAAAGAACAAACAGATCAGAACAAAAAAATTATATTAGTTACGTCACTGATTGTACATGAAAAATTGTTACCTCTTTGTTGTACAAACTCTTTTTGTCTTCTACCTTCATTGAATGCGATTTATTGTTATATTAATTTTGTAAACTTGTCTAAAAATTATTGATAAATCTGTTCAAGAGTTTGTTGCAACAACATTTTGTAAAATTTTAAGATAATGTAACCGTAAATATTTGATTCTGTTTTCACATTTTTATATTAACAAAAAGTTGTAGTATAATTTGTGTTTGTAACAATTCGAGCACACAAAAGAAACATTAGCATTAGCATTTATATTAAATGTATTTTTAACAATAATGTTATTATTGACCAATGTATTTAAAATTATGCACACACACTTCAGCGCTAAAATAAATTATATGCTTCGAGTTTGTAAATTAAGTTAACTAAGTCAACAATTTGTTAAATCATATAATAAAACATTATTTATTTTTTCTTTAATATAAACTAAATTGAACTCTATCGTGTTTGAACATGTTAACTTATTTTTATATTGTAAATATAACTATTTTATTTTTACATGTATGTATATATATATATATATATATGGCAATCATGGTACTGTAGGAAACTAAATATAATATAAATTTATTTTTAATAAGTTAAACGTGAATCAAGATAATAGGGCGGCTTGCGTTTGCCTTGAAATCGTACTGCTAAGTGAATTTTTGTACCTAACACTTAAATATATAACTGATTTGCATTTGGAATTTTTTTATTTTCCTTTAATTAATTTAGCTTTGTTTGCTGTACCTAAAAATTACAAATTAGTAGCAGCTCCATTATTTGAATTATATGACAATTCCCAAGGGTATGGACCAATAATTTCATCACTGCCACAAGCTCTATGCAGGTAAGCATATAACACCACACTCGACATTTAATATATTTTGTTTTTGTTTATTATAAAAACATAAGTATATAAATTTTTGAATATTTTAATGAACTAATGCTTAGTTTATTTTATAACAAATGACAATTGAATGTATGCGCACAGCAGTTAGGGGTGCAATAATTAAAAAAATTTATAATTTGGTTTTGTGTGAGTAAAAATATATAGTACGAGTAAAATTTATTTCCACTTGATTTCAACCAAAGTAGTACTCTATTCACACATCATGAGTTAATGTTAATTGACTGTTCATATGACTATAGTTGTTCCTGTTATACATGTATTAGTAGTTTTCAACATGCACTTGCGAAAGTGCGTTGGAGGGACAAACTTACCATTTTTCTTAAAGATATATGTATTTATCTTTTTTACAATATTTTTCAAAATCATTGTAAAACAATTTTAATACGTTTAATATGTTTTATTTAAATAAATCAGCAAAATAAACGATCGGACTCAATACCTTCTTCAAAACCTTAAGTAACGATATTAATTGGAATATTTCGTTTGGAATGAATACGAGCTTTTCGTGTAGTAATATACACCAATATACATATATTATCTATAATTAACATGGAAATGTTGTCACAGTAAAGTCCATTCTAAAATATTTATTCAGTTTTATTTACATTTATTTGGTCCTATTAATTTTTTATTTATTTATTTATTTATTTTTTTTTTTGTAATTAAAAATGTAAACTAATATATTATTTTTTAGGTTTAATTTCATTTATATGTGAAATGAAATGAATTCTACGAGCAGCCCACGTGTGAATAAATCTTCAAACACTAATCGCTCGTATGATACCAGCAATCGATAACTTGAAGAGTAGTCGTGGAGTTGGTTTCCAATTGAAATGATCAACTTAACTTAATATAATGAATATTAAAACGTACTTTTAAATAATAAAAATTGGAAATATTTTTAAGAAAATTTTATGTAAAAGAAGATTTTTTGTATAACTTGTAATAAGAAGTAGACACGTTTAGGAGCAGCTAAATTTGGAATGTAAAAATCTTTTCTTTTATTAAATCCTAAAGCAAAACATGTACATCGTTGTTGAGTTCAGCGTAAGACATGTAAATAGCATCGTTACAACAAACATTGTCTTCAAACTTTACATAATTCATCTGCGCACTATATCCTTTATAGTTATGTCCAATCAACTATTCATTAATATTTAAATTCTTATTATTAATAGCGTACAATGGTATTAAAATGAAAAACATATAAATAAAAACTGTATTTAAACTACTTTCAATTTTAACTTTAAAATCAATTAAGACTAATTTTTAACTTTAACTATTTAGTTTATATTTTCATATATAGTAATCCACTGAATTAAAATATTAAAATAATTCTTCACTTAAATATTTGGATGTATTAAATTAATATTGTAAAATTATTATTTTAAGTAATAGGAAATTAAACACTAGTGTACTCTTTATTAATTACTATTTATTGATATAGAAATAAAAACTCGTACATGGCAATAATATGTATACATTTTTTTGTGTCGCTATTTATATATATAAAGTTTATCATAATAATTACATTTAGTTTTTTAAAATCATTAAGATTTTGATATCTTGTTTTTTATATATGTTTCAAAATGTCTTCGTCTACAAAAGTGTTTTTGATAGCTTTTTGGAAAATATATTGAAGAACGCGCTTTTTAACTTGTGTCAATGCTTTTAAATATGTTAGATATAATTTTTAAATTCATAATATATAATTTTTAAAAATTTGCTGATACTGTTGGCGGCTGAAATAGAAGAATAAACATAATCTAATAATGTACATTTGTATATGTATAAGATTTACTTGCATAGTGTTCGATTGACAATATAATATAATACAATATTAAAGTGCATTTTGCTTTATTAGAGTTTACATTTTATATTACAAAAATAATATTGAATTATTAAATAGCTTTTAAATTAAACACAATATTCGCTAAAGGAGATTAAATTAAAAAGTGCATCTAAGTTTTGTTTTTGTTGAAATATATTTATTAGGGATGCTAATGATACTCTAATATTATTTTCGTGATACATTTTTCTATCCCTGGAAAGAGTGTCCCAAATTAGTCACGGAATTTCTGAGGAATTATTAAATAATACGAAAATAAATCGTCAATCAATCAAAGTTTAATTTGTCACTTTCAAAGTAGGCCGCACTGAGTTCAATATGACTATGTCAGTGACTGCCTCAATTCTTCATACATCAAAGTATTGTCTTCAACTTCAACGAATTTACTTGAATGGTTTTTTCAGCTGGGCATGGTACTTGGTTGGCAACATTCGCTGAATTTTTATATACAAACATTGCTTTGTGTTATAGCAGAACACTCAAAAGCATAATTGCAAAAACAACTTATGCAAAACCCACTGGATAAAAGATAGCGCTTAAATCTCGCATAGACAAAACATTGTAGCAGGTTCTTTTAACCAGATTTTTCTAATTTAAATTCCGTAAATTACTAACTTGATCTAATGGCCTACAACAAATTATGATCTGCAGTATATAGGAAAACTAATATAATTAAATTAAAAATTCATAAATATCACAAATTATTTTTATTTTTTCTTCTTCCTTCAAAAGCACTTTCATATTCATTATCCTAACGTAAAATTGTGAACTTTATCTACTCAATTATTTAATCTATTTCTGTTATTTTCCATTGCTAACGTTGTTATTGCATTCCTTTTTATTTTCTGTTACTTTCCTTCTTATTACTGTTAAACGCATCACTCACAAGCACTAGTGTATCCCCAATGTGGATTAGCAAAATAATTTTGTAACAATTATCGTATATAGAATATATATATATAGCTTCATGTACTGTGTCTCCTTTTACAATTTGCACAGCTCAAAGTTAAAGGAAAATATCCTAGCAGTTTATGTGAAATTAAATCACATTTCGAAGGACTTTATAAAGTGCAATATACAGAATTACGACTAACTAGGACTGTGCAGAATAAGCACCAGATAAATGTATTGTATGTATTCATATAAAACCTAATCCAACGTTTTAAAGTATTCTAACTACAGTTGTATCTGCAAAATTACGCTAATTGACTTAAATAATATATGTAGGCTTTTCTATGGTTTTCTTCAATACGGTTTACATAAAACATCTGCATGAATAAAAATTATTATATTGTTCAACGTAACACTTTTAGAGGAACTATGTAATCGTCAAATAAAGTTGTTAACAAAATGGCATTTTTGCAGGTGATGATTTACACCTGGTACAAGAAACAAACTTATCATCCCAAGTAAACTTTCTGCCCTTGATGCCCTTGTATCTCCCGCACTAAATTATTCATTTCTTATACCGAAAAATCTTATTCTGGGTATATGCCATTTTGTTAGGAAACATTACATATACATATATAGCATTTAAAATAAAATAAATTATGTATAAAATTAATTTCTGGGTCGAAAGATGTTCAACGTTTTGAAGTTTTTTTTCTTTTCGGTATAGTTGAATAAAATTTAAAAATAATACTAAAAAAAGTTTCGTCAACGCTAGAAAAGCGTAATGGCATTATTTTTTTACTAAATTTTTTCATATGAATATATGTTCTAGAGTGAGTTATACAACAATATATGTTCTATAACTGACAGCATATATATTATATACTTATAAATGAGCATATATTATTTTAGTTATATTTACTTTGCTGCTATATATTTTCAGAAAGGTTTTACAATGGTATATTATTATTAAAGAATTCCTGGATCTTCCAAAATGTTTTATTTTTCTTTTAAAAAGCATTGCATTTTTATATAGATATACCATATCGTACGAATATTATGAATACTTTAAAATACAATGATCAAGATTGGATTTTAATCATATAAGTATTAGTCTTTTTGCTTTTCATGTTATATTCATGTCAGACATTAACAAGAGTTCTACGTTAGATATCGTTCCAATAAATTTTTATATTTTTATATTGTATATTTTGTTATATAGTAAAAACGTTTATATGATATATTAAATTTTTCCAATGTTTGGCTTTATAAAGATTCTATTTGATTACTGATTACAAAAAAATTACCATAATTTGTTATGGTAAAACTTTAAATCGTAATAGCCCTGTTCAGTTAATCCTTCGCCTGTAGATGAGACTGTAGAGATGGCGTCTATATTATCTGGATTAGGCGAAGTGATCTTACCAATGGGTCGATTAATTTTTACAATACCAAAATCTTCTCTTGTTTCCTGATCGAATTCCATTTTGTTTGTAGGCGTAACAGCCATACCAACACCAGAAGAAATATTTTTCATGCCTGTGTGCTGTTTGCTAAGTTGAAAAGCCGTAGTAGATTTTCGTAAATCATGTTTCGGATCACTCCCTGTCACAGATGGGGTTGGATTTTTAGTCGCAGATATTGTCTGAATTATAATCGGATCTTCTAATTTTTCTTCTACGATTGTAGATATTATTTCACTTGCTGTTTCAGTTTCGTTAAAAGTATTTTGCTGTACTGGTGTCTCTATAAACGCTTCTACTATAGTGGCTCTAGATTGTTCTTCTTCTGTTGCTGTTTGGAGATTTTGGATGCTGTCTGTCACGTCTTTGATAACATCAATCAGGTTAGTGCTAAGATAATATTCGATTAATGCAGCAAATGAAACAAACGTTTTTGTATTCCAACAAATAATAAAATTTATTATAAATCAAAAATTTGTTTAATAGTAAAATAAATAAATCACATTGTGTTAGACATATAGTATAATATCGGAGGATCACAAAGGAATATCATTTAAGTTTTTATTTATTAATTCTTCTGTGTAAAATCTGAATATTGTTGCAAATTAAGTAAAGTTCACCGCGTTTTAGATGAGGCGGGAGGGTGAGTACTTCTGCGCGTGATTCGTGTTAAATTCGAATATTGATTATTAAAAATATAATTATGATAAATACTTAAAAGTATTTAAAGTAAGAATTTTTAAATTTAAATGCGAAATATTATTAAAATTAGTGTTTGTCCTTTAATTTATGATGTTCTGAAAAACAAATAAATAAATTTAAAAAAAATATTTTTAAAAAAATTATAAATAATTTAATATAATAATAAATACAATGAAATATTTAAAATAAAGAAAACACAAAAAAATATTTATTGTACTTATATTAAAAAAATTAAAAAAATGCATCACTTAGCTTTTCATGACTAGACCTTGCTTTAGTTTTTATCAGTGAACGAAAATAAAGAGTACAGTATCGTTGTGTATTGGTCATACCCAAAACACACCAAAAAATTTTTAATAAATAAAATTTATATAATATTATATCTGTGTATATTATGTGTATATTATATACCTTATATTAAATATGCATCAATAAATGCATATTCAATATCTTTATTGAAAAACACAGACATAATACATGCCATACAAATGCAAACACTATTTTTTCTTTTTCTAATGCAGACGAATTAACACATTGCCCATGGAAAACATTTTCAGAACTCGATAGACAGCATCAATCTAATAAACTATTACTGTCTATTAGACGCTAATATACAGTACCTTCGGAAAACAATCGCTACAAAAATTCTCTACATTCGTCAAAAAAGATCGTTTACAAGTTTACTACTATCGTGAAAAGAACACTAATAAGAACATTAAAACTTTTACATGAGGTGCCGGAAACCATACGCTATAATTTTCGAGTTCGGGCTTTTGGGCTTTCTTTAGTTTACTGTTCATGTAGTGTTTTTTTAACAAAAATACAAAACAGCACACTAATTTGCTACTTTACTGTTTATTTTTGTGCACTGGTTTTTATATAGAAGAACCATCACTTTTAATTTAAATAAAAGTAAAAAATATTCCTGATTTATTCTTAATTCATTCTTTAAAAGAACTTAGTTCCAGTTACGGTAAGCGTATGCCCTATAATTCGCCATTCACACGTATTAAAATGTAAATTGGTAAGTGTATATACAGTAATTTAGGGAATGACACGGCACTTTAGGCTAGGATTATATTGAGCAGATATAAATAGTTTTTGTTTATAATAACTGTATATGTGTTATTTAGATCAAATTTCAGTTTCAAACAAGAGAAATAGAATCTGCAGTAAATCACTTAGTTGAGGCGCACTTAGTTGAGGTAAACTCAAAACAAGAAAATAATTAAAAAAAAAGAAGAACAGCTAGTAGCTAGTATCTAACTGTAATTCTGTAGAAAACCTCTGAAAATACTTCCAATATTAACAAAGTGCTAGATAACTGTGCTAAGAACGGAATTGAGAAAAATATTCTATAGAAAAATTTTGTACAAATACTTTGATTTTGCAATTATTGCAAAATTTTAGGCAATGCAACACCAACAAACCAAAGAAGATGCACATCTACGTTTTCAATACTTTACAATCCAATCCAATTTCTAATATTAAAATAAAAATATATTTTTATTACATTTTCGTAATCCGTGAAGCTTAGCAGCGTGTTTAGGTGCAAGTTGAAAACTTTTTAATAAAATACTTGAGATACTTGAATTATTTTGGCTACTTGGGAGGTACTTGAGTTTTTTCTTGTGTCTTTGCACTAAATTTTATTTTAAATAAATTAATAATATTAAATATTTTCCAAAAAAAGGAATAAATTAAGGCATGTATATACCTGCTGCCTGGCTCTTCATTTCCATCACGTTTAGCAGGAGTGTTGTGAATTATCTGCAAAAAAACAAAAGGTTATAAATATTATGATTCATATTATGTTTCTTTTTATAAAAAATAAAAAGCAAATTAACTATATGGCAAAAAATAAATACAAAAATCAAACTACAGTCGTGCAATGCAATGCAAGTAGTTATAAACTAGAGCATCCTGAAATCCAAAAACAAAATTCAGTTTATTGATCGTTTTAACATACTTAAAACATTATTGCCCTTACAACTCGTTGATATCATCAACCACTTGAGACCCACTTTTCTAATATTTTAATGTTTTTATTTTATTCAGCAGAAATGTCGTACATTTCCTTCCTCCTCTTGTACTATTCACATACCGTATAAAACGAATACGAAATGAGTTAAATTAGTTGACCAACTTTTTCGAAAGTTCGTCAAGTTGCACAAACATAAAGACGAGACCGCAATAAAGAAAAGGAAATCCATAAAAGACAAACGTCCGGCGTAGTTGCAGTGTGACTACATAGCTAAAGCTATGGCACTGCACTTTCGCTTTTTACTCTGGCAGTTGGCCAAAACTGATGCCAAATGGGTGAAATGAGCAGCACAAAAAAAAAACACCAGGATTCGTTTTTACTGTAAATTTGTAGAATGTTTATTATTTCGCAATGTGCTTTGTATTTAAAATTGTGTACAAATAAATTTTTTGCTCCACTGTACAAAATTTAAATACAAACAAAATTTGTGAAAACATAAATTTTTCAAAATATAAATGTGAACTTCGAATATTTGCGAGAAGAGTACAGTACGAAACTCAAGAATTCACAAGACAACTCCATAAATTGCTTAGATGCCTCCAGCGTACTTATTTCCAAATTGCACATATCTAAAAACTTCCACACTTCTTTCGTCTGTTACGTCCGTCTTGTCATGTCAATTTTATATGCGTTTTCATATGAGTTTTATTGTTGAACCGGTGGTAGTGAACCATCGTAGTTGGTATCATTACCGCGAACAAGATAAATGGTGGTTTGGCAATTGGGGCAAGTGGTACACATTTCAGGTTCAGGAGTAGGTGGAACAGAATTAGTTCCAGGTTGAGTGGCGGCTGGTGGAGCTTGTTGTTGGTACTGCTGCTGTTGTTGAGGTGGCACTTGTTGTTGGACTTGCTGAGCATTTTGAGCATGCTGAGCTTGTTGCTGTTGATATTGCGCCGGTTGCTGTTGCTGGTATTGGGGCTGTTGTTGTTGTTGTTGTTGTTGTTGATACTGAGCCTGTTGTTGCTGTTGAGCAAGCTGAGCTTGTTGCTGCTGTTGTTGATACTGGGCTTGTTGTTGTTGAGCAAGCTGAGCTTGTTGTTGGTGCTGCTGTTGCTGATACTGAGCTTGCTGGGCCTGAGCATGTTGTTGATGAGCATGCTGTTGCTGAGCATGTTGTTGCTGAACATGCTGTTGATGATGCATCTGTTGTCGGTGAGCATGACCATGACCCGAAGCAGCACCCGCAGCTGGTATATTCTTTATCAATATAAAAAAATAATAAAATGAAAATAAAGTATAATTTATATATATGAAGAAAAATTTACGTGAGCCTGTTGTATTTGAACAGGTGCGTTTTGTTGTTGCCCCATTTGAACCTGCGCCTGCATTTGTGGCGGTTGTTGAGATTGTTGCTGGGTGTACATATTAGCCTGAGCCACTGAACCCTGAGCAACATCAACATAACCTCCTCCTCCAGTTTGACGTATATTTGCCTTTCAAATGAATTTTAAGAAGTATTAAATTTTTATCAATTTTACGAGAATATGAATATAGTTTTAACTTCTTAAGAATTATTCTCCGATAATTTTCATAGAAACAGGAATAGAATATATACATACATTACTAATAGAAAAAAATTTTTTTTACAAGGAAATTTAAAATCAGGCTAAAAACTACAAGCATATATATATATATATATATATGCGAATATTTATATATATATTTTTTTTTCGAGACTATAAAGTTTAATGATTATTTTCTTCAAATTTTTATAAGAAAACTTTTAAAGTACTTTATTAAAAATTTATTCAAATTTTTTTTTTATTTTATACAAAATTTTTAGTTTTTCTCTACTTTCCAACTAACTCACAACATCGAAGCAAACCAATTAAGATACTAGACATGACTTACCATTTGTGCGCCAGCAGCTGGAGCTGCGTTTGAATTCCCAGCATAGGCTTCACCAAGACCCTGTTTGTGCAGAATGCAACATTATATATTTGATTAAGTTATTAAAGTCATTGATTGTATACCGAATTACGTGAAAATAATGGTTTTGTGAAAACATTCTTCTTAAGATAGCTTTCATCAACATCTTGAAGACCCTGAACCAAAAAATTTGAAATATAGCAAAAAAGTAAAAAATAAAACCTACCGAACGACGCTCGAATCCTTGTGGACGTATCACTGTACGACTCAATGCATCCAACGGGCTTTTACGAGCCTAAAATTTTATTCAAAATTAGAACATTTTATTATTATTATTGACATTTGCATACATTTTGTTTTTCCAATTCCGCCATTTGGCTTGGAGTCAAACTTACTTCACTTTTGGTTTTCTTCATAAAGAAAGAATTTTAGAACTTCAATTTGTAAATGTAAAAAATTAAAGTGTAAACATTCTACTTACCAACATAGAACTCTTCGAAGGTGGAACCTTACTAGCTGTTTGGGTAACACTACGTTTATAGTCCATATTTGTATAAACAACTCACTTAATTCACACTTTGCGAAAACTTATATCAAAAATATAAAGCCGTACACTTTTTACGTTTTCTTAAACGAAATAATATTTTTGGAATGTTTTTGATGTTGACAGTAAAGGATTTAAATTTAATCTGATATATATATAATTTGTATTTTACATGTATTAGCATTTTTTTAAATACAAAATTCAATGGTTGCTTGGGAAAAATATTTTTCTTAAAGCAACAAAAAAGCTTAGCCTTTACAGATGATAAAACAATTGGATGGAAAGGTTTGTGAAGAGGTTAATATGTAAGAACAGGTTTTCTGTTACGGTGGATTTTATTCCTATGATCGGAAATCCAGATTATAGAAATATTGAACTGCGTCGACATCTCAGCAGTCAAAGACTGTCCTAGATGTAAATTCGACTGACTTAAGGACTTTAAAGCAGCTTGACTATCCGATAGTATGTATAGAGTCTTCTGTTACAGTGGATTAATTATAAATGCTTTAATTCAGATCTACGACAGTGTAAATGATCAGCAACCGAGTACAACTGATCAAATGAACGAGGTCAATAGCAAGTAAGAATAGATTCTATTGCAAAAATCAGTTAAAATAATTATTAATATTCTTTGGGTAGATTAGAGACCAAAAATATGATGTAATAATAACATACCCCACCACATTTCAATACCATTAATTAAGTAAAGTAAAGCTTACTTTCGATATTTCAATATATTTTCGGAGAGCATCATTTTAGCTTGACGTATATTTTTTTAATGACGTGGCATATGGCAAACATGAAAAGTAGGTATTAGGTATTATGGTCGTGTGCGAGTTAGGCTAAGTTGATGCTTAACCAAATGGGAGATTTTTTGGGATTTTTTGCACTGCACACATTTTACCATTTATCAACACGTATCGACACATCAATACATTATCGACACAACTTAGAATTTCCCTCATTTAGAACGCAACTTAGCCTAACTCGCACACGACCTAAATACACAAAATCAGCGATTAAATCAATATTAATAAATTTTTTTAAATAGTTTAACTTTTGTTAGTACGTGGCTTCTAGTACCCCTTTTTTCATATGTTCAAATGTTTTACACTGAGTTTAAGTTGCTATGCAATATATATGATATGATATATTTTGTATTTATATATATTCTGTAGAAATAATTAAAATGTATTATTCGATGAAGTAATAAAGACTTGAATTGATTAATTTTTTTCAGCTGATATTAATATTGGTATTGGTTATTATTAAAGCCATGCCATAAAATAATATGATATTAATAGATTTCTAAGACATTATAATATATAAACAATTAATCACAACATAAAAACAGATATTTACAAAATAGTTAGTAAAATTGTTAAATACCTCCGCCATGCTGCAAAGTGGACGTCTAGCACCATATCGTCCAACCGGTGAGATCTGTGTTACTTGCATTGCCGAGTTTGCACGTTCTGGTTGACGTACACGTCGTACCGACTCATCACCAAAGTGAGCACCAAAGAGTTGAGTGTTAGGACTATATTGTATGTTTGTTGTATGATCATATATAAAAAAGTAGTTGTGTTGTAGTATATTAAAATTAGTTGAATGATGGAAATGAAAAAAGATCCAAATTAGTAAATTTTAAATTGTTTAATTATTTTGTATTGTTTTAATGATTCTTTTTATAAGAAATAGCAAAAATAAATGTTACAATTTCTACTTAAACAAATTTCAAGTTTAGTATAATATAATACACACATAAAATTTATTATAACTACATTTCTCATACGTAAATTAAAATGTTTATGAAACATTTTAGAAGCTCATTTTGAATTCTCTATGTCGTGATAAGCTCGAAACATGAAGCTTATTTTTAATATATTATTTGCGTGTTTATTAAAAATATTCAGAAATATGTAAATTTAAATGCAATCATGCAAAGAAAAAATTTATTGTTCTCAAATGTCTCAAATTAGTTTTCTTATATACCAATGCTGGTAAGGTGTTTATTACTTTGACCTAATAATCTATAATCTCAATCACGAATAAGCACGTTTCACCTAACCGCTTCAAGTAAGTAGCAATTCAAACATGTTGATATCCTGTAAATTTTAAAGAAAACAAGGTTCACTCATGCATTATTGCCGGCATCGACACAGTGGTCGACCACCGAACACGTAACGAAACCAATAATTATACAAGCTACCATATAACTCCTGCTTATTTGTGGTGATATTAACAGAAAGCAAAGCAAAAACTCACCTATTAGTCACATGCATTCCATTTGTATGTTGACTACCGGCACCATCAACACCATTTTGTTCATCGAAGAAACCTACGTACAGTACGAAATTATTAGCCTGCGGTATAGTGTTTATCAAACCGTAATGTTTACGTAAGAACGCTAATAATTTTTCTGAAGGTCTATCAACTGAACATTTTACCGGTTGCCAGTTTTCTTCGGTTAACATGGTTTCGAACAGTACCTTGCCAAGACCTGCTCGTTGTCGAGATTCATGTATATAAAAATCAAGTATGCATGGAGCGCTTTCAACTTTCTTTGTTTGCCCACTTTCATCAAACAAATACAAATCCTTAGTGCCAACCTTAAGTAGTCCAAGAACAGCCCCGCTAAAATAAATAACAGAAATTAATCAGAAACATATTTGCTTAAACAAAAGAAATTCTTTAAACATAAAATTAAAATAAGCTAAATTCAAAAAAAAAATATTTTTTTTGTTTTTTAATTAAAAAAATATTAAAAACTATTAAAAATGATGTAATACACGAAAGGGTATTCATTTATATACGTTAACAATATTCACATATACAATAAACTATAGTCTGAAAGCAAAATATCATTTTTCTGTGCTAATAGTTAAAATGTACATAATCATAACGTCATGACGTCATAACTATTTGGAAACGAATAGTGAAATAAATATTGTGCGTAATATACACACCGCACATAGAATACTTTGATACTTATCAAGAATACTTGTCACTTAATTTGACATTTATTACAAATTTACATCGGCGAAGGATTATCGAGAATATTGTGATTAAATGTACGGATAATTGTGCTCTGAAAGCTATCAATCAACCTTTTCATCTGCATATCCTTTTATGTGATAGGATTACATTATGGCGGGCATCTTGCAGTCCAAAAATTATACACGCACACATAAACGCATATAAGAATTCAATGGATTGAAAGTGAAATTTTTGTATCTAAAATTGTTCCTCATAGACACCAATTTTTTCTATATGATGCCAGATATAGAATTCATGTTGTAAAATATAAATTTCTCTAGATAATACAGACACGAACAAATATTTTTTATATCTTCGCATTGTTAAAGGAACTGTAGAATTCGACAATATACACAATTCTTACAGACATACTATGTTCAGTCAGCCAAATTTCCTTAATTTTGTAAAAATGAAATTAAGTTAATTTTGAAAGTGCTCTTACTGCCCAAATGAAGAAAATCATATATTTTTTGTTTACAAATCGAATGTTAAAAATTGTAAAAGTTGAAATTGTAAAAGTTGATTATTATAACTATAAAGGATAGCATTAAGCAGTTTTATTAGCTTTATTATTATTATTTATTAGCTTTAGGGGATTTCAAGTATGTGAATTATTATTTTTCACTCTATTTTAAATCAATAACAGTTACAGTTTTTTCTCTATATTTATTTTAAAAATTTGCACTACTTTCAAAATAATTTCCCGGTTTTATTAAAGTCAACTGTCATTGTTATATATTTAAAAAAAATGTCACTTATTCGTTATCTCAACTTTATCTCAACTTTATCTTTTACTTAAAATTTATCTTATGCAGAGTTGCATTAGAAATGTCTCTTAATTTCAGCCTTCGTTTCAACGAAATTAAGGCCATTTTCCTTAATTTCATTCTAATCGTAGAACTAAATTTTGTATGAAAAAAACAACTTAATTTCGCTGAAACGAAAATGAAATTAAGATTTTTGCAAAATTAAGGTGTGTCTGAACATAGTATTGTCTTTTACAAATAAGTGTTTAAATTAAAAAATTCAAATAATATATATGTAATAGTTAAGTAAATTTATATAACTATGGTTTATGCTTAAGTTCTAAAAACAACACAGCAAGTTGGATGGGGATAACATAGATACCAGTTATATGGACAGCCTAAAATATATTTTATAATTTATATTAAGTATTTTGGAGTATAATAGTGGTGTGCAGATATAACTTCTAGCAAAAATGTAATGTAAATTGCATTACTAGTTTAAAGTAACAGTTGAATGTGCAAGATATAATTTATGGATTACCATTAAGTATTTTGCGGTGTAATAGTCGTGTCATATCAAATGCATTACCAGTACAAACTAAAATTCTAATATAGGTGGACATATATGGTGGTGTTTCAATAACTAAGCGGAGTGTCATCTATCTGTCAATAGTATAAGTATGACTTGTGTGCCATAATAATAACAATATACCGTAATAGTAAACACCGCTTCAAAAACAATGAAAAATCGGATTGGGTTAGTTTTCTTTGAAATGGTCGTACAAGCTTTAGAAAACCTATATAAACGATGTCCAGAAACTATATAAATAGCCAAAAACGTTGCAAAAGCATATAATTTAGGTTTGAGAATTCTTCGATTGACCGAGAGAGATTGAGTAAACGCTCTAACCACTTTTATAGAAGCAGTTAGAAATATTTTATGTTAAGTTTTGGATTTGCTGTCTTTACAATGCTTTGTTAATGAACGCAGGTTCATAAAAATTGTATTTTAGATTGTATTTTACAGTTATAAAAGATATTACAGAAAAATCGTTTTTAATAATTTAAAATCCATTGTTATCTAAAGGAATATTATAATAAATACTCACTTATGACCAGCATCAACATCAGCCATCAAATAAATTACTTGATTTTCAGACATTCGGAGTCTCTGTGCAGTGGTGACCGGTTTTGACAGTTTTTGAGAAACAGCGGAAAGTTGTCCGAGGCGATCTATTATTTCAGATATTTTTGATGTTGCATCGCTGGTGGAATTGGGAAATAGATTTCTAATCAATCTTATCATGCAATTTGCTACAGATATAGGCACAAAAATAATACTTACAGTACTTGGCGGCGGTCCGCTGCACGAAAAGTATGTGGCAGTAAGTTCGATGAAATTTTTATGATCGATTGCTGGAATAGCGGTTTAATGTCAAATCTGAATTCCACCATGTTGAAAAATATAGCCAAAAATTAAATATCTGGTATGATGAATGCTCTGCTGAAATCATAAAATATTGAATTCATTTAAGTTATATTTAAAAACAATTTGTAAAGATGTACACAAATTTTCAAATTACACCTAAAATGGTTATCTCCCATGCACTTTTAGCATTACTCTATTAATAGTATGTGCCAGCCCACTTCCGTCTAGTTAAACGAAATGTAATTTTCACATTAGCAATCAGATAATTTTACTGTATGCAAGCAACTCAATTTGAATAATTGTTGCTACTAAATGCTTATGTGTTGCAATTGCTGACTGACATGAAAATAGCTGTTCCATAGATTAACTGAACTTTACCCGAATTGTTCAATATAAACTTTTCTACTAATAAATTTTTCGAATTAACTTAAAAGCTACTCCATTTATTCAAATGCGAAAGAAGTGCATCAGCATATCGTTTATAGAATATTTTGCTTTTGAGCAAATCTTAATATCTGTAAACATTTGTGAATGCATGAAAGCTAGCTAAATCCACTTTAAATACTTAAGTAACTCAGCCAAGCATTCAACCCACTTATACAAATAACATTGCAGTGAACCCAATCCGTAAGCACATAAAAATCTAAATGGTAAAGTTAGAGAGGAGTAAGCTCGAAAAACAAAACCAAATGTTGAACAATAACAAGCACAATAACCGTAGAGCATTGAACTTTGAAGTGGAAAGACTTTGTCATCTGCGTTTAAGAAAAAAACAGTGACAAAAACATAATAGGTTTCTGCTTAACCTACTAGAAGAGGTGGAAGAACAGCAACTTCTACTGTACCCCATTTATTAATATACCATAATAATAAATAAGCATATAACATACGTAATATTTAACATATAATCACAGATTTAGCATTTTGCTATCATATCAACACACAACATATCAACACACAGTTATCCATATGACAAATTCTATTTGTTTTTACTTACTTGACAAAACCCTCGCTCCTTAATTTAAATATTAAGGATTTGTGCAATTTTCACAATTTTGTTTTGTGTAAAAATGATTGAAAATATAGGGTTACTTTTAGTTATAAGTATAACAGTTCGCCCTAGTGCAGCTCGATATCCTCAAGCGATATCACGACACTACCAGTGGATTGGAAATCTAATAAAAAAGCATGGATTACTCGATAAGTAGTGAATGAATGGCTGTAGCAGTTCAGAATTCTGAAGAGATCAGAATCGAAAAATTCCTTTGTTTTTGGATAACATATCATCTCATCAAAGGGAATTAAATTAAACTTATATAGATATAGATATTGTTTTTTGCTTTCAAACACAACGAGCAGCAAGCCAACCACTTGATCAAACGCTAATCTAAAATATTTTATTTTAAATTTTTGAAAGGATCTTACTTCTAAAACACTTGCTACATAAAAATGACACTTCAAAGTCAGCCTCAGAGCTGTCGAAATCTATTAATCCTGCTTCCGTATAGAAGGATTTTCAAAAGTTTATGAAAGTCTTACCGATTTTGATCTCGAAGATAACATTCCGTAACCAGAGAAAAACACGGTGAGTGTCCGGTTATAAGAAATTTTACTGTATTAAAAACAATTCATTGAAATGATCAATTTAAAATACTCGCTATGATACAACGCATAGCGATGCAATTTTCGTAATATACAAATGTATAATAATTTTGATATGCCCTTATACTAACGAAACGGGTTCCTGCCTAATTGCTTTTACGCATTAAAATTCTTGTGCTCGCATTCCGAAAGCGTGCCATTAAGTGCCTGCTTTACCTTGACTGTTTAATTTTCCTCGACTCATTTTAAATTCAAAGCAGCTGTCAAAATTTTCAGTGAAAGCTAATTTTCTAAAAAATTTCAATTTAAAGTTTATTTTTCTCTGTTCTACGAGGGAAATTTTGTAATGATGCCCTTTGTTTATTGCTTTCGTTACCTGGCCTTGTTACAGAATAATTGTTAACTATTTGTTTTGCTTTATTCGCAAGGGTATGGGGCGGTGGGGGTGTTAGGCGTTCTGTGTAGGCTTACAGGTGGCACACCTATAATAACTGTGATTCGAAATAGGTGTTCACCCAATTTGTGGAATCGATAAATATCAAAATACATATACGTTGGTTAAACACAGCAACCGTAGAAGTGTAAACTTGCCAATGCCAACAAAATTTGATACTTCTGACTTAGACATTGTTTACACTTTCTAGAATAATTTTTTCACTATTTTAAGTCGCAATAAATGCAATTAATTTGAGAGGTTATGTACAATATACACACATACCCGTGTATTAAAATAACAAATATATTAATTACAAATTATATATAAAATAAAGAATTAATAAAATAAGGTTAACCTTTTTTCAAATTCTGTCACATAAATTCTGATTCAAATTCTGTGAATAGATAGATAATCTGTGCATAGATAGATCATTTTTGAGATATTTAATAGGTAATTACGCCACCTCTTTAAGTTTTTTAATCTAAATAGCTTAGTTTATTCACTAGTTTTTTGTCTGAATATGATTCTGATTACAACTACTGCTAAAGATTAATAACAGTGAGACCTACAGATGCTGGTAAATGGATCACAAAACATCTACCTATTTTATATGCAATTAATAGGGAATTCATCTATTATTTTTTATCTGACATTAAATAATCTGAATAATGTCTAAAATCTTGATATAAAGTATGATATAGAGTATGTTTATCAATAGATACTTTTTTAGAGATAGCACAAAGATCGTGAGTTATTATTGACCTTTCTAATAATAATAAATACTCTATTCATGGAATTGTAACAGAGAGCGGGCAATTAACCTTTTTGGTCTTATGCGGTTAAACTTGGAGACGTTAATTTGATATGTGAAAAGTATTTTTTTAATAGAAATAAGATATAATCAGAATATACTTCAAGTTTGTTTTAATCAATTTTGTTAAAAATAAATAAACAAAACAACTTATGGTGTCACGTTAATCGCTTGGCAACCGAAGGAACCCACCAACTCGCAAAAACAATGGAGTAAAAAACGAAAACATGTTTTTATTTGCGTAATTGTTGTTTACAGTTTTTATTCCACAAATGCATCGAATGATCGTGTGCATTGTGGAAGCACATAGCATAAATTTTATCGTGTTTACATCGAAAAACTAAAAAAAATACAAATCAATTACAATAACTGCTACTGCATAAAAAGATAACAAAAAAAAAAATAAGTGTACATAAATAAATGAACAAAAACAACACTGTTTAATTTTTTTTTAAACTTTTATTTTCAATCGGTCCTACAGTCGGTCAGACAGCTTTGTGGTAAGAAATCAAATTAATAACTCAGAATCTTTATGAGAATTACATTACATTAATTCAGCGCTCATGGTATTTATCCTTTTAATTTTTGATAAATAATATTAACTCTCTACAAAAGTCCCTACGTTCTCTTTTAACGTGTATCAGATAAAAAACAACTGTATAGACCAAAGAACGACAATGAGTGCTCAACACTCGAGTCATAATCGAATTATTGGCTGTATTTCACTTAAAGCATGCTGTCTTTCTTTTTCGTATATCCAAATCCAACTGTTTCACACATACAGCTAACAGCACTTATAATGATTCGTACTCTTTTAATATAATACTCATAAACACCGAGACTTGACATAAAAATGATGGAAGTGATTTATGAAACATTAATGAGTATTACGTCACAGTCGGCAAAAATTTACCTACTATTGTTTACTGTGCATTCAACTAAAATAACCCCGTATTTAATGCACACATAATATTTAAACGAACGAACGAAATGCATGCCTTAATAATGCTAACGAATAAAAACACAAACAAATTTTTTGCTTAGCAAACAATAGTACTTCAGGAATGCCATAACTGATCGAATCGAATTCTTTTTCGATAAGTTCATTCATTGATTCATACCACTTGAATGAGTATATACTATACTCTGATTCACGTCATTTTCTACTTATGCTACTCTACTCATTAATGAAAATACTTATAAAACATTTCTGTGATGAATGTGAAGTAGTGTATGAGAAAATCTATTTATATCTATTTATACTTTAAGTGTTAAAATTATAACTCATTGCAATTCTCTGCTAACGACCAAGCAATGTCTACGCGATAAAAGAAGTATATGAAAACTTTAGATTATTATATGCTAAAAAGACCCAGGGATACTGTCACTCCACTAACATCCGTCAACACACTTTTTTGTTTGACAGACTAGACTGATTGTGCCACAAAAAATCTCTGTAGAAGCTATTAGGATAAGAGCATGGAAGCAACGGTTTAAAAACTTTTGTGTTATTATGGGTCTCCCTTCAGATATAGTAAATTTCTTAAAATATTTCTACTCTAAAAAATTAAGTCAGTCTTATGAATCCTAAATTGATGACACAATGTACCCTAAAATAAATAAATTAGTAAATAATTAAAGATGAATAAATAATTGTGGTTAATGTAGTTTGTTACTGTGATCACTATATGTATATGCAATATTCATATTTTGAATATGTTCTACCAATATTAATTACATAAAACTTTTATTGTATAAATATATAGTGTATAAAGTATGTATATATAATTTATTAATGAAGTATATACATTTAAATGTAAAAGTAAGTAACTACTCTTTATACTACATACCTAAAATATCTGTTATAAATTAATATTTTCATTTATAAATAAATTATCAGAAACAGTTTGAAATTCGTTAATATCGACCGTAAGGCAATTTAGTAGCTTCTTTCTGCTCTGATCGCGTTTTAAAATGTAGGCCATTAACGCTACACTCAAGCAACACAGCTTGTTTTTATTTTTTAAATTAAGTAAACAAATTATTTCGTTTCTTAAAATAAAAGTTGAAGAAATTGCTGATGAAATTTGTATTTAAGGTTAATAGTTTATAAGTAAATAAATACTTTTTAGATTGCATTTTAAAAACTAGTTTAAACTTGTTTTCGATGAAACGAGGTCATAATTTGCGTTAAAACAGCTGATAATGATGACCCCGATTAGGATGTTGTCCGAAAGAGACTATTGGACTTTTTTTTAGTATGACACGTATCTGAATGATGACTAGCTTTATATATTTCAGAAGTAAACTCATAAGGAAGAACTGATAACAAACCAGACAGAGACAACACGTGTTTTTTCATTGTTTTTTTAATTTTAAATAAACTTGGTAAAGACCTCTACTTTTAGTATTACCGTTATAGTTATTAACGACTAAATTCGTGTTAGCATATAGTACTTTCGAAAAAAGTACAAACCTTAATTTGTGATATCTACAATTTTAACATAAACAAAAAATCTTAAATATTTATTTGAAACAGGTACAATCAGATTGTGGTCTGGTCCAATTCAAATAAAAAACATTAATTACCTTTTGTTTTTTATTAGTATAATTTACAATGGATCACTTTCTAATGGGAATCCATGCCAAAAGACCACATTTAGTTGTTTAATTTGTAATGACGAGATGGAAAACAAGCACACGCCATATGTTCTGTATCTATACCGCTGTCTTGATCCTAAAACTTTAGGATTACATAATTAAGAGACACTGTCGGCAACATTCTGATAAACATTTTGTAAAATTAGTTAAAAAATCTATATGGTTTTTCAAATTAGAGAAGAGGAAAGAAAGTCCTACTGCAGACAAGATGCAAAAGGTTTAGTGGGTCAACTATGATAGCCAGTAACCGTACAATCTTACATATATATTCAAAAGAAAAATATATTGATTTTTGTTTAAAAGTGTTAACTTCTATACGTAAAAGTACCTTTATTGATTATTTGTAGTAACACATAACTTTGCTCTTAGATAAACTCTTACCGAGAATTAAAATATTTTATAATGTTATAATTATTATAAAATTTTAAATAAACCGTAATTATAGTTATAAGAATTGTTTGAAGCATAACATAATTTTCACGATAAAAAGTTATGTTCTTTTACATATTTAATTAATCAATTTACAAAGTTAATATCAAGTTAAATATTTATTTGATTATTATATATTTCAGATCAATTTATGTATATATACAATTTCATTATTTTCCGTTATTAGTGCAAGTGTAGGGCAATGGCAAGTCGCTGTATATCTATTTGAAAATCTGAAATCTATTATGTGAACAAAATTATTTCTCAGCCTCTATAATTCAGTCTAAAATTGATAACGTGTATAATTGATAATATATATATATGCATATAAAAGAGATTTTACGTTCTGTATAAAGAGGCACACATAGTCTCAAACTTATAAAAAAACAAATGGCAAGTTTTTACATAATAAAATTACACTTGTAAAAACACTGTACATACATACACACGTTCATCTGACTGTGTGATTAATTTATGGTGATTCCATAACACAATAGCAACAAAATAAAATAACAAAATAACAAAGGCAGGCAAGCAATCGACATCGAACGGTCAGTTAATCTGGAAATTTAGTTGCTGCCTGCTGTCTTGTATACTTCGGTAGTTTCGTTTGAGTCTGAGAACTGAGCGGATTTGGTGTTGTACACCGGACAGTATATAAATTTTACAATTCAACTTGGCCTTACATTCTACCTTTAAAAGCGATCGCATGCGGTATTTCTTAATCTCCATCTGTAAAAGTGCCTGTGATATTAAATAACTAAAAGCACTGATTAAAGAGCAAAACCGTGTTATCAAATTGAAATCAATAAACTTAAAGAAAGATAAAACTCTTAATTAAATTAAAATCATAAGAAAACCAAAAAATAACCAAATGATAAATTATTAAAGCTAACTGTAAAAAGGAAAGTAGAAAGTGATCAAATATAAAAAACAAAATCGCCTGTGAATAACAAAAAGTGCATTAAGCAGATTTTAATTGACAAAGGGAATAATTATCTGTGTAATTTACCAGTGCAAAGCTTTTAAGACAATTTACTACAGTTTTCGATTCGACTGTAGAAGCTTTTATCGTACTGAGAACGAAATAACACCAAAACATAGATAAATACTCATTAAAATGAATTGCTCAGCGATCAGTGTTGCTCGCACAGCAACAAATGGTGTATCATTTAACGGTGCTTTCCACACGGCACCAGTGACCACTTTAACCTCAGCATCAAAAGGTGTTGGTGGTGTTGGCACTAATAATTTAATTTTATCGTGTAATAACACTAGTAACAAAACGATAAATATGACCGGTAATCAATTGAACCAAGCCACGTCAAGAACGTCAACCACAAAAGCAACACCCACAGCAGAAACAGTGACGGTGCCAGTGCTAGTGCCAGTGCCAGTTAATCAGTATTTACCAAAGCAACCAGAATTGGCTGCGAAAATAATACAACAATCCAATATAGTTTGCTTCGATGTGGACTCTACAGTCATAACGGAAGAGGGCATTGATGAATTAGCTGATTTTTGTGGCAAAGGTGCTGAAGTCGCACGTGTCACGAAGGAAGCCATGGGCGGTGCAATGACCTTTCAAGATGCTCTCATGATAAGATTAAATATTATACGTCCGACGCAAAAACAAATCAGTGATTTTATTAAAATCCGTCCAAGCATACTGACACGCAACGTTAAACGTTTCATCGAACAACTGAAAGCGGACGGAAAACAAGTTTATTTAATATCGGGCGGTTTTGACTGTTTAATTGAGCCCGTTGCACGTGAGTTGGATATACCGATAACAAATTTATTTGCCAACAAATTAATGTTTTATCATAACGGAGACTATGCCAGCTTTGACACAACGCAGCCAACATCCAAATCTGGTGGGAAGGCCGAGGCCATATCATTAATCAAAAAACAAAACCCAGATGCTTTGATAACAATGATTGGTGACGGTGCAACTGATTTAGAAGCAGTACCACCTGCAAACTATTTCATTGGATTTGGAGGAAATGTTGTACGGGCTGAGGTATACAAGCGGGCGGAATATTACATAACCAATTTTGAGCAAATAACGTCAAATTCATAAAAATAATAACTTTTTTAATTTACATATATTTAATTAAGTTATCATAAGGAATAAGTGCTTATTCATCACAGATATAATATATTAATAATATTGATAAAAATAATTTAGTACGAATTAAATTTCAAAAAATATTTTTTTGTTGTTAAAAAAGAAACACAATATTGAAATCATTTTAGCAAAAATAAATTAACAAAAATAAGCGAAATGCAGTATCAGAGATATAGATAGAAATCCATATCTTTGGTAGTATGTTAAAGTATTTCTCGTATATATATTATACCATATAAATATGTAAATCAAAATCATTATCAATATTATATGAAGGAAAAGTAAATACTGAATAAAATAAGACATTAGAATGAATTAAAAAAAAATATTTAAAGGCTTGTTTATATTATGGAAAGGGTTCCTAGAAGAGTTGTGGTAATAAGGATCAATTGCCCCGGTTGCAGCAGTAAGAAGATGTCGTTATTTGACCAAATTAAAATAAATTTTATCGTTTATAAATTAACAACAATGCACTTTGGACTGTGATTATAAAAATAAAAATTCTTCTATATCACATTATAAAATTATGAATATATTGAACATATTGAAAAAGTGAAACAGTAATACATTTTTTTCTTGGGCTCATTAAGAGGATTCAATGCAAAAAATCCAACATAAGTACATAATTTTAGAGAAAAATAATTATTATAATTTGATATAAAAAGAATATTAAAATTAAGAGTGTCCATAGAAAACGGAAAAAAATCTTATGGGGAAACTGATTCACTTTTATAACTGATTAAAATTATATATTGGACATTTCTATTTTCGAAATAAAAATATAATTTTTTATTCATAAAGCTTATGTTTTCTCTAAAATAACGTCTTTCATCTGTTTTCCTGCCCTAACGCACACATTATGCACCATGGCTCCAACCCATTGAAATCGCAAGTCCATTCCACCTCGATTAAAATTAGCTTTAATTAAGACCCATACTCTGAATCTCACTCCACCTCGAATAACCCTTTCTCTTCTGATTCTACCTTCACTCAATTACATTCTACCCCATGTAGTCATATGTTATGTTTCATGTTTTTTACAATATAGCTTTTCACTGATTAGAACTCTGCAATCCCGAAATTACTTGTCTGAAACGCACAAAATTAACTACCCACTCCCGTTTGAGTTTACTGTGTTACAGAAAGAAGTATTAAATTTTTATATGAATAAGAAAATTTACTCCATTACTCCACTTATAAACGCAGTGAATGATCAACTTAATTTAAGTGTATTTGTTGAAACGAATAAAAATCAAATTACCAACTAATAGCATCAATAAAAAAAAAACATACAATGAAATACATAGGAAATAATATTAAGTAATTGCACAAAAAATTTCTGTAGAAAACGTCCGTATAAACAGTTATTTTTAAAATATAATACTTAACTAATTAAACTAACCACATGAAATAAGAATGAGAGAAAATAATTATGTAGAAAATTTTTACATAAACATTATTTTATTTAAGATTGCTTAGTGTGAACAAAGTTATACGATACTGTTGTTGGGCTGCGTAAAACAGATGTTCAAAGTTATGTACAAAGTCAATTATATAAATAGCAACAACACAACTAAATTGAAATATTAATTTCAATTTATAATTCTAAGATACATCTGCGCTCTGTCGGTATATCTTATCATTATGTTATAAGCGAAGCTACCGTGTTGGTTGTGAACCGCCAACACAGTTCAAACAATACGCAAAAAATTTAAATTTTATTATAAAATAAAACTTTAATTAAAAAAGTTGTATCTATTGCCAAAACACCTACAGCTGGCAACAAATTCTTTATTCAACTTTTTACTTCAAAGTCAAGAGAGCGTGATTTCACATCAATATAAGGCCAACGATCAACGATCAAACACATAAATTGGTTTTAGAGGCAGAACTTATCTAGTGAGGAAATAGATATTGTTAATAAATTCTGTTTCAATATTGGCCAGAAATGTATGGCGGCGGATGGCTTAGTCATTTAGATATATTGCGTAGGAGTACATTAAATATATACTAATTTGGTAATTTCAATTTTAAAATTGCGATACATGAGCCGATATTGAGTTTACATAGATTAGAGCAATTATAACCTTCTAGTTATTTTTTTTTTTGCATTTAAAATAAATTTATACTTATTACATTTCAATAACAAGTGTAAAAACAAATGTTTAGAAAGTATGAAGTAAAATATTTACTTATGAGAAATTCTCATTATTTATGTTAATCATTTCCATTTATTATAACAAACGATAAATATTAATATATTTTTTAACTTCAGTTTATAAGCAATTCAGATTAGTCTCACCTAAGGCAATTAGGCCACAATCAAACCTTGCGTTTTAATGATAATAAATGAGTATTATAATTCGATTGTAACAACGACACCTTTTGTTTTTATCACAACGGAAATCATAATAAATATAATTTATTATAATATAATATTGGTAAAAGCTTCAGTTTAAACATAATACGTGTATATCTTTGCTAGCCCAACAAGAATAATAGTACTACATGCATATATTCATTGGAATAATAGTACTGTTGTACCCATAAGAATTATTATTAACTTATACATTCATGTATATATCACTTTCATATTAATATTCATATTATATTCATTTATAATTATTATAAAATAAAAAACAACTGAATAGTTCTGTTGCATTACACTTACACAAAATTTGTACTTACACAAAAGCGATCTTTAACTTTATTTGATATTTTTATGCAATGGCAAGCCTTTTTTTGAGAAACTAACGATGAGATCACCGACCGTTGAATGCTTGAAAATGCTTGGTACAATTGAGACTTCGTAAGCGTTCAACTGAGGACGTAACAGAACGTAGAGATATTAACTTGGTTAAAAGCCCGACATTACTATTTTCGTTTTTACCGACGCGAATTTCGATTACAATTTTATTGTGTTGTACTTCAATATTTTATTGTAAAACTCTCCTGCCGCAAATTTGATATTAGTTAGTTTTTTCCTAAGCTGCTTCGCAATGCAACGAATTCTGGAATTTTATCAACAGCATCCACCAATTAAATTCCAACGCATGCACCAATTTTATTGATTAAAAATTTCGGTATACTTTTTCTTGCTCTAAGAAATACAAAAAAAATAACAAATAGTGACGTTAATAGAATATCTCAAGCTCGTCACTTAATTGCCGCAAATGCCGTTTTACCAAACAAGCGAATGGGTTTTATAGACTGTTTTCAAAATTTGTACTAACTTTGAAATAATTAATTTTTTTTCAACAGGCTCGCGCACAACAATGCAAGCGCAGGCACCACACAACCGTAAAGTTTAAATAACTTTAACAGACTGACTGCTACAGTTGCCGTTGGCTTTTGCATGTTTTTGTAGGGTGGGGTAGAGTGAAAGCAAAGCTTAGCATACTTTTCGTAGGAGAGTTGGTGTTATTGTATGTATTACTTTTTTTTTCCAGTTAAAAGTGGTTGTTGTGATACTGTTGCTTGACGATTGTTGTTTTGTTTGGGAATGACTTACCTCACATGAATCACTCGATTTGCCGCTTATTTTGTTTACTGCGGGTCTTCCACCATATTAAGCAGAAAAGCTCCACGAAGTTTCTAATTCTACACAATTTAACTTAATCTAAATGAAAATAAAACAGAAATTTCGTCTGTACTTCAGAAACTGAACTGTCACACATAATATTTTTCTAGCATGTAATATATGATTTTGACATTTGAATTGTCTATGAATAATTTCTGTTTCAAGAAATTTTTAACCTTTTAATGCCCATTTAAAATATTTATGTGTGAGTTGTATATTATAAATATTTAGAACTCTGATCATTTTGAATTAATTTACTGAATGGTCTAAACTTATATATATATAAACTTATAATTTAATTTTTATTTATTTACTTGATCTTTTCTATCAGTTTTTTTTGAACTCATAAAATATAATATCACACATATTTACGATTTTTCTTTAGCATGTTAGAAAAAACCCGTGCTCAAATGTATAAACACCTTCTCGAATTTTGTTCAAGAACAAAAATTAGCACGCATATGTGAAAAAGTAAATGTATACAAATATTTAACAACTGTAGATGCGCGCAGTTTTAAATTTATCCGTATTGTTATATATAATCAATTAAACATCTAATACTGTTTTATTTAAGAGAAATATCTCGATTTTTAAGCAACGATTTTAACAAATTCGCTTTATTTTCTATATTAAAAACTTATTTAGTCGTTACGTATCGTAAGAACTTAAGTAACGACTAACTGATCCCTAATACGTGAGTTTTTGTCGGTTCAGCCATATTTGAGACATTCAGTCCGCAATATGGTAATATGGCACAGCCTTTTAAAAACCTTGAAGGTATAAAATATTAATGTCGCTTTATGATTTTAAAAAGTAAATGGAATAAAAAAGAATATACAGAAGAAACAAGCAGCAGTTACAATGCTGCATGTAATGAAAGATTGAGTAAAAACTATACAGTAAAGTCAGAGGAAATATGCATATACACCTTATTTGAGAGTAACCACTTTGGTACGTACCGACTAACTGAGCCTTTAACAAAAAAAATCAGAACATTGCAATTGCAAACACCTAAACCGGTGATACCACACTCAAAAATCTTGCGGAAGATCATTTGAAAGATCTTTCATGTTCTGGCAGTGCTGTTTTTCGAGACTGAAAGCTGTTTTTGGTCTTTCACAATACCAAATAAAAGGCCTGCCGTTGATCAGATCTTTCGATTAAGAGCTGATATTTTCTTTGTGTTTTTCTTGAGTAGAATTTTATAATAAAAATTAATAATCATGACTTTTAGTAAAGTTATATATTTTACTATCTTTATTGATAAGTTAAAAAATATTTTATACGATTGTACATAATATATATATGTAATTCTTAATATTTATGTATTTTAATGTTTTAAATAAACTTTGTATAATTTAAAATTATAAATATACTATGTAATCATGATTATTTTTCTGTGCAACTTTACAAATGGCATAATATCGTAGATTTTTTACGATCTTAGAAGAATAAGAAAAGAAATGTCGAATCTATTCAAAACAAACATTGAAAATGCCGAAGTGTTTAATAATGGTTTTATACATAATTATAACTAAAATTTGTTACTAACATTGACAGACGAGCGCACTAAATTATCATTAAGCGGCCTTAAATGATCATTTTGTAAATACCCTGACAGACGGTATAAATTATCATTAAGAGGTTGCTGTAAGGAAAATTTCAACCTCTTCCGTCCATGCGTGGCGCTTGAGTTTATTAATTTGAGTCATCTAAAATCAAAAGAAATATAAAGTATATAAAAAAATATAAAATATATAAAAATATAACGAGTACTTACAATTACCAATGTTTCCAAATATGTTTTGTTTACATTTTGACAACCAAATAGCTTGAAATTTGTTCCAATTTTTATTTCGTTTCACTTGCATATGCAGCATTACCATTTCTAAAAACCTAAATGACTATTAAATTGGGTTAAATTCGGCCATTTAAAGACCATAAATGATCATTTAATTCTGCTAAATGAGCAAATAAATTATAATTTAGCCACTTAATGATAATTTACCTCCCGTCTGTCAATGCTATAAATTATTGTTATAAAATTATATATTAAATTTATATTATAATTTTTTGTACAAGATTGTAATTAAATGCTTTATTTACAGAAATTTATCAAACACATGAAACGAAACATAACAAGAGAGACATCAAAATTAATCTTCAATGCATAATGTAAACGGTGTAGATTAAATATGTAAATTAACCTAATCTCGTTGTCTTAACTTCACAATGCAAACGAACCATTACATATGTTAACGATTAACAGCTGTTTTTGTTTCTTCCTACCACAAATTACAAATGATAAAATTTATTTAAAGACTTTTGTGCCAGAAACCTAAAATCTTACAAACGGTCTTACGGTCTCTCTAACAAAGATCTTACGCACTATTTTTAACGATTTTTGTCAGAATTACTCTGTAAATATAAATAAACTAGCAACCATATAATATACATAGTGAAACTGAGAAGAAATTTTGAATAATTATATCACTTTGTGTTATATCGGGAAAAATATATCTTGTATATTTACCATACTAGAATTATCACATATTAAAATAGTTATCACATAATTCTCGTAACAAATTTTTTATGTCAAAAAGCCAAAAAAAGCAACGAAATTACTCAGAAAGTGCTTTTATTTTAGAATACATCGTTGAGTAAGGACGGTGTGGGCAAAATAGCAAAACCGGTTGGGGTAAAATATTAAGCACCATTGTGTAGTACTATGCTCTTTGCTTTTGTACTACGTGATATTTTCGCTTTATTACATATAATTATTATTATTCGGATAATCCAGAAATTGTATACACAATTTTTCGACTAACACTCAGTTTCTTTTCTTAATCTTCTTTATTAGCAATTGTTGATTTGATAGTTCGTATTTGATAGTGATAAATATTGACATTACATACAAATTAGTAAGCTCACATTTAACAATTTAATATTATAGGATCTTAGCATGCTAAATAAATATCGTTTAAAGATTTAAAAATTCATGTATAACAACTACATGCAAATGCAATTTTTGATCGATAAAATTCAAGTGCACGTAGATCGAAACAATTTTGTTTCTGTTTATTTAAAATTATTATCATTCACATTGATGAGTGTACAGTTCGCAGGAATACAAGCAAAATGAACATATAGGCGCCGCCTTCAATCATACAATGTTCCTTGCAAGATCAATCAGAGATTATTGAATGATCACACACTGAAAATGTTGCAAACAGATCAGCTGCTTTTATCGAAATTACCGATTTGAAGAACGATTCGATTCTTTACAAACAGAACTTTGATTATTTGTTAGATATTAACTAAATACAACTACATGTAGTAACTGCATTCATTAACCACAATTCAATACATATATTTAAGTTTCTCTCTGGAATCAAAATTAAACCTTTGGATTAACGTTTTATCAACCTGAGCAAAATTAATGAATAATTTATTTCGTTTTCATGCTGCCGTATGCAATTTGTTTCCTTTCCTATTATTTATTATTTACCATTACCTTACGTGCAGTCCCAAAGAATAACAACGCTCAAACTCGCTAAAGCTCAAACGCAAGGTTACATTAATTAAATAACTAATTCTTTGGACAAATATTGTATAAAAAACTAAACGTGTATTTAACGGCTTTGCCCACAATTTTTTATTTATATTACCAAATTCAAATTCCTTTTTTATATAGCTTTCAAGTTTGCATTCCAGCGAAGGAAAATATTTAATATATTTTTAACATATCAATAACAGTAATATTATTATAATGCGTTTAGGGTATACATAAATTAATTTATTGGTCTGTCCTATTAATTGACGCATTGACTCCTTTACCAGGTCACAGAGTAGTATTTTTAATTTGTATAGCATATCTCAATTACCATTTCATAGCTTTGAATATACTTTTAACTTATTGTGTCTATTAACAGCAACTTATGGCGGTCATTATTTGTGTTTTTCTTTTTCTTTAAAAACAATATCACAATATTTTTATATTTGTTGTTTAGGATGGTTATCAAGTCGAATTTTTTGATATTGGTATGACTCCATATGGCTAATTGTAGTCTACGGCACGTCAAGTTATAAATATTTATTGGTATTGTAATACTAGTAATCTCACACAATTGCAAACAAATTTGTTTCACATTTAATCGAAGCAACAAAACAGCATTTACCACGAATTGAGGACAGAGCGGCATGTCATGCCATATCAGTTGGGATCACAACTATTTTATATGTTATTTTTATTATTTATACCACATTGTACTGAATTTTGTTGTAATGCACTTTTTCACAATAAAAAACTTTCACGAATTTAGATTTTAATTTTTTTATTGAAAAAAATTATCCGTTTATTATTTATGTTTAAATAAAATCTAATTTCTTCTGCTGAAGTTGTTAGTAGAAGGTTGAGTCAATTGGAGACCACGAATGTTGTGGAAGTCCAAGAGTTTCAACATCTCCTTGGTATCAGGATCGACTTCAATGATGTCTTGTTCCAAAGCAGATACGGCCGGAACGTAATTATCGCGACGTTCGCGTTCTTCTTCTTGCAGCTTTATTGAAATACCACGCACTTGCGAGTGACGCAAACGGCCCATTAAGTGAGTAACATATCTGTAAACAAAATAACATGAATCCATGTTCTACGAAAAGCATGTATTGCTTTCAGAATTTAAACAAAATTCTTAAAACAATTATCTGACTTATATACATAGGCTGGAGGGTTAATGTTAGTTAAACTTACCCGGCAATTTTGTTTCTTAGTGGTTTGGTAGGGATAATTGCAACTTCCTCACAGATTCTCTTATTTGTGTGAAAGTCCAATGTAAGGCGAGTGTAGTACTTCTCAATGATGACTTTAGCAGCCTTCTTTACTGTTTTGGTTCTGACACGACCCTATATGTATGATCAAAGATATAAAAAAACAAAACAATTTTTTAATACTTTATAAATGTTATTTTGTTTCAACTTGATATTAATAAAAACAGTATCGTATAAAAAAGTTCACACTATTACAATAACTATTTCAGTTTTTCATTTTATTTTTAAATAAAGATGAAGTTATATTTTATTGATATTTAATATATATTTCTAATAGTGACACCTACCATGGCGAACGATTTTACCGGAAAAGAACAGCGAACTATGTTTTTGTATGGACGTATGTATTATATTGTTTGACATAAGGTTTTTGTAGAGTTCAGCTATTCAATGACTTAAGAGATAATGAATTTAAAAATTTATGATTTAAAATTTTGAAGAAATAAAATTATAATATCGCAAAATGAACAAAAAACACATATAATTGTTTATAATTAATTAATATTTATGTATTTATATATAATCATAAATCAGAAACTAAATTCGGAATAAATTAGATGGGTTATAATAAAATGAGTATGTATTATAATTATATTTTAAACATACACGATTTGACAATTCATTTAAAATCAAATTTTTACATTTCGTATTTGTAGAAATTTTTCGTTAAAACTCGATGTTTGCTAAAAATTTGTAGTGATATGTATTTCTAAATAAAAGTATTTAGTTTCCGTTACTAGGAAACAATAATTAGTATGAAAAATTCCAATTGGATTTTATAAAATCATCAAGATAATATTACGTTTATTTTGAAAAATGAATGGTGATAAAAGTTCACCAGGAAGTTTAATTAACTGCTCTGTAGATAATGATGATGTGGAGTTACAAGAATTCTTGGATTTTTTGAATGTATCCTGCCAGGTGAACGATGCGATTGCTAGAAAAAGTCAACAAAATTTGGCGACCTCATTGCCAAATAAGGTCAAACTGCAACAAGAAATTGACTTTAATGAATTAGCTAATAATAGACTTATAAATAACTTGTATGGATTTAACAGAGAATCCAAAGAGAATTTTCAAGAACCTGCCAAGACCACGGTAGATCCAATAAAATCGACTACTTGCAATACTAGAAATTCATCAGTTAACAGTACAGTTCAGAATATACGGACTCAACAGCATGCAATCCACCAGAGACCAGATATTGTTAAATTGTCCAATTTGCATGCAAAATTAAACGCAAAGCTAGATTTCGTAATAAACGAAGGCGTGCTTGATTCTGTACTTCCATACATTTGCCCCGTGCAAGTTCCAATCGATTGCAAAAATCGCATAAAAACGAAGAAAGACGTAACAAAATCAAATATAGAAATGCTAAATGTGACAAATAGCACTACTAGCAACGTCGCAAGCAGTCATCCAGAACCAGAGATCATAACTGTACCCGTAATTGTAGATTCAAAAGAGAGTGAGCATATCACCAAAACGGAAACAATAAAGTCGGAATCACAGAAGGAGTAATGGTTTTATATTTACTTTTATATTTGTATTTCAATCGAGGAATAAAAATCTTTATAATTATAGGGCTGAAGTGGTTATCCATGTGTGTGATGAAGCAAAGAAAGTGTCTTGTGATTTTTACTGCCCGAAAAACCTGCTTGTAAGTAAAATGGGGTATTTTGCCGATGTCACGGCAGGGCAAAAATTAGAAGAAATGGACATATCTGTGCACTGTGAGGTGCAAATATTTGAATGGCTTATAAAATGGGTCAAATACACCAATGCTATTGAGCATGAACATCCGTCTACCACATCACTATTAGATCCAGGGCCACAATTAGATGCGAGCAATGTTATTCAAATATTGGTATCCGCGTCCTTTCTGCAGGTAATTTATTACATTTAAGTTGATAAAGTCTAATCTAAAGGCTAACTTTAAACCTTGGTTCAAAACCTTGGCAGATGGAACCGTTAATACAAGATTGTCTCTCCTATTGTCATTCACATTTAAGTGAAGTAGTGCGTACAGCCAACAATCTTGCATGTCTGAACGATGCGTTAATCATACGCTTGGCTGCTATGTTCACAAATGAGGAGTTGGAGAAAGTACGAGATAAAAAGGAGCGAATAACTCCGAGACTATGGACCAAATTTATACAAAGTCTTTGTGAACCGGAACCTGAGACATTACGAGGTCACTATTACAGTTTATCTGGTTTGTTTCGCTGTTCTAGGTATGTTGCAATAAATTCACGATAAATACCCTTAACGATTTATATTCGATTTTTAAGATGCGGAAAATGCCTTACCAATACTTCGAAATCCTATATAACATGTCTGCCCTCTAATATGCGTTTGAATCGTTGGGGCCAATTAGTTAGCTATCATGTTCGAGACGCCACTTGGGACATTAACGCATATATAATCCAGTTATTTAAGGAATTTAAATCTTGGAGAAAGGTTTACTGGAAGTTATGGGGTCATTGTCATTTTCTATACTGTTGCATATGCGAAATGTATTTTCCTGTGTACCAGGTATCACATTTTTTAAATATGACTTAAACGAAATCAATCCATTTAAACTTATTCAATAAACAGCTAGCATGGTGTCGTTATCATACGGAAGGTCCAAACTTTTTTGGACCGATGAGTGAGGGACCTGTAGCAGGACCAGTCGGTAGCACATACATTTTACTTTTTTATAATTCATATAGTTTATATCAATTTTAATACACTAATAGGAAGATATCCTTGCTGTTCGCAACAAGCCTTCCGTTTTGAGACCTTACCTGGACCTAATGTATGAGTAAAAATTTTTTATTTATAAAATTTATTGATGAATAATGAGATCACACTTTTCAGGGCTGTCAATTTCGCGAACATAGCGTTATTGTGGAAACTGAACGTGAGCGATCAATATTATCATTAACTCAAATCATTAGTGATAATTATGCGCTCGTCGAAAATCCTCCAATCAAGCTTCAAGAGGCTGTAGCTACTGGTGGAATTGAACCTCGTTGGATGGGAATACCGTTGTTGCCACAGCGATTTCGTCAGGGTCTACTGCCAATATTAAAACCGGAAGGTATTTCAATTAAAGTATTCAAAAATATATGCTAAAACATATTTGTTTTTTAGAGTCTACAGCAAAATTACAAAGACGTTCCCGTCAACTTAAATCCTATTTTGACGCATCCAGTGTAGAGTCGAGCGATAGCACCGACTCAGAAGTTCAAATACATGATAACAAAAGTTTTGTTCGGAATGCTACGTCGTATTGTGGTTTTGCATCTAGTAGCGATGGTTGCGAGTCCGAATGTCGAAGCACAAAAACCATGCGTTTCAAGAAGATGAAAAAAAGGTACCAGAATGCATAAAAGAATTGAATGAATTCAATAAATTAGTTGCACATTAGATCTCATAAAGTGCCTGATATAGACTATATCTATATAACTGTGATTACAATTAAATTAATGTTAATTTAATTTCTTACTTTTCGGAAGAGTAAAGGGCTGAATTTTCATTTTGTATATAAAAAATTATATGATTGAGATTATTTTTTAATAGTGCATATCGATTAGACCTAGATATTCGAAAATACGCATATAAGGAAAAACTTATTTATTTTTCGTATTTCAAATTGCATCAGATGAACGATTTCTGATGAAAATAAAATAATAAGAATAATTTCAGAGATTTGGAAGTCATTATATGATAATTATCTTTTTCAACATACTACTTGAGGATGTAGAGTGAAGAATATCATTTTAGTAGAGCCTAGATTTCAGGCTATAAAAACGAAATCAAATGAACATTTTCTTTATATTCGTCATTATTAATGTTTCCATTTTTTTATGCAGAAACAAGGAACTTCGGGGACGTTTTTGGTCCGGTGATTTATCTGCTCGCAGCAACCAGGATCATCAACGAGAATTTGAAGAGCGAGTAATGGCACAAGTTACAAGTCTAATGTACAAAAAAAGTGCAACGGACCAGACCATGCAACAAAACTGTTTACCACAAGGTGGATCCTATGTCCGTTTAGAGAACGAATGGAAAGAAAATATAAAGCAGCGCACTGTAAATAATGTAACTATTAATGCAAGTTCTTCAACTGCATTATTTAAATCAAAGAATAAGTAGTATTTTTATAGGCCTATGACTTTATTTTTTTTTATAATTTCATTTAATAATGCAACAAAACACGTGTGTAACCAAATTCTAAGTAAATAATTAATTTGTTTATAATAACAACAAATAAAAGACGATACATTTTATGTCGAATGCAACTGTTCAAATAAACACTATTAATTATTATTTATGTAAAAACAAATGATCGATTTAAAACTAAAACACAAGGACTAACACAATTTAAAACATATCATTGTAAAATAATTATATTGTAATTGGTAAGAAACAAAATTGGCTCGTTTTTTAAATTTAGTATTGAAAACAGTACATTCAGCATAAAAAAATAAATAAAAACCATAAAAACAGAGAATTTATATTATAAATTTTGACAAAATTCATAATTATACATTTGGGGTCATCGTTTCAGCGAAAATTTTGTTTGAATTTGATTCTTTTTGTTGAAGGTTTTTATTTTTATTTTATTTAAGCTTTTTTACTTCTTAACCATATTCTAGACCATCTCATTTTGTACAAAATCGATCGCATGCAGCTAACTAAAGTGGCTTTCCGTAGCCTTTTCTAGATCCCAGTTTTCCTTTGATAATACAGCTCGAGCCTCATGCTCATCGATACCCATATCTTTAAGACGTTGAATCTTGGCATCACATTCTGGAAATTTATGTGGGCCTACATCAAGATAAAAATAATGTTTTATAATAATATTTTACAGATAAAGTGCGCTTACCTCCGGCATAAGCATTTGTCCAATGCTTTGCTGTTGTTATAAATATTGGGTGCTTGTCTTTATACTGGTAGGCGACTACTGCGTCTTGAGGATCATCGGGTTCTGCTGCTGCTAATAAAGCTTGCAAAGAAAGCAAAACCGTGCGTAAGGTCATAGCAGCAGCCCTAAAATTTAAAATTAATTAAATATTAATAAATATTATATATATAGAGATATGTGTTTATAATATACCAATTCTTATAGTTAACTGCTATAAATAATGAACCAATTTCTTTCGATGTTAGATTTATCTTTCGATAAATCTAACACCACAAATAATGGCATTGACCTAGACACAGAAAAATTTATATATTACAGATCGGATAGGATCGACTAATTTCTTACACATTGAAGATATAAAAAATAGATTATTTATCTAACAATATTAATTTACATTTTAAATTGTAAATTTTAGAATTAGTTAAAAAGAATTGTATAATACTGAGGACGACACTTTAAAATTCGTTTATAAAAAACGCGTTAATGTAGTTCTAATACACCATATTTGTGGATTTGTAGGAAAACAGTAAGTTTGTGTAATTATAGAAACCGTTAAACAGCAAAGAAAGATTACTATAAACTTACCAATTGTCCTTCAATATATCTAAACAAATAGCACCAGTTACAGACGATATATTCGGATGCCATATTTTAGTAATAAAGCGCACCTGGAAAATACAAAATTAAGGCCCGAATCCACAACTTTAAAAATATGTTACCTTTGGCGGATTAAATGGATAGGTTTCTGGCACCTTAATTTCCAATATAAACTTTCCGCCTTCGTATGGTGTATCTGGTGGCCCGGCAATTTCACCCCGTAGCTCGGTCCAACTGTCATTAATCAACTCAATTTTAATTGAACACTGTACGATCTAAAAATATATATATATTTAAAATAAAATAATAAAATATACAGCATTTATTTTAAAGCATGTCAAAATTATTTTAGTTAAATTCTTAATAGTAAATTTTGCTATAAATACATAAAATGACCAATCCTGCAGTGCAAATTTGTAAATCTGACAATGACGAGGACGATGAGTGCGGTAATTAAATATACATATTATATTGATTTTCTTTTGCTTGATTTACAACAATGAAAGATAATGAAACACAATAACTCATAAAATTTACAAAATTTAACATTGTGAGCAACAATCCAAAAACTTTTAGCATGTTTAATTACAAACGGTTTCCTTTAACTGCCAAATTGGTAAAATGGAGAAAAGTGCACCCACCATTCAATAGAGAATTTAACAAGCTTTCTGCATACTTTTACTGTACAATTAAAATTTCCAACTAAAACCCTATATACTCTTACCTCTTCACTTTTCATGACTTCTTTAAATTCGCGCTTGATTCGAGATACTGCCATATTCGCCATTATGCTGCAATTGGTTGTCGCGATATACTCCTTGGGTTCCTTACTTTTATTTGGAATTGTTATTGGCTCCTTCGAGTTATTTATCCAATGTCACCCAGCCACTTTAAGTAAAGTTTCAATTAAAATTTTATATAAATATTCTAAATTTGAAATTCAGATGATTTATTTAAATTTCTCATTAAAAAAATTTAGAAACAGAATATTTCATTCTTCCACGATAGAGTAAAATAAAATGTCAAAATCATGTCTATTTAAATTCGCTCATAGAAAAATATACGGCGAATATAAAGTGCACTACGTTAAGTAAAAATCCATGAATTCAATGCATACGTAACTTTTGAAACATATTAATATATATCATTTATGAATTTTAATATAAATATTAACAAAACATTAATTTATTATATGTGCATAATACATTCAACATAATCATAAATATTTTGATTTGACACAATACAATTCCGAAAACATAATCATAGTAAAGCAACGTCTTTTCTTGTACCAACTCTACGCTTTTAATATGATTTAAACATAAATTGATTACGAAACAGGGTACAATTAATAATAATATTCACAGTATACAATAGATGCATTTGACCACAAGATTGTTCCTGTTTATTATTATTTTTTGAAGGAAATTTCTAAACAAAAACAATTTCCAAATATTTATCGTTAAACAAAGATTGAAATATTTAAGACAAATTTGTGTCGTGTTACTTGGATACAAGTAGTATGTATACTGTATAAAGTTTGTCTCAACAATCAGTTCACGTCCATATAATTAGAATTTCATTTAATTTGGTTTTTTTTTTCTCTGCAAACAAATTTTGAAAAATTTCAAAATACTTGATAGCAATATTGTTATATATTTTATATTTTAATCAATTAAATATACACAAATATGTTAGACCTATGTAATATATATATATATATATATATACCTATATATAATTTAAAATGGGAAATGAAATTGCCTTCACTATTTTACAAGTAAAGTATGTAATTTTACAATAACCAAAATATATACATTGAAATATAAAACGTGTAGAAAGTAATTTCAGTTGAAGTGAAAATATTTGAACTAAATTGTTAAATATTCCATAACTCGGCTTTTACTAATGCGTTAAGCATTAAATTGTAATCATGCCTAAAATAATCTTTAATTAAAATTTTTTACTTTGATATCCAATAAAGCTGGCTTAAATTTTACTGAATTTTACGATAGTAACTTAAAAATTTTGTTTTTAATACATATATAAAAAAAATAGTTTCATTAATTTATTAATAGTTGTCTTTTATTTCTGCAGGTTAAAAATGAAATAATTATATAAATAAATACTACTTTTATTAATTCCATGTGATATCTATCTATCGAATCCTGGTGGTTATATATTGAGTTCGGTACCAATTTATTCTCGTGTTTACTAATTCGTACTTTTAACAATTTTAAATTGTTTTAAATAAGTCGTATTTAAATAAAACATAATTAAACTAAATCATATTATTCTGAAAAAAGGTGCAACGAACAATTAAACTCAAGGAATTAAACAAATTATTTATGTGAATATTCTTCAAATAGCCGATGATTAAAATTTATTCATGAATGACTTGAAATTGAATGGAAAAACAAAAAAAAATTATTTCTGTTGGAACCAAAACTGGAAACAAACCGATATATTTTTTTAAGTGATCGAAATGAAAAAATTTCCAGTTTAAGGCCCTGTTATAAATAAACTCTGTACACTTCAGAAACTATCACTGTACACTTCAGAAATTATTGTTATCGCATATTCTCTTTCTGTATATGGTACTATTCATAATACTAATAGCTTTATTCATAATATTATAAGGGGTTCAGTCGCACAGTTTTCATAATTCGGAGAAATCAGAAATCAAAATCAAAAACGTTTACAAATTGATATTTCTAAAACTGTTTGTCATAATAATAACAAGTGTCATCTATTCTTTCTCTTTCCTATTTTTGATTCGACCAAATTTTACAAATAATGTTGCAGTTAGTTTTATACAGTACGAAATGGTAGTTTTTTTTATTGTTTTTAAAAATTGAAGCCTTCTTACATTCATTTAACATTTTTTGATTTATTCCTCAATTGTTTTTTTATTGAGAAAATTTTTTGTTTATGTTGCTTATAAAAAAATTTTAATAATTTGTTTATTTGCTGACCAAAATAGTTTTAAAGCAGATTTTTTGCTTTGAAGATTTTTTAATTTGAAGTTTTTATTAACAAATAATTTTGGTGATATGCGAAAATATTTTAAAAAGTTATCTCTGCTTTTGTATTTTGATTTGATTTTAAACACATAAGATCTCTTTCTTCAAAAATATCTCTAATGTGCAATTTATTTCTATTTATTTTCTATTTCTCTATTTTATAGTTAATGTTCTCTTAAATTTGAAATTGTTAATCAAACTAAAATTAATTACTTGTAAATGATAAAAATATTAATAATACATATAAAATAGTTTAGCATATCTTTTGTTTAAAGTTTTCAAAAAAAATTTTTCTTCATAACTTTATATAAATCCCAATAATATATAATATATAGATATTAAAACTAACCTCAAAAAATGTTTATTTCATTTAAAAAATAATTTATTGCGCTAACGTGGAGATACAATAATAAAAATTCTCGGCATTCGTTTCACAAAGTTAGAGCGAACATGGTCACTCTATCTCACAGTTAATATTTAGAAAAAAAAGGTCCGTATCCAATTCGCAAGTTATTTTTATGGAATGCTTACAGCACTTATACACACGAATATATACGTTACTCAATATGCACGCATGCATATTCAAATGTATTTTATATGGTATTGTTTAACCTTGTTTTTATGTTAAGAGATTTGAACGATCTCACTGACAGTGACAGTGGAGTTCTAAGTACTTCAGCTAGTAAAAGCGAACCATTCGTTCCTAAGCTTTTGGATAAGTGAGAACGCGGTTTATCTAGTGATTTTTAAAATTGTTATGCATGTTTTATTTTATTAGTCAAAAATTTTGTGCAATACGCCAATTCCATAAAGAGTGAAGAGAACTTTTTTAAATATTCTTAAAGCGTAAGTCTAAACACTTATTTATAGAACATAAATCAAATCAAATGATGTGTCCAATTACAAAAATAAAACGCTTATACAGACAAGTGTTTTGTGTTAGCGTAAGGCTTATTTTATTCTGTTGTATATATAATTCTTGTGCTTGTTTCGTTTGTGTAGCTTCATATTTACTTGATTTTGTTGATGTATTTACCAGAAAACGTGCCGATCGTCTGCTGCAAACACGTGGTTTACTAAGATTTGTTTGCGTCAATATGCATATGTAGGTGCGTTAAATGCCAAAAACTATTTTTTAATAAAATTTTTAAAACTAACAAATCCCTTTAATTTGAAATTTCTAAATTTAGTTAAGAAGGAAATAGTTCTCAAGGAAATCAATACGCTTTAAAAAATTCGCTAAGTATAAAGAACAGAAGCTACTGTTGATGCGTTTATAGACTATTTTCAAGTGATCACTCCTTTTATTTCGTTACTTAATGTAGTTTCAACAGTGTTCAAGGTGAAACACATTCAATGAAACTAAAAATTTAAATTACTTATTCATTTAAATTATTTTATTCTGAAGCAAATTATGGTTTAATTACCCCAGTTAAAAAACAAATTATATTTAAGCAAGCAAAATACAGGCAATATCTTTTTAAAAGATGATAAATTATCCAATAAATAATCCTATTACATAAATAAATATAAGTAAAAAATTATTATATTATTTTCAAAGTAAATTCATATTGATAAGTTGTATTGACAAAAACAAATACCTTACCACATAAGAAAAATAAATTTAACTGATATTCTTGTTAGAACACGCAAAGTAAATTTTGCGATACCGGCTAACATGTTTTTAATTCATCTTAGCGGAAGTGAAACGACGAATACTTACATTTTTATCTTCACTCTGATTAAACCATTTTGTTGCTCGACGGTAACTGAGAAAATGAAATAAAAATGTAGTAATGTAATTAATAATGATCCCTAATTTAAGGATTGTTAAAGAGAAATAATTTTACAACTTATTTATATTTAAGATAATAGATCAATTTAAAAATATTTTAAACAAAAAAAACAATTACATATGTAAGATAAAAACTCAAATATATTTTATTAGTATTTTTACAATATATTTTTTTTTCTCAATTAGGAAATTATTCATATTAGGATTCGAGCCTAACATTTTATGCTTTTAAATTCAATGATTAACCACTTATTTCTTGGATTAAATTTAATATTATCTGAAATAAAACAATTTAATATTTTAGATGTTTTTTGTACAGTTATAATTGTTCACATCTATATTATACATCTATTAATATCACTAACGAAGTAAATCCTGTAATTCAATTTAGTAAGTTTTTTTTATATATACTTATGTATATATTTTATATATTGTTCAGCAATTTTTATCGTTTTAGTTTTAATTTCGTTTTTTTTTTAATGTTCATTATTATGTATATAGCTGTGTTACGTGTTTGATAAAACGTTAAAAACGCTTGATATGTAGAAAAATAATAATAATTTCTTTTATAATATTTCGCTTTTAAATATTAACTTGGCATCACTCTTAGCCGGTGTGTACTGCATTTTCCAAAGAAAATTATTATTAAATGCACTTCAGTTGAGTAAAAATAAAAGCTTTCTTTGAGAGGCGCTCAATTTCATATGTTTTGCTGCACGATAGAATAGAATTTTCATAGAATAAAAATATTTTTAATGACAGCAGTTCTGAACGTTCAGCCACTGAACAAAACAAAACAGAAAGTTCGCTGGCGTTCGCTAAAAACGTATACATATAATTAAATTTGTGACAATTTGTTTGTCAAGTTCGAGTTTCAGTTTCAAATATATTAATTTGTGATTTAATAATTTCAAATATTTAAAAGTTAAATAAATAAATAAAATAACATTTGTTAACACAATAAATACTAAACTAATAATTACGTTCTTCAAAATTGTTGTGCTCAATATGCCAGACCGTAAGGATCACGGCGAAAATGGTTTGTATTCAAGAGCATCAAAATATGAAAAATATATTCGAAAATTTTTTGATAATCTGCTGTTTGCCATAAACAATGCTTTTTTATTATTTTTACGACTTGAAATGCTATTTTATGTAACGTGACGCAGTGAAACTGAATGTAGTACTAATTTATGTTTAGCAAAAAAATCTCTTATCATTTGAATATTTTTATATTTTATATTGAATAGGAATTCATTTCGTCTTTTTTTTTAAGCATGGCATCAGTGCTGCCCGCTTTCAGAAAATAATTTTACCGCTAAGTCCAATAATATTTAAATTAATTATTTATTATAAATCTTTCAATAAACGAAATGTTATAAGCATTTTTGATGAAGCTTTTTATTTAATATAATAGTAAATTTCATATTTACTATGTAATTTTTTTCTATGAAATTATGTGCATACATATGTAAATAATATTACACATATCATACATACATATGTACTAGTTTCTAACCCACTAACGTTCAACTAAACTTTTAACGTATTATGTATTATAATATATTCTTCAGTTTCTAATGTATTGTTACTAGAAATATATCAAATTTAAAAGTGGCAAGTTAAGTTTAGAATTCTGTAATGTGAGTTCAATATATTTCATTATTTGAATATTTTATTCTTATATTAACGATGTTTAATTCATAGCTCACAATAAAATATTAAATTTTGAACTTGTTGTAACACTCGACTAGATTATTATTAAAGTTGGCAACTCTTTTACTTTAAACCTTGTTTCTCTTAGCAACTTGGAATTGTTTGTAAATTTATTATCTTAAAAAATTTACGATTACAGTCGAAGTTACAACTTTGCTATATAAGCCCTTTGATTCAATTTATGATTTGTGTTGTGTACATTTTCTCTGAAATAAGAAAATGTCAATAACTTCAAAGAAAATGTCTGTAACTTCAATGGAAGAGCTTAGTTCACCCGAAAGTTTTGAAAGTGAAGAGGAAGTAATAGATATTGATGCGCTCGAATCAGCATTGAATATAGATGAATTGTTAGCTGAACCCATTGAAGTTGAAAAGGCGTTGGGTGAAGAGGATGAAGTTCCAGATGAGGCCGAAACGGAATCCCTGAAGTCAGTTTCTGACATTAAAACTCAGTCAGATTTAGTAAGATGGTTAGAAAAATTGGAGGCGGGAAAGAAAAAGAAGAATTTGTTTTATCATACTGATGATATAAGACGGGTGGACATATATGAGAACTTACGTGAAAGAGCTAAAACTTTAAAACCAACTATCATAGAAGAAGTGGAGTCAGAAAAGAAAGGAATAGAACTGCGATTAGAACTAAGTGATAAACGTTTAAACGAATTGTTGGCTTTTGGAAATGACTTGATAACAAACATAAAAGTCGCAAACGAAAGGCGCGAATTCCTACGGCGGCAAAATGAGGCGAAACATAAAGAGTTACTAACGATGAATATAATGAACGAAACTGCAGAGTCAATGGCTCAGTTCGACAATATTGTCGATAAATGGTGTGAATTAAAAGAGTTAAATGAACCTGTTGCTATACATGAGGAACTTGAAAAACAGAAAGCACGGATTGCTGATGTTATGAAAAGCAAAGATAAGTTAATAGCTGATTGTCAAGCTGAAGTAAAAAGAGTTACTGATATGTACAATTGCGACAAAGTGAATCAATCGAATGATATATGTAACTTGGTAGAGCGAATCGACTTACAGGTTGAATTATTAAGAGAAGCTTACAAAGAAGAATTACGATTACTTGAAACGACTATAATCACTGAACGCGAAACATTGTCATATGCTTTATGTTCAAAATGGGAAAGTGTCTATGATCAGATGTATAAGCACAACGAGGAAACATTTGCAGCTGCTGACGAGTGGAAAAAAGTATATGCGAAGGAATTGGCTCGAATAACAGCCGAACAGGAGGCTATTACTAATAACACGCGCGTAAGACTTGAAAAAGAGGCTGAATTGCTGCAATGGGAATTACGAAACACCAAGAATAGCATTTTTATGAATTCGGAGAAGCTTGACTATAACTACCAGATACTGCAGAAACGCAATGAGGAAAATATTATAATAAACAACGAGCAGAAGAGACGTTTTACAAAACTGAAGGAAAATATTTCTGCTATAACAAAAAAAATTGAAACTTTTAAAACAAAATCGGAGTTAAATGTGCGTAATATAACATCCGAAATTCAAAAAATTCATAAAAATATTGGTGACCTTCAGAAAAAATCTGAAATATTTAAGTTTGAAAATAAGAAAAAGTTTGATTGTGTTTGGAACATAAATTTAACAGAAATGAAAGATTTGCTACAAAAAATTTTAAACGTTGATGAAATCTTATATAGACAGCAACTTGGCCAAGAATGGTTACCGCTAGAGTTCGAGTTTTTTGATATTAATTCTGTTAAAAAAGTATTGAGACCAAAACGTCGATCAACCAAAAATTGCCCGAACGAATCAAACGAAACTAATGAAGCGCCAAAGGAAAAGGTAGACATGAAATTCTTGAAAAAAATTTTAGCCAAAATATCTGATCGCACTGGATTTCTTCTTGACGATAAGTTAATGAATTTATTAGAGCCTTATACAGAGGCAGAAAAATACCTCGTGCGTATGGATAACGTGTTCAGAGCACTTGGTGTATCCGAATTATCAGTTGTTCAATCCTTAACAAAACATTTTCTACCCTACACTTTCTGTCCGAATTGCACTACTGGCGCACCCAAGCAAGCTGTATTGAATTTAACCAGTGCTAAACCCTCCGACATACCTATAGAACCACAGGTGGAAAAAACAAAACCTATTTCTATACTAAGTGCGGAATGTAAGAATCATTATATAGTACTGGAATCTGTATTTGTATTACCTGCACTGACCAGCTTCGTGGAGTATCAATACAGTGAGATGCACGAATTTGCTGAACAACGTAAAGAAATTGATGAAGCGGACAATTTAATAACCATTAGCAATAAAGATATTAAGAACTTTTGGGACAAACTGAACGATGCATTTCCAAGAGAGAAACTTAAATTGTGGGAAACTCTGGATCATGGTATCAATCATTATGTTAATGTACTGAAGCATCGGCATCAATTGGACAATGAGTGCGAATTTCTTCGAAAGCAGAATGCTGAATTGAAACACTTGCTACAGGCATTTTTCTAAATACTTTTTGAAATCAATTTTGTATATTTTTTAAATAAAATTCGTTTCATTTACACAAAGTTTTTATTAATTTTTAATTTTCATTTTATATCTTTTACATTTTTTTCAATTCAAAAACTGTCCTAAGGACAAACTAAGGAAAATATAAACTTCAGGTTGCAATTGCTTGTTTTTATCTCATAGAACCGGTATACCTATATGACAATCACATGGAATTGAAGTTCTGTGTTTCTCATACATTCTTGCCTGTACCTCTTAAATATTCAATATTGCATAAATAAGTAATTCTCGCTCTCCCATTAAATATTGGACAAAAACCTTCTAAGTTTAAAAAGCACTCGTCAGGGTTTCCGAGTGCTGCTAAAAAGCTTTCATAATTTGAATGAAAAGGCACCTACCGCGTTATGAAGTGCATTTCCTTGTATTAAAGTCGAAATGTATTAAAGAAACTGGAAAAAGTCGCTTCTAAAAGTTGCTTCCAGGTATAATCAGTCTTCTAAATTAAATCACACTATATATAGTACACTCTAATGTGCATTTTGTATATACATTCCTATGTATTGTAATTAATTCGAATTTAAACAACATTTTTTTTCTAAAAGCTCATCAAAATTGATTCAATTCAAACATACTATTTTTAAAAACGCACGTAAACCCGTTGCTATTGTATGAATATATTCTAAGAGAGCACGAAAGAGAAAACCATACAAAACAATACATACACATTTACATTCCAAACTTGCACAAGATACGAAAAAATATAATAAAACCTTTAATTCTAGATTGCCAGATGCCAGTACGTTCTGCGAATCCGATACGCGCTAAAAGTTTAATCCGCGGTAATTTGGAAAAACAAACTAGTAATATTATATTACGCCCCAGAATGCCAAACATTAAAGTGTTTTCGGGTACCTCGCATCCAGAATTGGCACAAAGGATTGTCGAACGTTTAGGTATTGATTTGGGAAAAGTAGTGACGAAAAAGTTTAGTAATTTGGAAACATGGTGAGTGGTTCTTAATTATATATATATTTATGATACCAAAAAAAAGTTACAAATGAGAAGAAAATCGTAGAAAGTTCTAAAAAACTAAATATATATACAATGTAATGTGATGAATAAATACTAAAAGTAATAAAACACATGTCTTGCGCGATGTGATATAATGAATTGTGTAAAAAGAAATTTACGAAGAAATTGTTTAAAAAAGAACATAAAAAAAATTTTAAATAACAAAAAAAATTTTATGGCGTACGTGTACATTACTTCGTCCGTCCATTGGAGACAACTTCATACAAGCATATATCGCCACCCTTACTATTAAGGTGGAACATAATTTTCTTTTTGGGACATGTTAGAAGTAACTGACTTATTTAAGATTAAAGTGCAACAACATTAAGTGTTAAGTAGTAGTGATGTTTAAAATTTTAGCATGAATGAAAAGTTTTTTATTCTCTTTTTGTGCTGATACTTGTCGTAGTATAAGCACCGCATGCAATCAAAACTTTTATTATTGATTAAACCAACTGGTTGGACTGTACTGTACATTCTAGCATATTATAAAGTTGAGCCTCTCTGATAGGCAACGCAAATTTTTAATACAAATAATAATAAAAATATTTTATAAATTAAATTAGATATTTAATTAACGACAATTTGTGAATGTATAAAATTATGTAGAATATCATACACAAAACGTTATCAAAGAATAAGAAAATATAAAATAAATTATGTGTAAGCTTTGTATTACCTTTAACTTTAAGGTTATAATATTTTTATTTTATTAATTTTTTGTGTTTTTTTAATGTAGTTTGTGTATAGTTATTGTGATTGTAATGACAAAAATTGAGTTTTCGGTTTAAAATGCTGCAGAGCACAGTAGGGATTGGCAGAGTATCTGATTGCTACACATACTTCCTAAAAGTTTAATATCTTTTGTTTAGCCTTTCTTATACACTTGAAAAGGTGATTACTTATAGGTAGTCACGTTTTTTTGCTTTTTCTGTGTTCTGTTGTGCTTCGCTTTTCTCAGTAAAAGTTTCTCATTTGGCTGTGAACACACACATTGCACATCTGTGTGTTGCTATTAGTGTGCGAATAGTGAATAAAGCAATCGAAAGACATGTGCTGCGTACAACGGAGATGATTTAACACAACAAAATCTTTATTTTTTTCAGAAAATTGCAGTGTTCCATGAAATTTAAATTTTCTAATGTTTGCCCATTTTAATGAACAAAAAAATAATACATATTAACTTAATTAAATTTTTAGTTAACTTAGTTTTTAGTTTTTTATGCTGAAAATGTATTAGTCACTAAATAACTGGATATGCATTTTAGTTTCATAATAAGAAAACTGTTAAGTGCAGTCGAAATCAGCTGTTTTCAGATAATCTGCAGCTGTCAATAACCTCCCTCTATGCCAACTACATTACAAATGCAACCGCAAACGAGCTTTATCCGTATAATTTGTTTTGTTATTGGTTTCATAGGCAAACAAATAAAAGAAAATTACCAATAATAAACAACCGGAAAGCAAAACGTTTTTGCACGTAAATAAATAAACGAACAGGTAAACACATGATTTGCAACGAGTAAAGGAAGGAAGTGAATGCGGGAGGGAGAAAGTAATCTGTTATTTGTTTGAATTTCGTTTGTTACAATTGCAATTTTTTGAAAAAAATATGTGAATTAGAAATGCGTCATATTTAATGTAAGTTTTCTTATCAAATCTTGTACTTATTTTTATTAATATATTTTGTCAAATTTTATTTGTTTTTTTTTTCTGTATATGTATGTTCACTGCCAATTCAATTGAATTCAATACGCAATTTAGAAGGCGAACAAAAATCAAGTATACACTGTACAGTATATTTTTTACTAGAATTGGTATGCATAGCGTAACAAACCCTAACTATTGTCAATGTTATACGTCTTCCAATATTCCTAGCTGAATTTATTTTAATTTGATTTAAATCTTAGATAATATTCCATAGTTTTACATTATCACACTTAACTTATTTTCGGGTTTATCGCGATAAGCGTGTAGGTTTTAGTTACATATACCATCAACAAACCATTTCTCAAAAATTGTTGACTCACGTAAGGTAAACTGAAATCTAAGCATACAATGTATTATATTTGCACAATTACTATGAATCTGAACATTATTAATCGGGCATCAATTAGTCGTACTGCCCATCCAAAATGTTCGAAATAAAGTAAAACAGTCCAAATATCACAAAAAATACACTTGCTATAAAATAATCAAAACATTACAAAGAATCATATAGGAAACAGATTTAAAGAAAAAAAAAAAATTGTTATAAATAATAATTAAATTAATGTTATTTGAATGATTGGGTTCACAAAATTGTCACAGAATTTTCTTATAAAATTGTTAACAAAGATGCTTTTCTATCTTCTAGAATGAAATGACTATGAACTTTTGAAAATTATGAAATTAAATAGAAAATAAATTAGATAGATTAGATTATAAGTATGCATTTCACATTTCAAATTGTATTATAGTACATTTAGATTATCGCAATTTACTCAAAAAATGTTTAATACAATCTGTAATTTTTTATAATAAAGATCTATACAAAATTGTGCGTGTGAACATAGTATGGTATTATATTTTAAAACATTATTCTAAGTTTGTAATCGATAAATTATGGTGTTCTTAGCGATAATACAAACATTCCGTTGAATGCAAACTTAACCAATCCACCACGTTGAAGATTAAAGCCTCGAAGTCCATATATCAAATTAATGAAAATTTGCAACCAACTGCTTCAAATCTGGCAGTTACAATCTTCTATTTATACCAAATGCATATCCATTTATAAAAAGCTACTTAAAGTACCTATACGGCCGGTTAGGCAGGTCAGAGTTTTTTCTAAATTCTTGAAGATGGCTCAATTTGTTCATTATTTTTCTATTGTATTAAAAAATTTTTTTGAAGGCTGTTTTTTAAAAATTCGAATGTTGATTTAAATACTCCTCGTCTTTTTAAAGGTTTTCTATAAAGTTTACAGTACACTTCCTAAAATAAGTAAATATTTTTTAATAAACCGCATAATTAAATGGCAAAAATACTTCCCGATTATTATATGTTTTATGGCTTACCAATAAAATTGAATTCGTGCTATTTATTATACAAACAATATGTTTATTGAATTTTCTTGATTAAGAGTTCAATGCACTGTAATATGGAAAATATATAATTTAATACATAAAAAATAATTATTTAAATAAAAAAATATTTACGTTGTTTCCTACGAAGAATTAAATGTGATAACGCCAATAAAGTAAAACTTAATTAAATTTTCCATCTATGATCTGTTTGTTTAAGAAATATATATCAATAAATTATTTGATAATTAATTAAAATCAATGTTATATAATTTCTCTTGAAAGTCCATTGCGAGCAAACCGAAAAGATTCTTTGGCTCTCTGCCTAAATTATAATTTAATTTGGCGATGGGATATGTGGTTTTTTGTTGGATGCCACAATTTACAGACCGTCAATAAATGTCTTTATAAGTGAACAAGAATTTTCCTCGAGCATTTAATTTTAATTTTTATTTTTATTTCTGTTTTTTTTATTTAAGCTAATGTTGATTTACTGAAATTCTTATAGGTGTTTTTCAATAAAAGTCAATTAAATTTCTTCTTTTTTTTTTTTTGGTATTTATTGGTATAAATAATTTGAGTATTTGGAAAATTTAATCCACTATATTTAGAAAATTTCATAACGAGGGATGTATTGGATATTTCTTTTTTTTAACGATTGATATCATATCCTATAATGTTAAAATTCTATAATAATCTTATATAAAATCGATTATTTACAAAAGCAAGATATGGATTTATTTAAAATGTCTACTGTAATATATTCTTTTGCAAATTTTAGCTGTATAATAGGGAACAAAATCTCATTAAATAGGAAGTCGCATCAAAGTCTTATTGTTGAAAAACAATATACCTGTGCCATATGAAAAATGTTGCTAAGACAACAATATATATTATATACACAAAAATATATATAAAAAAAATTTTATACTAAAACATTTTTTAAATAATTTTTTATAATTTATCATATATATTTTTATTAGCTTTTTTTATTAGTCAGGCTTTCGTAATGCGGTGCTCTCTGCACAATCATGTACCTTTGTTATTAATAAACTGTTGTTTCGTTTATTGAAGCAAGCAATGAAGTCTAAAACATATGGAACGTTGTAACGTTAAAATTTCCAAACCCATGAATCTAAAAAAGTACAGAAATTTTTAACTTAACACTGCATAGATTTTACATATTTCAAATATTTTATATTATATATTTAATATATTTTATAATTTGTATAACTGAATTTAAGTCTGTTTTTGACATATAGACCGATCCGGGTCTATTAAGTCTGTTAATGGTTTTGCATTCGGCAACCATATCAGCAATATATTTTATATACCTTTCTTTTTTGCGATTTAAATGTTTGCCATAATTTTTACCAGTGTATTTACAGTACGACAGTACGGCACGTTTAAAATATCATTCACTTTAAGAGAACTTTTTAGAAACTAGCATGTACGTTATCCCCTTATTTCGTATTTTCTCAAATCGTCTGGATTAGTTCATTTTTTTTATTTTTTTATAATTTAAATCATTTTTATATATTGTAGGAATACAATTTTACAAATGAAGTAAACACAAAACAGCGACGTGTTGGATTTATTTTAGTTTTTTATTGAAAGTCAAAAAAAAAATTACATATTTAAAAATAGCTTCATAGCTCCATGGTAACAGTATAGTATAAGAGCACGAATATAAAAATTTTAAAACAAGCAAACGCCGTAAAATTATAGACGCAAACATATACACAGCAAGAATGTATCTGTATCTCGCAGATACTTTACAGCGTTTTATTTGAGTTTTTTAATATTTTTTGTTTAAAATGAACTATCGATTAAACAACATTTGAATTCTGTTTCGATTGGTGTTCAGAATTATGTCACGTGTTTCTGTGTTATGGCAGTCATGGACTGGGGTAATAGTCTCAGATAATATCGCACGAGTTGAACGCTTATTGTGGCTGTAGATTAGTATAATATGGTGTGCAAGTGGGCGTCATAGCTAATGAGTGACCCATTATTAATAGATAACATACCATATTTAAATAAAGTTAGATTGATTAAATTTCGCATTTGCTTTACTATATACTTTAGCTGTTGGTTAGAATAGCGATTTGTTTATGATTAAATTGACGAAAATAGCGCTAATCTCTTTAGTGCTTGTTTACAGAGTATTAATTTTAATTTATTATTTTACAGATATTGCCAGATAATGATAAGAAGGTTTTCAATAAAAAACGAGTACAATTCTCATGGAAGAATATTGTTAAATTTCGCTTCACTGTGCGCGGTTTCGTTTTTGGATGTATTCGTTTAAAAATATACACAAATTATTCTTATTATTTTTCTGCTCATATTGTTGTGTATTACCTTATTGAGAAAATATTGATTTACTTAAATTAAGGACTTTTGACTGAGAAATCATTTTAAAATAAAAACTGTAATTTGTTCAAAAAAACGGGTTTCAGAATATAAAAAAAAAACATCTTAATTTTTATTAAAATATCTGTTGGGGTTGATCTCATATCATAAGTTTACTACCTACTAGGAAAGCCAGTTTCTTTAATCGATAAAACTTGTAAAAGAAGCGAAATTGTACTCCGTACAACATACTTCTTCCTAATATCTTATACCAGAGGATCAAAACAAATTGATCAAATGAATATTTATGAAGTCATTTATATACCTTCATGTGAATAAAAAGACCCTTTCTTTAGAATTGAAAACAGCAATGCAATCTTTGTTCCAGTCGTAATTCAGTTGTCTTTATTTGTTTCTTTAAGGCACAATTGATTTGTGAACATTATGAAGTTAAGAGAAAAAAATGATTTATTATATGATTTATTATAATAGAAATATGTGGTTTATATACAAACATTCTAAAATTTTATTTTAGTAATACATTCTAAATTTATCATACTTAATTTGTCTTACCTCTCTTTATTATTTTTAAATAGTGTCGAAATTGGTGAGTCTGTACGTGGTGAAGATGTTTACATCGTTCAGTCTGGATCAGGTGAAATTAATGATAACTTAATGGAGCTCCTGATTATGATAAACGCCTGTAAGATTGCATCAGCTTCGCGTGTCACAGCTGTAATTCCTTGTTTTCCTTATGCCCGCCAAGACAAAAAAGATAAGGTAATTTCCAAGGTAATTAACAAAATTACCTAATACCTAACAAAATTATATAGAAAATAATTAAAAAGTTTATAGTACAGTACAGTACAGTACAGTACAGTACGTTTTACTGTTGAATTCTATTGAAAAATTTATATGTTTGAGTTTGAGTTTTATTTTTGTTTTGGTTTTGGTTTTGAGATGATTTGCAATATGTTTTCTTAAAAAGATACAATATTTTTATAATTTTTGGAAATTTGTTGTAATATGATCGGCTGAAAAAATGTGGAATTGATAAAACTAGAACGTCAAAAGCAAAATTATAAATTTTTTTGTTATCCAAAAAGATAAATGATCGATAACCATAAAGCATTAAACATATATCATAAACCACTAACCTAAAACATAAACCTCTTTAATATTTACACTTTCTTATGCAGTTGTCTAACGCCGATGAGTGTGATGAGCGCAAAAAGTTTGCCATGAAAAACCACGATTGGAAATTTAGGGTATTTACAAGTTATTCAATTTTTGTTTCTGTTCTTATTTTGGTGGATACATTCACATGTTTTGGGGAAAATTATAATTCTAAAGTTGCACTTTTATCTAAATTTGGGTTTTGTACTAATCAATTTCAAAATTCCTTTAGGAACACAAAGAGTGCAAGAGGTGAAATTGGAAAAGTCATACATTAATGCCACAATTCGCTTTTTATTTTCCTTGTTAATTTTAATTTATTTATTGTCTTTTCAAATACATTTTTATTTAACTAATATACATTATTTTGTCCTTTGTTTATTCTTGTATATTCCATATGCATGTATACCCACCCTTCCTTCCATAAAAAAGTAATATGAGTATTTTCTTATAATTTTACTTGCTGCTATCAAAACTGAAATTGTAAGATAAATTTTCTCTAAGATAAGCAATACAGGGTGTTATTTTATACAGAGTATACAGTTTTTATACATAACATTCAATGTGCACAGTGAAGTGAAGTAGTGAGAAATAACAACAGTGTTCCAAGAGTGCATTATTAAAATAAACGTAGGTTTTCACTTATATGCATAATTAATTCGCTTGATTTTGGCACGATTTAAGTCATATTCTCAATAGGTACTTATTGTGTTTCGATTCGTAGTGTCAATAAATTGTTTTTTGTTGGCATTCCATGTCAATGCTTATCTGTACCATATCTTAACACTTCTATAATTATGAAACTAGACTAGGTGACTAGTTCCGCTCGATTAAACTGTTTAGTTATTTTGGTTGGAATCTAAGTAAGTTTAGTTGGAATCTAAGTAAGTTTCTGACATTTTCATTGCAAATAAATCAATTCTATTCTTTTATCATTTTGTAGTATAACTACTATTATACTTTTATAATGATATATTTTTCGTTAATGCATATATCAATAATAGATTTCTTTAACTTAGAAAGCGATCCGATGTATAAAGTACAGGTATTTATTTTTTATCTAAGCAATGTATCATGATAAAAACTTAAATGCTATAAATCACAATAAATATTGTGATTAATACATGGAATTGTTATTACAAATATGCAATATACCTGTACTTTACAATATTTATTTCTTTGTGAGTTAACACTAAAATATTAATTTTAAAGTTAACTTAGAATAAGGAACTTGACTACTGGGTCCTTCGGTCTGTGCTTATATTCATGTTAAGAATTATATCTAAATTTTATTAAATATGTCTTTGGGTAGGTGAAGCTTTATTATATTGTAGTCGCTATTCTTGATTGAGTTGAAAAGGCTGTCGTCGTTAGTTGGGTTGTTGTAACAGTTTATGAGATGGCTCATGGTTAGAATATATCTACATTTGGGGCATGTTAGTTGTACATCCCTTTATACTTTACAATATAAAATGCTTAATCCTTCTAAATCGCATGAATATTGCAGTAAAATTATACAATTGTTGTTATAACTTTACTGAGGCAAATATATTAATATATTGCCTTTGATTTACCATTTTTTAGAGAAAATTATAAAATAATTAGTTACTTATAAACTCTATGACCATTTTTATGTTCTTTGAATGCAGCTACACCACGAAATAACAAAAAATTCTGATTTGTATAATACTTAATACTTAAATTCATTGGACTTAATTAAAAATGTTCAAAATTGTTGATTCTTCGCATGCGCAACGCTTTTATTTATAACAATAACAATGCTATCAACTGATGTACAACAATTCGGGGAGTGAATATATCATTGATAAAATCAAAGCATTTTTTTGAAGACATACTATATATATAAATATTGTAATTATTTCTATCTTTTAGGCCACTGTATTAATTATGAAGGAAACTTATTTAAGATAAGAATTAATTACAGTCGTATTTTTATGATGTAGGAAGTAGATGATAAAGTGTGTCGAAAATTCAGAAATATGACCTCTTCTATATTCTTAATCTATTGAGATCAAACCTGATCATAATAAATTCAAGCGTATGACTTTAAACAAATATTTGAAAAAGTACATGAAGTATTTTTAAAGGTACTAGTTTAAGAAGGAAAAGCTTATAAAACTTCTTAATATATCGACTTCGGAATTTGGCCCTTAATTCTCTTCTTTGAAAGCCTGTACACCACAAAAATTCTATCACGAATTGATTGCATTTGTTTGTGTGTGTATATATAAATGTAAATGAAATTTTAAATAGAAATATCTTTTATGAAACAACTCGAACAACTGAATTTGAAAGTTATAAAGTAATTGAAACGGCTTTCAGAAAGTATTAAAGTATTAAATTTGCAATGAAAATGCATTATTTTTGACATTATTGCCTCGAACATAAAAATTATAATTTATTTATTTAAAATATATTAATCTTTAAAAAATATAATAAATAATCTCTCCACATTTTTGCAGCTTCATTGCAACAAATGCTACTGTGCACGAAATGCAATAAAATAGCAATAAAACAAAAAATTAAAACAAATATATTAGGGAAAGTATATATATATATAGCGCGAACAATCAAATCATAATAATTTCCAAGAAGTTTAGAAATATCTTAATTTTAATATGCAAGTGAAAGATTTTTTTTGAACATTGCACATCAGTTTCTGATTACTTGCAACATTGCACGTGCGGATCGCAACATATTTGTTGCTGCATGAGTTTAAATGTAGAAATGTTGCACTTGTTATGAGTTTGATAATTATGCACCAATTGAATTAGGTTATTGTTGTTGTTGTCCGACGTTAATTTTCTATTTGGAAAAATATATTTTTAATTAATTTAACAATTAACAATAATAACGTGTTTTTTCTTTAAATCAATGATAACGACGTCAGTGTCTGCAACAATATTTGTGTTTATTTATTTGTTTATGTTATTTAACCCTCCCCGGCGGGTCATGTTTACGAATACTGATAATAATTTTTGAAAATTGATAATTTTAAATCAATAAAATTTACATATTATTTAAAAAAATAAAAAATAAACGAGTAAATATATTTATTACGCACAATCGATCAATAATGTATTGTTGTGTAAGCGTTGTGTAGTAAAAGTTATGTCCAATGAATTTGGCTTATACACTATATGTTTTCGATATGTACAAATATATAATTTCGCAACTGAAAAAAAAATTTTTTTTTATCCGTAGTTTTAGCATTGAAAATGTTTACATAAAGTTTTTTTTCCGGGATTATTAAAGCAAAACTGCACTTTTTTCATTTCTTTGCAATGGCTGTCCTTGCAATTATTATTTATTTTTTGTATTATATAATTTATCTTATACATTTGAGTTAAGTTGAGGGCTACTACAGTTAATGAGCATAATATAGCAAGAACCAATAATATGAATGCAAAATCTATGTACAAAAATAAAAATAATTAATTTGCAACAACAATAACGTTGTAATGCGTACAATGGGTAACGGATGCTTGTATTTACAAAATTAATTTAAGTAACAAGTGATAAATAATAAGATAATAAACGGATATTTTGAGATTTTTAAGTAGTTCGTAAATTAGAATTTGAGCAAACGTGCGAATAATTTGACCTATCCGCACATACGTTTTGTATCAAACAGTTGGAATATGACCAAATCTAAAATATCGGAATACAAACAACACTAGTACTTATTTGATCGATAAGAGAGAAAACTACATTATGTGGATATAACTTGCTTAGTTGGTAATATGAATTTAGTTCTCATGCGTTCCGTTATATGTAATTACTACATCTCGCAATTCATTACGAATTACAAAAAATGTGTCCAGTTCTTATATAACAACTTTTTCCCCTTAAAATCTGGTTTAATATTAATTTCATGGACGTATATAATTTTCAGTAAGAATGAAGTGGATAAGTCTCCAAGCAAAATCTAAGTAGGTATATACAAAAGTTTCTTTACCAACGACGCAATATTAATTACTTTAATGTTGGAGAATCGATGAATTCTCCAAAATAGGCGTTAATATTACACCTTTTGATTTCCATTGCAACATTTTTTCTCTTGCTCACTGAATGTTAAATTCATAAATAAAAATGAATAATGCTTTAGTGCACTATAGTAGTAGATTTTTATGCATGTTAATGAGTTTTTTTTATTTAAGTACTGAACGTAATAAAAATCAGTTATCCCAAATAAAATAACTTCCTTAAAAACTGCAGAAACTCCTAAATAAAATCGATGCACTTTATATCAAATTCGTAAGGGAACCACTAAACACTCCGTTCAATCCAATTTAATTCCCTCTTTTCAAAATTTTTTAAATTAATTTTTAATATATCTATAATTGCTTTCATAAGTAAATTTTCTTTTTCATTATCTTTTATTTTATTCTTTTTCTTTATTATCTTTTTAGGAGTTTTCAGCTAAGCAATACACTGTGAGTAGAGGTACTGTTTGGCATACGGCGTTGCCAACTCTTCTCTAAAAATCTTGCCGGATTTTGTTTTAATGCATTTAAATTTTTTGGCACTCTTGAAAGGCTTCTACCATATTTATAGTTTTTTAGTTTTTTTATATTTCTATTTTGAGTTCTCACATCCGTTAATTAATATTTCATATAATTTTTCTATAACTTAATTCGTAAGTCGTCAAACTCCTTAAAAAAAGCGAAAAATTGTACATATTTCGAAAATCTCTAATGATTGCGATTTGCATGTGTTTGTAATTTTCAATTTTCAATTTTCAATTTTCTATTGAATATAATAATAATTATAAATAAACAAAACTTATAGATATAATTTCTAATCGCTACACGTTCACGATCGAACAACATGACCTATTGAGGGGCTCGTATCACAGTATAAATATTCGAATTTTTTTGAGTAATTATTATATTACGGTTCCTATTCTTTTTCTTTTGTAGTATATATTAAATGTATTTCATATGGTTTTGTAATTACAATGTCAGAATATGTATGTAATAAAAAATATTGATTGATTTTAAACAAATGAAAAAATATATGGTCTGAGAAGAAAAAAGATTCAGATTCCACAAAAATGTTCGTATATATAGTTGTTTTATATTTGCTTCTGCATTATCACTTAAATTTTACTAACACCCTGTATTTAATATTCATTGTGTAAAATAATCTTTAACTATGTATACGAGTATATACATATATATTACGTATATTATATATTATGAATTTGTATTATTATGTATATTTCATTATTAATTGGTCAGTCGGGTTCCATCGTCTTTATGATGTACGGTTAGTGCGCAGTTACTCTGTTTTAAAGTTTTGTTTGTTTTGATTTGTAAATTTCATAAGATCGCATAAAAATCCATTTATTAAATAAATAATCAGATATTTTCATATTCCTAATTTATTATTTTCCTTCTTTCTCTAGAGTCGTGCTCCAATCTCGGCGAAATTGGTAGCAAATATGCTATCAGTGGCCGGTGCAGATCACATAATAACCATGGATTTACATGCTTCACAAATTCAGGTAAATAAATTTTGTTTTAATTATTATTAATTAATAATAAATAAATTACAATAGTTACGACTTTACTTTATTTATCTTCTTAAAGGCTTGTGTGAAACTAAACAAAAACCAATGAACAATTATTTATTTTGTGCAACACAAGCCTTTAACAACATAAATAATAATTGTGATGATTACAATACTTATAACAATTAGAGCAAGTATAATTATATGTAATTGGCTATTTATATTGATTTTTCGGCACAATTAAATGAAGGTTTAAAATGCAAACCTAAAATACTCTATGCCTGTTTGTTCACATTTGTATTATTTCTCGTAAATGTACTAAAGGTTTGTGAAAGAAAAATCAACAGAGATGGAAGTTCCAGTCTTCAATAAAATCAAAATAGACTCGTACTTCACTTAATTCCTGGACATCTCTATACACTATATTCCAAACACTCCAACGATATTGATATAACCCGGATTTCTCCTAGAGCGGTAGTAGAGAACCTAGTTTGCAAAACAACAACTAAAAGATCGATTTCTGACACCTCTGATGTTTTTTGGACATTACGTGTGCCATAAGTATATTATACAAATGAGAATTGTGGAAGTGTTTTTCTATAGCAAAACAATCATTAATAACATCAGATTCAATATGATTGTGTAATTGGCCATTTTCGGCTTGGTCTTCTGTATTACATATGGTTTATATAGTATTGTACATACAATCTATGAAGTTTCTAACTATACCATTTTCTAATAAGTTGGTTATGTTAATTTAAACCTTGTAATTGAACATATACGATTGGTATGTTATTTTAATATATTTGGTACATAAAACCATTTCTACATGTAAAGTAAAGTATAGTAGCAAAATTTTATGCAAAATATAGTTGCAACCAATTTTATTTTGTAGGAAATGCAATCCCATTGCCGATTAAAAATACGAAAAGTAATACATCATGCAATAATATTAAATTTAATATATTAATTCTAATTAACTACATTGTATAGTTGTTAAATATCAGTTAAAAAAAATCATCACAAACAAAATTGAAAAACCTAAAATATGAATAAAATACAAAATCCTCAACATAATTTTCCTAAGTAATTAAATGATACATTTAAAATGTATTAAAAATGTGCAAATATGTTGCTTGTTGTTTTGTATATAGTTTTTGCATTAACATAGTTGCTTGTTTGCTTATACTCCATAATTTGAATGTACACATTTTGCAGACAAAGCCAAAAATAGAATAACAATTTGAGAAAAAAAAGGAATAATTTTGCCAACTTAATTCGGACCAAGTTGGCAAAATTAATGATTTAAGCATGATTAAATCAGTATTAATACTTTATTTATGCCTGTTAAATAATCACTAAAAGTTTCGCTTGCAAATGTCTGTAGAAAACGCTTATATAAACATTCTATTGTTTAAAGTTATTGCTTCTGGTTATATGGTTATAACCATAATGTATAACACGTACGTGAAGTTTGACACTAGTTGCGAAACAACTGGCAGTCTACTTAATCTACACATTCCACTGCTCCAAGAGTCCCTTTGACTCTTTTCCTCCATTTCTTACGAGGTAAATAAATAAAAACTATTGAGTGTTAAAAAGACTATTTCTTTTACGAATAAACTTGAACTTTTATTATTTATTGGAAATTTTTTTTCTAAGTAAACTTTCCCATAGACTTTCAGAATATAAAGGGACAACGATTCAACACTATCGAAGGTTTAAGGCCAAATGTTTTATTTGTTTTATTTTTCAAATTTACTTCGTAATGTTAATTTGTTTGCAAGACAAATATCTAAAACGCATTAAAATTGAAATACATTTGTACTTAAAAATTTGCTAACTTAGTGGTAAAAATATAAGAGAAAAACAGATTTATGTGCGTGTGGTGGTCACGACATTTTCGATCCGAAATAAGAGAATTTATTTATTTTTTATCTAGACCGCGTAGACTAAACAAACTTTTTTGTTTATTTATAATATATATGTAATGTAATAAAATCTCAAATATAATGTCTTCTAATTTACTGTCGCAAAAATGTTTAGATGCGTTCCCAAATAACAACAAAAACCCTTAATAATACAGTGTTCATTATTTATTATTTTTCAAAGCGGGTTTGTTTATTTGTTCTGTTACTAATTGAGTTTAATTCAGTCGTGGACTCGATCGAATCTTTAGAGTCATGTCAATAATTTTAAGTATTTTTTTATGACAACATTTTAACACTAAAAAAGACACTTTTAATTAAGAAATACATAAGTCCATATTTGGTTAATGGTATTTGAGGGTTTTCGGGTTAGGCTAATGCCCCTATGCACTGCGACCAGTTTGATCTATTGTGCACAAGTCCATATTTAATAATATAGCAGATATTATAAAAATTTCTTATTGATCATTCAAAAAATCAGAATTACTACAACTCATCATATATCCATCCCTATGTTAATGGTCAAAATTATTTTAAACTATTTTTTTTTTCATCGGCTTACTCCGCATTTGTAGAAACGTGGTAAAAATAAGTGTTACGCTGCAATCAATTTTTGTATTAAAAAAAAATAATACACCATTTTAAATTAATTCCGTCATATCATCCAGCAGTAATATAGTAGGTGGTTGATTTGTGCATGATCGCATTAGAGTTTATCAAATAACATTAAATGGCATCAAATTGTGTTGGTCGATGATCATCGAATTAAAGCCGATGAGAATATTGATGCGGTGTTCGAACAGTTTTCGTAAAATAAATGATTTTTCTGAATAATATTTTTTTAAATCGGGGATCAATAGGTTTTAAAATTTTTGTGCCTCATTTCAAAACATAAACAAGTTTTTAACGTATAATTTTCGATTTATTAAAAATTTAAACAAACATTAATTTTCATCTTAAATAACCGAAGACACATTACAAATAGTATGAATTAGTCCTAAATTTATTAATGTTCATCATTTCGAACTACATTTCTGTAACCATATTTAGTGATTGTAATTTTTCGAGTTGTTCGTTAAGTTGATTAATACGTTCATTTCTCAATTTTAATAGATTCTCTAAATGTGCAATCTTTTGGTATGCTGCTGCCAAATATGCCTTATTAGTGTTTAAATCAGTAGCGACTTCCTCATATATAGAATAGAGGATCATTTTTTGCGGTACTTGTACGACTAAATCACCAACTTGTTTGTTTACAATTACCATCATAACGTCATCGTTCCGGCGCCATTCCTCTTCTTGTGGAGTAGGTTTGGCTTCCTTCTCGAGCTTTTCCTTTTCCATTAACATAACCTCAAAGAGCACTGTATCAATTACGCCTGGCTCTGCCTTAGCTAATTTTTCCATAATCGATTTGGTTAACATTATACGAAGTTTGGAAAATACTTTTTTGTTCATTGTTTCCCAATTATTTAATTTGGATTGGAAACCGTTGCGTGAGGGGTAATTGTGCAAATCAATTTGTTTTGGTACAATGCGTTTAAATAGTTTAGCCATCAGTACTGCGTCGGAAAAATCACGACTCAGTTTTTGAGTAGTGATTTCATGGTTGCGTAACCATTGTCTCAACTTAATATATTCTTCCGGTTGTAGCCGCAAACCAGTATCAATTACAAACTCAGACATCTCACTTTTAAAGCTATCTTGACTCATTTTGAATTAAACTAAGTTCAAGTGAACTATTTTTATTCTTAATATTTATTTTAAAATAAATAAAACTACTTTTATAAATATTTTTTTTTAATATTACATGTAAGAACTTTGAAATAATTCAAAGCTTGCTTTTTGAATTTCTAGGGTTTCTTCGATATACCAGTGGATAATTTGTATGCAGAACCAGCAGTTTTAAAGTGGATTAAAGAAAACATTCCAGAATGGAAAAATTCAATTATAGTATCTCCCGATGCAGGTGGTGCTAAGCGGTAAGTTAACTAAAATTTGGAACTTTGTTTGAACTTTGTCAAAACTACTTATGCAAGAATATAGAGTTATATCTAAAAGTTTTTATTATAATACGAAAGAATTAAAAGAATTTCGTCTTAACAGCTTTTACAATTCTTTTAATTTGTTTGTTCGTTTGTTCGTTTGTTATATATGGAATTGATTTATTTTTCAGCGTAACGTCGATCGCTGATCGTCTCAATGTAGAGTTTGCCTTGATTCACAAAGAGCGAAAGAAGGCAAATGAGGTGGCATCTATGGTACTTGTGGGTGATGTAAAGGATAAAATTGCCATTTTAGTTGATGACATGGCTGATACATGCGGAACAATTGTACATGCTGCTGATCGGCTTGTAGAAGCAGGCGCTCTCAAGGTGAGAGTGAAGTTTCCTAATATGTGTCGTATAAAAAAAGTTAAATTATTGTAATTCTATCGTTTAGGTTTATGCCATACTGACACATGGTATTTTCTCAGGACCGGCGATATCGCGTATTAATAACGCCTGTTTTGAGGCTGTTGTAGTAACAAACACTATACCACAGGATGGACACATGAGAGATTGTCCCAAAGTACAGGTTAGTACAAAACATATTTGAATGGATTTTAATTATTAACTATTGTTTTTATTAATTTTTCATATTTTTTTCAGTGTATTGATGTTTCAATGATGTTTGCTGAAGCGGTTAGGAGAACACACAATGGCGAGAGTGTCTCGTATCTTTTCTCAAATGTTCCATACTAGATGTCAATAGATTGCCATTGCTACCTTATAACATTGAACTTCAAGATAAATTTTATTTTATTAAAGTTAATCATTATTACCGAAATTAATTACAGCGTTATAACCACTATTTTATTTTTACAACAAATTTATTACTTTCAAAAATATATTAAGTTGATGAAATCAAAATAGAAAAACTACAATGAAAATTAAATAATTAGATTAAGTAAATCTGGAATCTGGCTTTACGGGGGAGTAAAATATTTATTTTAGTTGATACATTTGACGACTTGTTATAAATCATGCAAATATTTAATGCAGTTTTTTCATAAAAATTTATTGATATTATGAAATCTGTTAAAAAAAGTAAATTATTTTAAAATATCTTTTAATTAGTTTTGTAAAATGAAACTCTATTTATTGCAAGAAGCCATTTTCCATATGCAAAAATTCTATTGTAAGAAGCATGAACAGAAACATATTATATTAGTAATATTAAGAATAACAACAAAACACAAAAGAACATTAAGTGAACACAAGCAAATTTAAGTAAATAAGAAAAATAAAAAAACTAAAGAAAACACCTAATAGTATTTATTATATAATATTGATTAGTAGATTGAATGCTAATAATAAGCCGATGTTTTAAATTTGAAGCTTCGGTTTACAGATGAGTGTTAAGAAAAACTAGTGTAAGAGCCATATTTTATTCACCTCGTTTACCCAGTGAAATGCTGATCCGAAACTTGAAACTACTTGAAACGTGAAGGACTAGATCCAATAAATTTTAGTTGTCAGCTGTTACTTGAAAGCTTTAGTAAAAAATATTTCTAAAATATCTATATACAATGGTGGACATGAGTATTTTGACAAAACGCAAAGCAATGTACAATTGCGTGCCTCTCTTTACTCGTAGAAGTAACGTTATCTATTAAACTTTCAATAGAAAACTGCTATTTATAGCTATAAGAGAACAAAAGATCGCATTGATAAACTAATCCGTTTATTTGCTATAACATGTTATGTGAGAGACTATGCATTTTTGGCTGGACAAAAGTATTTTGACATTGCATTGTTTTGGTTTTTATTTGTGTCGCGTTTGATAAATACAGCTATTTGCAATTTGTAAAGTTGGCTAATCTAATCTGAATCCCGTTTTTTTTTAATTTCATTCATTTTTCGCTTTTTCTTATTTAAAATATGGTTAAAACACGTGAACTAAGCCAAATCCAGCGTAACGAAATGGTAATAAAGTACAGCGCAGGTTTATCGGTACAAAGTATTAGCCAATTTACTAAAAAATCAATAAGCATAAACTAACAAATTCAATAAGTAATTTAGCAAGAGCAGGTAAACCACGCAAGACTACACCAAGGCAGGATCGCATAATCCTTGGAAAATTTAAGGAAGTTATCTTAATTACACCAAAGCCAGTATCAATTGAAGTTAACAATGAGTACCTTATGTCAATAAATCATAAAACCATTGAAAGACGGTTGAAACAGGCTAACTTTGCTACTTATGTACCCCGCGTAATATCTTTTATTACGCCAAAAAATAAGATCAAGCATTTGGCATTTGCCAAATTATTTGTTCACAAGCCTCAATCTTTTTAGGAACAAACTTTGTGTACTGATATAAGTACATTTGAGTATCATGGGTTGCAGAATACCCAAAAATATACTGCAGAATAATCAAAATTATCGACAAAAAGTAAGACCAGTATGCGAACGGATACCACATGGTGGAGGCCCTGTAATGTTTTGGGGATATGTTTGCTTTAACGAGATCAGTGATTTGATACCAATCGATGGTACAATGAATAAAGACAATTATTCACACATCCTGAACGACCGCGCATTTACTTTCGGTGATCGGCTCATTGGACATGACTTTATCCTGCAACAGGATAATGCTACATTCCACAAGCTCAAAATGATCACAAATTTTCTAAGGGACTTTGATGTAAATACACTAGATTGGTCACCCCAAAGTCCGGATCTAAATATAATAGAGAATATGTGGGCTTATATAAAACGAAAGAGAAGTCCAAGTATAACAAGCAGGATTTTGGAAGGATATTTCCTTAGAAATGCCTTATAATTCAGTAAAATCGCTTCCTGGACGTTTGCAGAAGGTAATAGACGCCAAAGGAGGGTTTATTTTTTATTAATTTTTCTTTTATTCTTAAAAGTTTCTGAAATTATTTCAACTTTCTTACAAATAATATATTGTCAAAATACTTTTGTCCTCTTAAATTTTGAAGTTTGAAGTTTTATTTTTATTTTCTAAACTTTAATATGGAATTCAATAATTTTGTTGTTTTTATGACCATAACACACTACTGTTATACACATATTTTTTTTATATTTTTTGGATAAATAAATTATAGTTAATCACACAAAATATACGATTTCTTTTAATGTCAAAATACTTATATACACCATTGTATATATGTACACATCTATATCTTACTACACGCAATAAAATGCTGAGTAAATTTCCAATCCTACCTACATACCTAATACAATTGATTTATCTCTTCAATCGAAAACATTGTTTGTCTAGTATTTATACATCACATATCTCCATCAAACGACGAACAGTTTTATAAATCTAATAACTAATTATTAACATAATTGATATTACATTGTAGTAAATCATAGCAAATAAAATTATAAAATTTAAATCAACTTTACCTTCAATTTTATAAAAATTATAATATTGTATTGCCAATATAATTTTTTTAATACAACAAAAAAAATGCGATTCTTAAGAGAAAAGTTAATATGCATTTTATTTTTATGCTAATAGTATATAACATGAATTCAAAATATACCAAAAGACGAACACTAAAAATATTTGTGAATCATTTTTAAAAATCATACTCTTCTTCACCATCTTCTTCACCATGTTCATCGGAACCAACTTCTATAAAATCTCGTTCAAGGACAGCTAAGTCTTCTCTTGCTTCAGTAAATTCACCTTCTTCCATACCCTCACCCACATACCAATGTACAAAAGCACGCTTCTTAAACATCAAATCAAATTTGTAACTTAAATTGCAAAAAGCTACAGCAATGGCGGTGGTATTGGACAGCATACAACAAGCTCGAGAAGTCTGTGCCAAGTCGCCATCAGGCACAAAACCAGGTTTCTCATAGTTAATGCCAATTTTAAAGCCAGTCGGACACCAATCAACGAACTGTATATGACGTTTAGATTTAATAGCGGAAACGGCGGCATTTACGTCTTTTGGCACAACATCGCCACGATACAGCATGCAACATGCCATGTACTTCCCTGCGCGTGGATCGCATTTAACCATCATATTACTCGATTCGAAGCAAGCATTTGTTAGTGTAGTAATGGCGTGCTGCTCATGGGAAGCTCGGGCTGCAGACATGAGAGGTGCATAAGCCACAAGTGGAAAATGTATACGCGGATATGGCACCAAATTGGTTTGAAACTCATTTAAATCAACATTCATGGAACCACTAAATCTCAACGAGGCAGTAGTCGAACTAACAATTTGTGCGATTAAACGGTTTAGATTGCGATAATCGGGTCGATCGACATTTAAGCTATTTTTGCAAATTTCATATATGGCTTCGTTGTCAACCATAAAGACGCAATCAGAGTGTTCAAGTGTAGAATGCGTAGTCAATAAGGCGTTATATGGCTCCACAACCGCAGTTGATACTTTTGGGGCAGGGTATACTGCAAAGTCAAGCTTACATTTTTTATTATAATCCGTACTTAGACGTTCCATCAGCAACGAAGTAAATCCGGAACCTGTCCCGCCGCCGAGACTGTGGAAAATTAAAAATCCCTGCAGTCCATCACATTGTTCAGCAATTTTTTGTATACGAGTTGTTACATTATCAATAACTTCTTTACCAATAGAGTAGTGACCACGTGCATAATTATTTGCAGCATCCTCTTTGCCAGAAATCAATTGTTCTGGATGATACAGATGACGTAAAGCTCCGTTACGCACATCATCAATGACACTTGGCTCCAAATCAACAAATATAGAACGTGGTACTTGCTTCCCAGAGCCAGTCTCTGAGAAAAATGTACGCGCATCATTCGTTGAATTCGAGGCACCTTCACTGCCCACCACGCCTGCACTGCCACCACTATCCAATATTTCCTCTTTAGTTTTTACTGAGCCATCTGCATTAATACCATGCTCCAACAAATAAAGTTCCCAACAGGCATTACCGATTTGTATGCCACCTTGACCAATCTGAATCGATATGACTTCGCGCTAGAAAATTTAAAACAAAAATGGTGAGTTTTTTCATAGTTTACAGTTACTTCAATGTTTTCGTCTTGCTTATTGCTTATGGTTTTTCATATGCTTTCAGCAAAAATTATCTAATAAATTTCATGCTTACCATTTTTAATTAAATAAAAGTAGCAATCTTTTAGCAAAAAAGAAAAAATGTTCTTTATTTTTTTAAAAAGAAAATTTAAGCGGCCACTAATGGAGAAGTCACGAAAGCACTTGCACCGGCGATGATGAACAGTATCTTTGAGTGAGTTTACGAGAGTAAATTTGATAGTAACATCCGTTATAATTGAAAAGCTCTGCCATAAGCACAATTTCCATAATCTCTTATAAACCTACAACTCAGAACTTCCAATAAATTGAAGTGTTCGTTTTTTTAACATTTTTATTTTGATCATTTCTACAAAAATTTTCAACAATAAAAATATATTTAATTTAGATTTTTGGTTTTAATGTTATTAACTGCCTGTTTTATATTAAATCATTTTTTCAATCCAATTCCAATTTTTAAGCGTCTGTTTTTTTAATTTAAATCTAATGCATTCGTTTTAAGGCAGTTTTTTAGTATTTCAGATTTTTTAAACTGATTATCGTTATTTTATTGATGTAATAAAGCAAGAATATTGCTTGTAAAAAATACTATTGCATTACAAAATTATAAAATTATCATAAAAATAATTAATGTCTATTTTACAAATATACATAATGCAAAGAAGCAATGCATTTAAATCGTAAATTAAATTAAAATATAATTATAATACATTAAAACGGTATTATAATAGATCATCGGATATTTTGTGCTTTTCAAATATCTTTTACAAATATGACTAAACAAAAAACTATACCTTACTCTTACTTAAACTATTTAGACTATAAGACATGACTATACAAGATGGTCTAACTGTTACCGTTTGTGTGAAATAGCACACAAAATGATGAAATCCTATCATTTTGTTTAATTTTAACTGAATTTATTTTTCAGACAAAAGTTAACAAGGAAGATAACAAGTTGTTTGAATAAGCTTTAAAAGTAAATTTTAAAAAAATTAAAGCCATTTATTTAATTTTAATTTTGCTAGGTATTTTATGAGAAATAAATCAAAAAAATCTTACACAAACAGCTATAATTAAAATGAATATATATATACAATAATATTGAAATTTGTATGAGGCAAATTTTATATTTTGAAAATATATTTTTATTTCGAATGAGGCATACTAGAAATGTTTCTAACAGACTAATGCTAAATCAGTAAGCGTATCAGACACAGAAACTAAATCTTTCATTAGTAGTTTATTTTTTGAAAATTAACTTGAAGACATCGTTTAACAAGTTATACTCTAAAACGTGTCTATGACAATGGAGAGCAGAATAAAAGTTAAGCGCAAATAGTGTGTATTTATAATAATTAATTGAAAAATCTTAAATGTTGATAATAAATAATAAAAAATAATCAATTATATAACTTAACTTTTTTTAATTTAAACTAAAGTTAAAACTATACTAATTAAAGTTTTTATATTACAGTAAAAAATATTAAATTATTTCTGATATCGTTATAAAGAAAATATAACAAAATAATTAACACGTAAAGAAAAAACTATTTTAAATTTAAAACAGATAAAAACTAAATAATTTAATATTTTAAAATAAATAATATTGTTATTGTTTTAAGCAAATTAAATATTTTAAAAAATTCGAGTATCATAAAAATGATTAAAATATAAAAAATCACAAAATTCGTTACAAATTCACCATTGTTGTGAGCAAACATATTGCATGGATATAAAACAAGTTCTATATCTTACGCATGCCAGGAGGCAGTGTAACATCAAACACTATGGGCGGATTATTAGGTATATAGTTAATGTCACAAGTAGAGGCGTTAACATATATAATTCGACCATCAGAGGTGATACCATAGCCTTCGTGTACATGACCGAAAACATGATATTTGGGTCTAACACGCTTTTGTACGGTAGTCAATAGTTCGACACAACCTGCCCGCACACCAGAACAGCATAGATCTCCATGACCAACTGGTGGTGTATGTGTAATCAATATATCGATGCCTTTAAAAACATAAAAAAAAACTATTTTTATTACTATACTTATATGAATATATCTAATGCTCTATTACCTTCAGGTATTAGATCCCATTTGTCTAAGCAAGCACGTCCTCGTGGTACATTGAATGCCCATTTGCAAAATTCGGGTTGCCAAGGACTACCATATATACGCACTCCATAAATATCAAGCATTTCGTCTTCCAAGTAAATACAATTGGTCAGTATGTCCCGAATATTTTGAGTTTGTATTGCGCTCTCAATATTTTCTTTGGCATTTCCTAAAGTAGGTAAGTCGTCTAGTACAGATAAACCTGTCAGTTTTGTGCTGTAATTAAAAAAATACTCACTTTTATGGGTATACTTTTACATGCCTTATACCTTCTTACCGATCCGTGCTGTTTTTATTTTGAAATGGGTGCGTAAAAGTTTTATCAAAGCTTAATTCGTGGTTTCCTGCGATAACAACTTTGTGCTTATGAGGCAATGTACCCAACCATTTATTGAATTCCACAACTTCTTCTAATTGGCCACATTTTGTGAAATCACCAGCATGTATAAAAATATCTCCTTCTGGTATCTCAAACTTTATGTAAGGAGTCAAACTATGAGTGTCACTCATGGCAACTACGCGTGCTTTGTTAAATGCAACATTAACTTGCGGCGGCTTCATTGTAACTTTGATAACGCGTTGATTCTTAGATATCTCCTTCCATGCGGCAGTCGGGTCATTAGTTAGTGGATGTATGGGGATTTCCATTATGTTGCTTCATAAACAACTAAAATAATAATAACATAAATAAAAAAAAATATAAATATATATTTATGATAAGATAATTTGATTCATACTGCTACACAACTTATTCACAAATTGATAAGTTAATTCCCAACATCAACTATAACACAATTATATTTGAATCTATTTTAAAACTAATTACAGCAAAGGTTCAAATTAAGTACATGACTATTACTGTTCTTTTAAATATCTGTATCTATTTTGGTAACGAGTACTTGTTTCAAAATAGATTCACTACAATTAAGTTTTATCCACATACAACGAGCCGCTTTTAACACAACTGTGAATTATACAGGAATTGAATTTTATAACAAATCAGTTTGCGAAAAATCAACAAATATGAATCAATGCTATCGATTACTTTCGATATCTGGTTCATGACACAGTGTTACCTTCAAACAGTTTTCATAAAACTTAAAATTAAGTACTGATGTTAATATAATTCGAATAATTTAATATTCGAAGACTGATACTAATTAGCATGGAACTTCAGTTATATACATTTAGACTTCCGTATCAACAAACCATACATGAACTAATATTAATTATTCAACTTACTCATATCCGGATGTATGGTAATGCATTGCCACTGGCATTGGTAAGTTCACAATAGATGGTATTGCGTAGCCATTATTTTTTTCAGGAATAAAAAAGCATATGAAGAAGATATTAAGCAATATTATTAGAAATTATTTAACACATCATCGTTACAATGTTTAATATACAAAACTAACTTAATTGTTTAAAATATAACATTTATATAAATGTAAGTATTGCTAGTAGTTCTTTACATACAATAAGAATTATATTTAATACTATTTAATGAGAAATAATGATGTTTATATAAAATTAATTTAATTCAGTGTTTTAGTTTTAATATTAGCATGCATTTAGCATTTAAATTTAATGAATATGTTCATTTAATTGTGCTAGAATTATATTTTTATTATAGTATGTATCCACTGCTTACTTAATAAGTTTAACATACCAGGTAAATTTCATTAACCATACAAAAAGCTTTCGTGCTTTTCAGCTTACTTAAAAATAAAGCAACCAAAATTAGACCAAAAATGTAGAATTCAAATCTTAAAAATAAATTTCCCATAAGGGAAATTACCAAAATTTGTATCAATTTTTGATCAAATATTGCTTGCATTTTTCTAAAGAAACAGAAGCTTTCTTAGAACTTTTAAAAAACTTTTTGACACATTTAAGCTCTTTTATATCCAATAAGTAATTTATATCAATGGAAAGGGAAATGGAAGACTAAATTAAAGAAAATTAGACCAAAAATGTCGAATGCAACATTGTAAAATATATTTTCCAAAAAGGGTTATAAGTATATAAATGAGTACACATCATATATATAAATTGATTTTATTCAATATCAGATATTATTAAAAAAAAATACGCATTTTAGTTGAATATCAGGAAAGAAAATGAATAAGGTTATTATTAATATTTTCCGAAGCATTACACGTTGCTTTCTGTATGCACCTATTGCTGTATTCATGTTGTAAACAATTTCAGAAACAATAAATAATCTTAATCTTATAATACAATTTGTTTTTCAAATACCTGCAACTCTGAAAACTTAACGAACGTCAGAAACAATGTCTATATTTTTTTATTTTACATTTTTTTTCTTCGTAACAAGATTGTTTACGAATAACAAAGCACAAGCAATAAACAGTTTTATTATTCTTATTATCTTATTATTTATTTAAAGAAAATGATTGTTTCTAACTTGAAATTAAATGTTAAAACAAAAAAATGAATAGATGCGTTATTCATTTTACATAAAATATTTAGAATTTATATATTTATGAACTCACAAAGTGTGATGTAAAATTTTGTTTACATTTGTTGCGGCACAGCTGTTTCTCTTTGGAATTCAGCTGTTTTTTATTTATCTATTATTTTACTTTGAGTTTCTTATCCGCCCAAGTCTGACAAGGTAAACGTCAACATGGTGAAATAAGATGGCTACGCAACTTTCACATAGTTCGTAGAAAATTTTGTTGATAAAATTTTTCTTTTGTAGAAATGTAGTATATTTAATTCAAAGTCTGAAGTGTAATGAATATTTTGGTATAAAATTCAATTGACGAAGTTATTTAATATAAACAGAACTAATATGGATAATTTAGATGAATTTCCCGATAGTGCACAACTTCAGCAAGTGGAAGAAAAAATTGGTAATTAAAAATTATATTGCTTTTTCTATACATTTTTTATAGATAACTATAATGCAAATATATTAACTAATGCAATCAAAAAATGCGTTGATTGCAGTTTTAATGTTTTTGTTTCAAGCCAAAAATAATGAACTCAATTGTTGGTTTTGTTTTTTCTTTATTTAAAAATTTTTAAATAAATTTACATGGGGTTTTAATTACAAAACTTATTAGTTTTTGAAGCTAAATTAAATACAAGTGCAAATGATTGAAATACTACCTCATCTCACCACCACCTGCTGATTTGATGTTGCTGCTAATACTGTCCTTTTACTGATGGTCTCTATGCATTGGGCGACTGCTCTCATTTTAGTTCCTGTTAAGAAACATTTTGTTGTTTCAGCAATGATAATCTCTCTCAAGATTACGTTAATGAAGTAATTAATTGGGACTTATAACGTAAAAGGATTTAGAGTGATGACACGAAAACTGACAGTGCACTCTAAGTAGAATCATAATCACCAAATTCATTTAGAATGAATTAATCGTCAGACCTGAAAGAGAGTATAATTTCTATAATTTAAAATAAAAAAAGTTGTTTTTGTTGCATTTCTCTACTAGGTATTGCATTAAATATCATTATTTTCCTCAAATATAGGTAATATGTGTGAACTTGTGAGTAACTTCTAAAAGAAATTTAAATTAGCGTATACTTAAATCTTAAAATCTGCATCAGGTGTATTTGTAAGCTGTGATGCTTGAGAACATTTTCTGAATTTTTTTAGAAGGTTAATAATATTTAAATAATTTTAATTCCCTTATTATTAAATATGTAGTTAATAATTAATTATAATATAAGAGCTTAATAAATTTAAGCAGTACTGTCGACAGTAAATAACAAAATTAAACTTTCTAACATATGATGAATATAGATTTTGGTTAGTTCCATTTGCATATATTAATTAATTTTTTGTTAAAAGGTATTGCGGATTTCTCAACGCCGCAAATTATACTATCTGAAATTATTGTAAGAGTATAATATTAGTTATGATATAACGCTTGTAATTTATATATAGATAAAGATATAGAAATATTTTGTATTTTTTTAATGTGGCTGGTATATAAGCCATATTGTGATATTTAAGAACCCTTATTGTGACATCTCAATCTGTTTTGGGTTGAGAAAAATTGCTCTGAACTTGTATCTTATGAGTGCAGAGACAACATGTAAAAGACAAATGTAATAATAATAAAACAAATGCTTCAGTTAGTAGTCAAACGCTATCAGTTTTTTACTTATATGTCAACTGTGATACTGCTACTATCCACTGTAAGCAGTTTTCAACGTTATTCCGCACTTGCATAAATTATCATTAAATTTTTTTGTTATTTTAAAGTTGCGTTTTAGATTCATCGAGTAACGTCTAAGCTGTGCACGGCCGCAAGTTCAGTGGACTCGATTGATGTGTCACGGTAACGACGAGTGTTATCAATATTGTCAACGGGTGAATCCTGTTCTGGCCAAGTTTCCTAAGTATTTATTTTTAAAGTATTTTAATTTAATTATTGCTTTTGTTTTTGTTATTTTTTGCTACTACTTATCTAAACATTGTGATTGTTGTGTTTTGATTTTCATTTTTAAAATATTTTTAAATTTACGTTGCAATTATTTCTAATTATTATATTCAGATTAGGAGTTTGGGTGTGGCTTTGCGTATTACATTGACCTTGTTTAGCATTAAATTGTTTATTAAACACAAATGGCATTTTCCAAAAGGAAAATAACATCAATAAGCCCGTTTTTATAAATATTCAAATATTTTAAATATCCTTATCATCATTCATGACATTGATTTGAGTTTGATATCTTATTCAGTATTGCATTTCACAATTGTTGATGTAGCTAAGTTGTAAAGAATTTGTATTATCTAAAATTTATTTAAGAAAAGTATTGTTCAAATTTAAGGAAATTTGGCAATAGCTAATAGCTTACTCAATTCTTTTAATTGTTTTACGGTTAAAAATATTAAAAATGTAACTCAAAAATTTTCGTTTTAACTGTGAGTCATTAACTTCATTCGATCTTAGGAAATGAGTATGGAAAAGAATCTGTGATCGCACGTTTTTGTACATTTGTGATTCGTTATCCATATAAAATGACTTGCCACATTAACTTCGATTTTTTTTATTTTTAACGTTTTTCGGATTATAAACAGATTACTCGGTTTTTATTATTGTCCTAAATTTGATTTGATTTGGAAACTTAGTTTCTCGAATCACATTATCTTTATTTATTCTGATTCGTGATTCGTTATCCATATAAAATGACTTACCACATTAACTTCGATTTTTTTTATTTTTAACGTTTTTCGGATTATAAACAGATTACTCGGTTTTTATTATTGTCCTAAATTTGATTTGATTTGGAAACTTAGTTTCTCGAATCACATTATCTTTATTTATTCTTTAGGAAATAGTGAAGTTTTGTTTGATTACCAACATCTTTTGATAGAATTAATTGTATATAAAATAATAGATTTTTTTTTAGTTGAAACAAACTAAAATGAATTTGTTTTGTTAATTATCTTTTCTATTAAAACGACTATTTTTAATATTGTAATGTAAATATATTTTTACAGTTATTCAAATTTACAGTTATTATTTATTTACAAGAAAATAATCATTTAAGTCAGTTTAATAATTTAATTTGTCCGCAACATAATTACAATGTAAATAATGGTCGAAAATGAAAGTTCATTTGTGTACTATTTTACTTTGCATGCAAGGCTTTTTCTAATTAATGTTTTTTTGTTTTAATTAAATTACATACGCATGTGTGTGTCTGAAAAAATATTAACAACAAAAATTTTTAATTTCTTTTCAATTCAATATTTAAATTGATTGCGGACTTAGCCGCTAAGCTCTTAATTTTTTCCAAAATGACCATTTTATCAATTGACATATATTTTGTTTATACATAAACTTATTTTTGTTAATATCATTGTTGTATTTGTGATTATTTATGTATTCGAGTTATCTCTGTCACCCAATTACAATTAGAACAGGGTCATAAAAGCATAAAAATGATGTAAAAATGAAAATGTGAAGTGTTTGCCATTTTAATTTTGGCTTGTCAATTCACTAGTTGTTATGACAATTACTAATTATTTTTGTTTTATTTACTTATTTTTTATAAATTTACATATACATATATAGATGTAGTCAATTTTCCACTTTTCTGTATTTGTGCGCCGTAAAACGTGTTTAGTATTTAGTATTGTTTCTCTGTTGAGTTTATTTATTAGTTTTGGCATTAAATGTCACCATTTTCTTATTACACACATTTGTTTATATTCAGTATTTAGGTTTAGTTTATATTATTTTATTCTATTTCAAATGCGTTACAGTAGTTTGCATTATGGAGTAGAAAGTTTTTTATGAACTTTTTTGAAGTTCATTCAATCATGTTTCGTGTTTTTGTTTTGTGTAAAGTCGCGCGCGCAAGATTGGTTTAATTGTGTATGTGAATGTGTACGAGTCACAGTTAAAAGTTACATTTGCATTATTTACGATATACTTTCGTCAATGAATTTTGTTGTTGCGTAGTTTTACAAACTGTTTTAACACATTTCAACGTAATAAAATGCTTCCGGGGGGTAGTGTAATTTTGCGCTGTTATTTTTTTTGATAGTATTTCTGCTGATGTATATTTATTTGGGTTTACATAGCCCCAATGTGTGCGTTGTGTGGTATGAGTAATAAACTTCTTTTACTGCACTGCTTTACGCTGTGTAGCTTCTTTTTGACTGACTGATTATACCGAGTTGAGCTGTCCTGAATTTTGTCGTGTGTGCGTTTATTAGTTTTTGTTAATTTGTTTTTGTTTCTACTATATGAATTTTTGTTCTCTCTCTTAAGTTAATGCTCAAAATTTACCTCAAGCTTTTGTGCTCGCACATCATATTCATATTATTAATAATAATTCTAATTCATTAATTTTTGTTGGTTTTTTGTTCTTGCTGGTTTAGCTTTACTGTTTTCGTTTTCGTTTTCGTTTTTATTTTAATGTTAAATTGTTTTTGTTTTACTCAGCTTTTGTTTTTGTTGTGCTTTTTTTAGGTTTGAATTTATATTTTTTGCGGCAACAGTTCGTGATTAGCTACGGTCGAATTTGCATCTTTCTTTGTAACGTTAAAGAAATTTAAAACTCGCAAAAAATTAAATAATATAATATAAAAACAATTTTGTATATGAAAATTTGAAAAAATCTTTTTGATATTGAGGATTTGTGCTTATTGTTGCAAAATTTCTAATTGAAATATAAATAATCTTGTTTCAAATGTATAAGAAAAGAAACAGTGAAAAGTATCTTTAATTGCTATTTTTTTTTTGTTTTTATGTTATTCAAAGTTCTTTAAATGTTGTCATCAGTTTATATATATGTATTTCATATTTTGTAAATAAAATCTTGCTGATTGTTTTGATTGCTGCGTTGTTGCTGTTGTTGCCTCTATTGCTACAATTTTCTGCTGTTTTAATTTTTGACAATTGCTGTGTTTTTGAAATTTATATTTTTCAGTGAATGCCGCGATTTGAAAATGTACATAATCGAATGCGCGCGTTAATTAACACAATTTGTCTAACTTTTGTTGTTTCATATCATTTATATAATGTGTTTTATAAGTAAAAAATTGAAATTTTGTTGGAAATAATATTGTTGAATTGCAATATCTTAATATCTTGGTATGCAAATATCAAATATAAAACCTTAAAAAACAAACACAAATATATAAAACAAAAACAAATTTAAAATTATTTAAAAAATTGATGTCTGATTATGACGCTTTTGTTGTAGTAGTATTTGTAATTTTAGTATTCAGTTGTATCACACAATCGAACTAGAAATCAAGTGTTCTGTAGATTAGTTTCACAGCAATAACGTCATATTTGATTAAATTTGATTTTTTGTCTTGAAACTATGATTTATGTTTACGTTTTTCTTCACCATAAATAGAAAAAAATTGAAATAGTAGCAACAAACTACAAAGTAAACAACAAAAAACGGCACAAAAAAATCAAAAATTGAAAGATTCTGATAATTTAATTATAGATAATTTAATTACAAGTGAAAAAACAATTCGCAATTAAAAATAATAAAAAAAAATTAATTGCTAGCAGCAAATCGAAAAAGTGATTCATAAAAATTGTATTTACAAACGTTTAAAATAAAACAAACTGTTTTTTCTTAATTATTTATTAATAATATTTACCTGCTTTTAATTCTCACGTATTTGTTGCCGTCAGTGAACGCCAGTGAGAAGAAAGATATTATTATTTTAAGTCCTCAGAGCTTCGAACTTTGACTTATTGCAATTTATCGCCATTCGTCGTGTGAATATTTCGCGAGTTTATGCTCCTTTTTGATGTTATGGAATTTCCAATGGACACAAAAAAAGCTAAAAGGTTCGTTTGCAATTTGAAACTTTTATTAAACAAATTTATAAACAGTTCTTGAATGGAGTAACGAAAAGGATATACATATATATCAATATTGATAAACTGAAAACATTAAGTAGAGACAGAAAAATTCAAAATGTTTTTTGATCGTATGAGACAAAAATGCTATTTAGTAACAAAAAATTTCTATAGTAATTTTACAAACTAAATTTTTAGAACTTAGTTTGTTAGCACAACGTACCTTAGTGCTAACAAATTGACATGAAATTGACATATAAACCACTCCAACGAGGAACAAATCGAAACAATTGTTATTCCAACAAAATCAATTATGACATATACAAGTGAATAATTAGAATATTAATAGAAGATAATCTTAATAAATGAATATGTAGAAAACAGTAGAATTAGATATTTAACTTGAAGCAGATTAAAACAACTGCCCATAGAACCTAACACTAAGATTATTCTAAAGATTGTTTGCCACAACAGTGCTTAGTGCAACTTTTTTATTAACATAATTATATTGCAGTGTTCTAATCTCGAGGGCGTTGCATTGTCTTAAACAGTTAGAACATTTTTGCTTGTTTAAAACCATATCAGAACCAAAAATAAAAAATTAAATGTAGTTTTTTATCAGCGAAATTTTATTTGAATGACACATCATTTTTAGCACATTTTCACTATTTTTTCATTAAATATATATTAAAGCTTTCGTATTTAACATAAATAAAAGTTTTTATTTAAATATTTGAAAAAATGTTGAACCTTTCAAAATCAAACTTTTAATACACATCACACAATCACATAATACACATTCACAAATATACACACATACATAGTCGATAGGCGTAAGCATTATGCAAATTACCTTCCTTCTACTTGTTTATTTGTTTTGTTTGTTTGTTTATTTATTTATTTAGCAGTACTTTAGCGCTTGTTTATGTTTATCTTTTCCCTAATTTTGTTTTATTTACTAATTTTCACACCATTATCACATATTTACACAAATCTACACTCAACAGCAACAGTAGCAGCAACGCCAACGCATTCAAGATCCAATGAATTTGATTTATACTCGCATTCTGCATAATTTTCAACTTAACCTAATTGATTTTTCCTTTTCGCAGCATTTATATAATAAAAAAATAAGCATATTTTGGAATATTTATTTATTAATAAGGACAATTATATCACTTGAGTTATTTTAAAAATCATGTTTGAACATATGAATTCGTTTTGTTTTAAAAAATATGTATATACAAATTTTTAATAATATTTTTACCCAGTGGCGTAACTACATTTTTTAGGCCTATAAGCAAATTCTAACTAAGGGGCCCCTACTAACATCTTTTTATACCCTTTACACGAAAAAGAGTAAAAAGCGTAAGGTTTGACAAGATATTCGTAACGCATTAAAAGAAACGTCGGAAATACCATAAAGTAAATATCAGTATAGTATATACGTACTTTTTCAGTTCAAACTACTTTCTCAGCTTTTGAACTCTTCGAATGAAACTTTACACACATACTTTTCGGAAGCGAACTCTGTTCACCATTTGATTTAATTGAAATTGGACTACTATTTCTTATGGCTGCCACATAAACTTAACAATCGGACATGAAGTTTCTCCGTTTTTAATAAAGGTATTCGAATGAAATTTAGTATATACTGTACTGATATTTGCATAAGACAACGTACAAAATTATATTCAAATGGGTTTAAATCTGGATATAGCTTCCATATAAACTCTCGATTCAGACACATATTTTTCTTAGAAAAACTTTTTTATTTTATAAATAGGTTTAACATTTTATTTGAAGTACATATATATTATGTACTTTAAATTTAAAATTTAAGTATCTTTTATAAAATGCAATATGGAGTCGGTGCAATATGGAGTTATTCCAACAAAAAACGTTTCGTCCCACTTTTGCGAATTTATTAAAAATAAATACAATGAATACCTTAATTTATAATGGGCCCCCCTAAATTCGGGGGCCCGAAAGCGTTGCTTCTAGTCGCTTCCCTGTAGTTACGCCACTGTTTTTACCATTTGTCTTCTATGCGTTGTGTTATATTTTGCTGATTATATATAAAAATCCAGCAAAAAGTTACAAAAACACAAAACTATAAACCAATTAGTATTGTGTATTGTGATATTGTGTATTTTGACATGTAAGACATATGACATATATGCCAAAAAAAAATTTATCTGCAAAACAAAATTATTTAAGCATTGGATAAAAGAATAGGAATTCAGTGTTTATTTTTGCAACTATTGCACATTTTACACATAATACGCAGGTATTTATTAAAGTGTTTCTTAACAAAAATGTCTCATAAGTTAGTATAGATAAGGTCCAATTAAGAAGGTGGACCACATCAAAACCCACTTAAGCACCAATAATGTCCTGTTTGTGGTACCACAGATAAAATGTTGTTTATATACAAGAGCAAGTACACCTCGAAGTACAAGTACAAAGACTAAAGTAGGCATTAGCCGGTCAAGTCTATAAACTTGCCTATGTCCCTAATTTTGAAGGATGACAGCTTTGTCAGGTGGGTGAGAAAAATGGCTCAAACGATATTAAATCTTCTACTAGCCAAAAATGGTCGTTTTTAGCACAATCAATAACAAAATCGAAATTCCGTGCAATCAGAAGAATGATAAAAAATTTTCATAATCAAAGTACCAAATATCTTTATTGTTCAAATTGTGGCCAAAACCTTAATTTAAAAAATTCAAACATTATTGTTGATTATACTTGTGTGTTTTAAATAGTATTTAGCTTGTACCCGGTTTCCTTCAGTATTTCATCGCGTGGATTACTTATTCAATTGGAAATACTTATTCAATTTCTAGTTGGAAAAAATCCAAAGCAATAGCACGAATTTAAACGTTTATTGTGAAGTTAATTACATAAATATAGGAAAAGTAAGAAATAAAAACAAATAAATAAATCGTCACATTTAAATGAACTTGAAAATCCATTCATTGATTTTCATTGTTAGTTTTCTTTTGCTTTATTTCGCCTTAAAAAACTTTGGTTGAATACTTTTACTTTTTGTAATGGAACAATTCTACGTATCGAGCCATCAGTTTCCATGTTTATTTCAAAAATAAAATTAAATGTTATGAATTTTTAATTTGATCAATATGTGATTTATTGATTATGAAAATATTTCAGTTCACAATTGCAAAGACTAACAATTTAAAGCTTTTAGGGAAAGAAACTGATAACGTCACTTTCGACAAATGTCTCATTTATGGTTATGAAACTTTGCTTAACTCAAACAAAGAAGTGTGATGGTGTTTTGACGCCATTCTTTAGTATTATTTTTGTGATAATATTAAAAATTACTATGGCATTAAAAATAATATAGACAATAAGCTGTATATGTTATCATTTTCAGGTGAGTTGAAGGATGTTTGTTGAGTACAAACGCACACAGTCACAGTCATTTAAATTCGTTTGGTTAGAATAACCTGGGGATATTTTGATTGACAGATAGTCTTGAGATTCATAACACTATTATCTTAAAAAAAATATATGTGATGTGGCCAATCAAATGTAATGAAAATCATTGAAATTATGACTATAATTAATAAATAATAATAAATAAATAATAATAAATAAGTAATAATAAATAAATAATAATAAATAATAAATAAATAATAATAAATAAATTTAATAAACAATAAATTGTTTTTTATTTAAAATATTTCAAGAATATCTGTTTAGAAAGCATTTTTAAATGAAAAGTTAGATTTAGTACAATTGTATTTATTCTTATATTTTATAATTAAATATATCAAAGTTTGGTATCTGTATATGATAACTGTTTTACATTATATAAAAATCGTTTCAGTATTCTTAACTTTTCAGTTTCTATATTAATGATATCCAGTTTAGTCATTACATTAAAATACTTCCTATTTTACAAGTTCGAATTTGATATATAGATATATAAAAAACTGGCGAAACTGGGGTAGTAGTTGTAATCAGTACTTTGTTGATGTCAGCGAACGGTAAACGTCCATTGATTAATTTACTGGACTTTCTTTTTCTTAATAGTTGTTACCGCTGTTTTTTAACAGCAATGATATATGTTATTTAATTTGATACATCGAAATAGTAATGCAAAATAAATTAATATGTTAAATTTTAAGTTGACTAGAAGTGACCTGATTTTAATTAGTTTTTAAAATCTGATAAGTCTGATAAGTCTGAACGCTAAATATGATGTTAAGTTATCATTGAAAAGATAATTTTGCATCGCACATATGCAAAAAATTTTTAAAATATTTATGGGCTTCTGAAAAATTTATTAATATCATTAAAGTGTGTATAATTTCTAATACTGACATATAAATTAAAAAATTACATATTAATAATTATCGCCATATGACTCATAATTTTCAAATTTTTCGATAAATTTTTTATGATAAGCTCAATCAAACTTTATTCTATTTAAAAATTTTCGGTTTTATAGGTTCAAGTCCAAGTCAAACAGAAAATGTAGCTGCAATATCCACAAGCCCCAGTGCAACTGTTGCTAATTCGCAAACGAATAGTCCAACAGCTGGCACAGCGCAAACGATATTTGATGATGGTTATCAAATACTGTCAATACACGATAACAGTTATCAGCAAAATATTGCCACAACAATCAACAATACAAACACTAATAGCACCATAACTGGGAACAGCAATAATATTTTTAGCAACATCAGCAATAATACGTCGGTTCATCGTCATTCAATAAACTCAAACGATTACTCATCAACTCCCAAATCTTCACGAATTGATGTTAGCAGCGGCGACACAATTTCACCAGTTAATGTTCCATTTAATGCAGTAAATGATGAAAACTCATTACCACAAAATGTAAACATTGATTGCAGTACACTTAATGAATCACAGATTTTGTTATCGACAGAGATATATGCAGAAAGTGAATGCAGCAATAGCAACATTACAAGCAATTCTTTAAATAATTGCAGCATAAATACTATCAATACTATCAACGGTACAAATAGAAGTTCCAATGTAAATGGGTTAATAGCAGCTTCAACGTCTGTGCCTTCAGTCATAAATAACTCAGTACCGCTTGTTATACCATTGCGTCAAGCACTGCTGCCCTGGGGTACGCATTCGCGCACCTCAATTATAAATATAATGCCTTATACTCAGTCAGATTGTACACAGTCGGTCCAGTGCCTAGGAAACGAAATGAGTACCCTACGACCCGGTGAGATCGTTATGAGAAATCTTTTTAGTGATTTCACAGTACAAGCAGAGAAAAAAATTGAACTGGTTATGCTAGAAAGTGCAGATAAGAATCTTTCTAAACTCCTACAGCGCGGTGAAGATCAGCAGTTCGATCAGCTACTGTCTGCGTTAGGTTCTGTAGCCGAACATTGTCTACCTTCTTTATTGCATACATTACTAGCTTGGCATCGTCGGCAATTGTCAGATGCTGAAATTAAAAATGATCTCAAACGTATGGAGAAGGCTACGCAACCGAAACCTGCCATTGAATTAGAATATCAATTGCAGCGTCGTGAGGCTGCCGTTGAATTTATATTTTGTTTAGCACTTATTGAAATACTAAAGCAATTGCCGTTTCATCCTGGACACGAAGATCTTATTCGCAATATTGAAAATTTGGCTTTTAAGCATTTTAAGTATAAGGAAGGTTTACAAAATAATCCCAATGCACATAACATACATATGATTGCTGATTTGTATGCCGAAGTAATTGGCGTACTAGCACAAAGCAGATTTTCCTCTGTGCGTAAAAGATTCATGAGCGAATTAAAAGACTTACGAGCAAAAGAACCATCGCCAACAACAACTCAAAGTATCATAAGTTTATTAATGGGCATGAAATTTTTTAGAGTTAAAGTAAGTATAATAATTTGAAATGTTCCAATAAAGACGTTTCGATAGTTTTTTTACTTATTTTGCAGATGGTGCCAATTGAAGAATTTGAAGCTTCATTTCAATTTATGCATGAATGTGGCCAGTACTTTTTAGAATTAAAAGATAAAGATATTAAGCATGCCTTAGCTGGCTTATTTGTGGAAATTCTAGTACCAGTGGCTGCTGTAAGTTTATTATATTTAAGAAAAGTTGAAATAAAATTCAATAGAATCTTTTATTTTCTTTAATGTGTAGGCTGTTAAAAATGAAGTAAACGTACCATGCGTCAAGAATTTCGTTGAATTGTTATATGTACAAACTTTAGATGCTTCAACAAAATCTAAACATCGCTTAGCTTTATTCCCATTGGTAACATGCTTGCTTTGTGTATCTCAGAAGACATTCTTTTTAACGAACTGGCACTATTTTCTGGCGATGTGTCTCAGTAATTTAAAAAATCGCGACGCCAAAATGAGCCGTGTTGCATTGGAGTCTCTATATCGTTTGCTGTGGGTTTATATGATACGTATTAAATGTGAGTCTAATTCAGCTACCCATTCACGTTTACAGAGTATAGTTAATTCATTGTTTCCAAAGTAAGTATTATATTGACTTTTTTATTGATATAAAAAAGAAATCAATAGTTTTTTTTCATATAGGGGCTCCAAAGGCGTTATACCTCGCGACACTCCCTTAAATATATTTGTTAAGATTATACAATTTATAGCTCAGGAACGTTTAGACTTTGCTATGCGTGAGATAGTTTATGATTTATTGTGTGTAGGCCGTTCGATTAAGGTAATAATAACCTTATATTATTTGAAGGAGTTTTATGAAAACAAATATATTATTTATATATTCTTAATTTTTAGTTAATACTTAATCCAGAACGCATGAGTATAGGTTTACGAGCATTTTTAGTTGTTGCGGATTCGTTGCAGCAAAAAGATGGTGAACCACCTATGCCTCGCACAGTACCAGTACTGCCTTCGGGTAATACTTTACGTGTAAAAAAAACTTACATTAATAAAATGTTGACTGATGATACGGCCCGAAGCATTGGTATGTCTACTTATTTTCCACATGTGCGCAGAGTTTTTGTTGATATTTTGCGTGCTCTTGATGTTCATTACGGTCGACCGTTAATGATGACAAATACACAAAATCAAAATAAGGAGCCCGATGAAATGTTATCTGGTGAACGTAAGCCCCGAATTGATCTATTTCGTACATGTGTAGCTGCAGTGCCACGCCTTATACCTGATACAATGACACCCCAGGAGTTAGTTGATTTACTATCGCGTCTCACTGTCCATATGGACGAAGAGTTACGTATGCTGACTCATCAATCGCTGCAAACATTAGTTATTGACTTTCCGGATTGGCGTCAGGATGTCGTGCACGGGTATACTCAGTTTCTTGTGCGCGATGTCACCGATACTTATCCGCAATTATTGGAAAATTGTACACGTATGTTATTTGTATTTTTGAATATTTGGCGTTGCGCTATTAATGTTAATAGTAATGGAAATGTTGGTACAAACACCTTGAAACCACCAACAACAGTTGTTTGCGTTAACACGGTATCCACAGTCGGTGGTGTGTCCACTGGAGCTGGGAAAGATACAGCTACAAGTCAAATCTCAAGTGCAAGTAATGCGAAAAGCTTGAATACGACTTCAAGTGGCACATCAAGTATTACCTCAAGTGGTATGTCGAGCATAACACAAACCACAGTGATTAGCATGCATGATCCCACTAAAAAGAATGAAATACCACTTGCCACAACTTTGCATTTTGTTGAGGGCTTTGCACTAGTCTTGTTATGCAATTATCGTCCATTTTTGCGTAAATTGGCAGCTATGATATTAAAAGAAGTAAAAAATTTGATGAAAGCATTGGGTATACCAGAAACAGAACCACCCGTAATTGATGTTATAGACAAATGTTGTCCTCAAGTGCTTGAAAAGTGCTTACCACATTTGCCTCAAACCGATAAGACTGCAATTTTAAACGCGAACGTTATTGATCTACAGTGGATAGCTGAACGCACTAGTGGTGTGTGGTTAGCGGGAATTACAGACGGTACAAGTTTTTATGTATATTTCTTCTGTTAAATATATATATATATATCTTTTTTTTTAATTTGCCTACTTTAGAAACATCTAAATCATCAACATCAACTTTGAATTTATCGCAAGCAAGCAATTCACATCAACATCAGTTTGATCCATGGGCAATCTGTTTAGCAGGCTTCTTTGAACGAAATCATATTTTGCAGCAATGTCCGTCTGCAGTAGCACAAGCTTGGCCTATCTGCTATTCTCGTGTTTCAACATTGTACAGTGTTATTGATCCAACGTAAGATCATTAAACATATTCAAAAGTATTAAAATCCTATCATTGTTTAATTGAAAATTTAGGCCAGTTAGTGACAATCGTGCCTCTCTATTACGCAGTTCTGCTCCTACCAAAAAAATGCCTACTGAAAGTCAAAAGGATCTTTATTTGCGTTTATGGCGTAATCAAGTGGCATGTGTTATGCGTTTAGTGCCACAAATCCCAAGTGTTGCAGTACGTTGTGCATCACCAGATTTAAGTTTAAGGTAAGAGTCGAGAAGATATGTACTTGCTCATTATATAATTACCATAATATTTTTTGTTAACTAATTTCATGCCGAATATGTTATAATTTCTATAAATTTTATTTTTTTAATTTTAACATTTTGTCTTTATTTTATGTATAAATAATGTATGTGTTTATCCATTTTTGAGGGTTTACGTGTTATTTTTTTATTAATCATATCAAGTCAGTTTTAACACAAATAAAATGATTTCTCAATATGTTATTTGTATATTATAAAAGTAATTGTGTGTAGTCCATTTCATAAATAAAAATAAATAAACTGTATTTACATTTATAATAGACATTAATGTTTTGTAGTGTTGGTGTGTGTTTGTGTAGTGTAGTTATATAGCCATGAACAATTTTTATCTATATTAAATATTAAAGGGAATTGTAAAATTGGAAGCGACAGGTTCTTAAAGATATTATCTAATATTATTTTGTGGCAACTATGGAATGAAAATAAAATGCATTTGTTTTAAATTTTTAATTTATGATATTAGTATGTGTTTTTAATTTTAATCATTGTGTATACTAAGCACAAACATTTATATAATTTAGGATTTTTATATTTAGAAACATATGTTTTAACGATGAAATACTAAGAATATTTATATCTTTATAATTTTTGTATTTTGAAGTATAATAATTAAAAGCATGATCCTGAATATATAAGTTCTTAAAGTACCTAATCTTTATAATACACTTTAATAACAACTAATAAATTCTGTTTTAAGAACGATGTTGATATCTGCGAAATATTTTTTTTGCTTCCTAAACAAATCTATGGTAATAATATATTCAACTTTGACAAATATGCATACTATAAACCTTTCAAAATGGCTTGAAGTCATCTATACTGCGTTCATTCTAAGCGGATTTCTTGTTAATAAACTTTATTTCACAAAGTATATAGAGCACCTTATATATGGTAATATAAAGTTTGGACTGCAAGTGCCAGGCTTAGAACTCGCGCCTGTCGAATTAAGAAAATAAGTTTTCTTATTTATTTTTATTTACACTCATTTTGTCTCAAAATTAATAATTAATTGCGAAGTTATTTAAGAAAATCATCTAAAAAATAAAATGCGTATTGTTGTGACATATATATGACAAATACATTATAACAATTTACTTAACCATTAGTTTCACAGATAATTTATTAATAGACCAGGGTCAATTTCTTATATTTGAAGTCCAAAAATTATATATAGACTATTAAATAGTTAAATTATTCCAAAAGAACTCTGATGATTTTTATTCATCTATTTCGAATTAGTTGTGAAAAAATATATATTAAAAACATATTTTTAAACCCTATAGTTTCTTTTGAATCCTAAATGAATCTTTAAATGATACTTTATTTCATTTAATGAAATAAACATTTAAGTATTATGATAAATAATTTAAATTGATGACATCAAACTCATGTAATTGCAATAATTTTAACTTAGCTTAATTTTCATTAGTCACTAATCATTCACAAAATAAATAAAAATTCATTACTGAAATTATTCATTTATTTGTAAAATATTGAATAAAAATTTCATGAATAATAAAAATAATAATAATTATGATGTTAAAACTGTATACATTGAAAATATTTCTACAATATTGATATTACAAAAAAATATCAAAATTTTTTGAATTATTTTACAATATCTTCCACATATTTCGCTCGTAAATCATAAACTTTGAGTCAGTTCTCTTTTACGTTTTATATTAATTTTTCTAAGCTTATAAATGATATTTTAGATAAAAAAATAAAATATTACTAATATAAATTTGTAAAGTTACGTCCACAAAAACTCAACTCTTTCATTAAAATTTCATTAAAAATACGAAATGAAATACACACAACCACACCTTAACTTGCTCATCAATGTTTTTAGTTTACAAGATCAATCGGATTCGCGTTCTTTGTCCGATTCCTTGGATAATATTCCATCAAATGTGTTTGGGCCAGAGGGAATTGTGACGCGTTTCACTCTACCGCTATCCTATGGTCGCAAAGAGGCGAGACAGAAACGACTTGGGTAAACACACATACTAAAAATATTTAAATTATTTAGAAAAGTAGTTTTTATCTTAAAATGTGTTAATAACTAATAAAATAGTTTATTTAATTTATTATTTTCCCTATGTACAAAATATCTAAGTAAACTCTCCTTAATATATGTATGTATGTATAAGTTAAATTTTTCAACTGCTTTCTAATTTGAATTTCCCTAAAAAATGTGTGCTATTTATGTGAAATTTTATGACTTGATTGGAATAATTACGTATTCAGTTTTATTATATATAATAATATTATTATTATTATTATTATAGTGTTTTAATATAATTTATTTGAATTATGATACATTTTTTTTTATTTTTTATGCATTTAAATTACAGTAAAATTAATTGTTTAATTGTTTGTATTGAGAAAGCCCAACATTTTTAGTATCTTCTGAATTCGCTTTGCTATTGTTAAAATATTTCCCCCATATTGGGTTACGTTGCTTTTCTATTATAATTTATGCAATATAAATCTGAAAATTGCTTTAAGACTTTTCCGCTTGCTTTCATATAGATACAGAAAATAAAAAATCTTCATGTTGGCTTTGTCCGAATTTCTTTGCTTAATGATATACCTACATATACATTCTATGACGCATTAGTTCGTGTTAATGCTTTATTTTACATTATTTGAATTATAATAAAAAGACGCCTACAAAACTAAGTGCATTTAAGATATTTTTGAGTTCACAATTTACTGTTCATCTCAATACCTTAGAACTATTATTGGAGAAAAAATTCAAAAAAACCGCAATGATTCTTATAAAGATTTCTATGTGACATAATGATGGGGTATAATATACACCAGTATACAGATATTGTATATATCTGCAAGTGAACATATTTTTTGTTTTATCTACTTACTATATCTGGTAACCATATAATGTTTAAAATTATTTTATTTCAATGGAATTTAATATATTTTCATTAATTTCCAATAAAAAGTACATTGTATTGTCTTTGAACGAGATGTCGGAGCCTTTGTCGAGTAATTTGGGACGGGTATCGAGTCATAGGTTTATTCTTAGCAATTGTATAGTTGTATGAACTGCCCAGTCACACTTCTAGTGACATGGATTTGTTTTCACATCAATTCAAATCCATCCATTCCATCCTTTTAATTTCTATTAAACTGTCAATATCATCAGAATATTTTAAAAACTTTCAAGCGAATATAGCATTAAGTGCACATATGTCAAACTCTACGTATGAAATGGCCCTCTACAATCAAAAACAAAAGAACAGAACAATTAATCTTGTTCGTATCTTTCTTTTTAAAAATATTAATATCGCTTGCAATGTAAATTTGCTTTAATCATCCTAAATATGAAACATGCAACCAACTGTTTCTATTGATGCAGAATTGTTTCATACCATAGAATTGATTGAGTTTCAAATGTGGTATAGTACTATAGTTTGCAATTAAACTATTGATTTCAAATCAACCAAGTCTGAAGGTTGCAAAGCTGGTAAGGAATAATATTTATATACAATGAATTGGACTAAACGTTTTGACTAAACATCATTGTTGTCATAGCGACAACAAATAATTCCACAAACTTTATAGATAGGTGGTAGACATCCGTACAGACACGTTAGGAATATTAAGGTATTTAGGTAAAGGTAAACCTATTTCAGACCGAGAAGCCCGTTTGTTATTTTAATTAAATCATTAGTACCATATCTTTAATGTCAATACAAATCATAAGTCATATCGGAGAGACATTTGGAAAAGGAAACTCTAAGTCGAATATACGTCTTCTGATGAGGACCAGGAAGTGACGGAGTGTATAATTAATAATGTGCTTATAAATTAAATATATTAAAATGTAACAATTCTTTTTTTTTATTTTCTTATATTTAAAGTACATAAAAAAATCGTTGGCAAGCAAAAGTATTAAAAATTAATGGCATGATGCTGAGAAGGTATAACAAAAATGCTAAATACCTATAAAAATTTTGCATAAGATAGAAACATTTATATAATTCCTACAGAGAAATGTGTATAGATTTTTCGACATTAAATCTTTGCCTTTTCAAATCTAAATTGCAAATTTATTGGCTTCTGCTAAGGCTTTAAGTTTAAGAGATTTTTTTTTGAAATTTATAAAATTTTTATTAATATTTTAGTCATTTAATACTTTTTATAATTATGTATTGAATTGCAATAATTTATTTATTTAATTATTTGAATAATGAATCGTAGCAACATTTTTTAAAGATATCGATATGATTTTAATTCGTTTTTGATGTGAATTGCAGTTCTTCTCCTGATTCGTTAAATGCTGACCGCAGTGATAAATCGGCCATGGGATCTGCTTCACCACAGGCGCTGTACAAGCTTATAGTGCCCTTGCTACGTTGCGAAGTTGTTGATGTACGCGATGCAGCCGTCAATGCTCTGGGCATGATAAATCATGATGCTTTGAAGTAAGTTTTGTTCTTGATTTCATAAAATATAATGCAATAAGATTTGCTAATAATTTTTTTATTACTTTTTTTATAGAGATTTAATGGAGGAACTCGTAGTGTATATACGTGAAGCTGTCGATAGAAAGCAGGAAAATATGCGTCGCCGACGCCGACGTGACGCATTGCGTTTACAATTGGTGCGCGTGTTGGAAAAAATTGCTGAGAATGGTACTTTTGGGGTTAGGTAGGTTGAATAAACATTAACGATCCAATAGTTTATTATACGAGTATTAATAATAAAATATTGCTAGAAATATATAAAATTCTTTAAAATCTGAACATATATCTGAAGCTCTATATTTATTTTCTCCTTTATTCAATTTTTGAGAAGTGTTAATGTATATTTTGAATTTTAATTGCAGTACTTGTGTTTTGGAACGAGATACAATGTCACTACATCCAACTTTTGTCGAGTATATTGAAGGAGCAATGCTTTATTTAGTAGCGGAAACCGACAAAGACAATATTAGTATACGTGAAGTGAAAGCACACTTTTGCAATTTTATACGAAAAATGATTAAAAACTTTTCATGTAATTGTCATTCAAAATTGAAAATATTTTTTATTATTTACTTATTTTATATATGATTTTTACAGTGGAGTCTTGTGCAACACTTTTAACTAGAGACTTAAAACGTAATCTGTTTGAATTATTTGCTACCTGGTGTGGTCCATTTTCGAAGCCTTTAGGTATTACTTCACAAATTGGACAAACTGCAGAAGAAGAAAAATTGAAATTCAGCGCTTTGCAGGTACTATTCTGACGCATATGTTCTGAATGAATGAGTTCTACTAATTATTACATTTTGTTATACTAGTTTTGTCTACTAATTATTACAATAGTTAATGTTCAATGTTTTTAAAGCATATTTCTATTAGTTTTGTTTATTCTGTCCCTTTAATTACGGTAGGCTATGTCTGCGTTGTTGTGCTGTGGTCATGTTTTTTCCACACCATACCTGTCCGATGATGGAGTTATTTACAAATGGCTTGACATGTTATTGTCATCTAAAGATGAAAAGGTGCGCACGTATTAAATTTTTGTACTTATATATCGAAAATTATGTTCTATTTATGTATTATACATACATTTATTTTATAATTTTTTTTAAATTATTACAGATATATCAATTGGCTCGTGACACAGTTGTGTTGTTACTTGAATCTAATCCTGACATGGGTCAATTACTTGAATGGGTTATTGATCGCTGTTATACATCAGCACCACGCGAAGCTGATGCCTGTTTTCTATCATTAGCTTCTATATTCAGTGCAAGGTAAGATCATAAACTAGGTGTGAAATAAAATTTTTTGTTAATGCTGTAATAATTTATAAATTATACTATTATATAGTTGCTATTTATAATCCAACAAAAGAGTGTACCATAAAGATTTTATAAATAGATAAATTCGAAATTATTAAGTTTGACATAAAGTATTTTATAAATATTGACAAGTTGGACAGACTACATATAAATGGATTGAGATGGATTGGGATGGATTGGGAATGGGTGGGGTCTAAATCGAAAAGAAGGATCGAAAAATGCCTCTTAGAAGGAGGGCTCTACGGAATATGGGGGTAATTGGATGTCCATCTGTATGGCACGCAAGGAGGTATTACTTGGACAACAGTTATGCGACTTGCGTTGGCAATCGTTCGCAATCCGCAATGCTATGCTTTGGCATGATTGGATATTATTTAATTGCGTCTCGCAGAGTTGTGGTATCCATGCTAGAGCAGCATATGTCACGGTAGAATGTTCTATTGCTTTGCATGTGTTCAGTAGTGTTTCGTTGTCTTTACCCCATGAGCAACTTACGAACACTCTTAACACTTTATTGCGAGATTTCACTTTACATATTGTGAGGAAAGGTCAACATGCTGTCAAGTACTACACCCAGGATTTTGGATTTGGTGGTGGTAGGGATCCTGAATTCATCTATACTTATAGACAGAGCCGAAAACCCCTCTTTAGTCCAATAAGTAAAGACGGTGAAAAAGAGATAAGTAAAGATTTCTATCGTCCAAAAATGATGCCTCAAGGGAAGTTATGCATTCAGTTTGTTGTATAATATAGAAGTGCCCTGACCTGTGGTTATAATTGTGCAGTCATCAGCATATGTTATGACTCTGATTCTTTCAGGTGGGTTCGAGAGTTTGGACTTATATAAGTTGAAAAGAATCGGTGAGAGAACGTTGCCTTGGGGGACACCTTGTTTTATTTTCCTGGCTTTCGACATGTTATCTCTAAAATTAACGCATGATGATCTGCCTATGACATAGTTACAGACTATGTCAAATACCTGCGATATAAAGACCTACTAGTACCATTTTGGGAATCGTAATTATCTAAATATTCCTTCCATTTATTAAGGCGAGGTTCATCCATCATTTTACGGATGTTGCTGTTCAGGTTAGTTATACGGAGATTGGCTGGGTCAAGTCTACGAAAGTTATCGCATTCTTTGGCAAGGGGTAGGAAAATTTCCAGCGTCGCTAGGAAAATTCAGTCCTACTACGTTTATCCTACCTGTAGGAACTGCTGTGGCAACGAATTTGATAATAATGCTCCCAAATTGTTTCTCTGCCTTATTAAAAAAAAAGGATAGAGAAATATTGTCGAAGTTGCTTTCGGATACATCTTTTGACCCAGTTCGCTTTTTAAAAGTTTCTGCTTTCGGATCAGTCTTGGAGAGAGCCTTGATATATGAAATAATAATTGTAATGTCAGTGTAATTTGAGCTTAAAGCTATATCAAAACTTCAATTTAGATCAATGAGCAGTCTGGGCGAGGCTGAGATCAGCCTTTGAGCTGAAGGTGGTTTGGAGTTACCTTAGTTGACGAGTCTTCATTTAGTACACCAAAAGATGATTCGACAATTTGGGAAGCTAACAGCAAGTCCCTCTAAGGTTAGAAAACCACAGAAGGTAGTGAGCTTTCAAATTATCTAACACAAAACACGAATCCCTATCTAGAAGGTGAGAAATATCTGGGGTATGCTGGATAGTTAAATTTTTATTACATCAATTAATTTTGATGATCTACCAATAAAAATTTTCAACCCTATTACCTCCAAATAATCGGCCATATATGCTCAAATATAAATTCGAAGAATGTATTTTCCCCTACCAGTTATTTAGGTTATACCGCCTGTGCTCGGGCGCCATATACTTGTCTACGATAAACAGAGTGCACCACATATATGTAAGATTAACAATTGGGTTGGTTTTTCGTTCCTACCCAATTGTCTTTGAATTAAGATTTTATTTAGGTTAGATTAGGTTATACCGGCGATCTCTAGTGGTACCACTTAGGCTTCTTGGCCCATTGTGTTACCGTGTATGTGGGAAAACTCAGGGTTTAAAACCATCTAGAACCTTTGACGAAGCTTAATGTGCTACTTAGTGTCAGGTCTTGTAATTGATTAAAATCTTCAAGAAAGGGGGCTCCTAAAGTATTCAGTCTTTTCTGTGCGTGAGCTGGGCAAAAACATAGTAGATGAGAGGCATTCTCATCATTCTCCCCACAACTACGATAGGTTTCTTTGAAAGTGAGATCTGATCTTATAGCATGGTTTCCTAGTTTACAGTGACCTGTAAGTAAACTTACCAGAAAACTGATACCTCTACACACCCCGTTAGTGAGAATTTTAGATTTCCTTTTAATCGAACTTGGCCAGATTGCATACAGATGCCTGCATATCGTTGAGTTTTCCCATCTTTTATTAAAACTGTGTTTATTTCAATTAAGAATAAAATAGCAATGTGTTTGACTTATATATGTAGGCAGGAAGGGTAAGATCTGGCAACGCTGGGAAAAAGGGAACAAGCAGAATGAACAAGAAGGCAGTCGTAAGTAGTCGTCAGCAGTAGTCAGGCGGGGGCAGTCGCTCGTAAGCGGTCGGGAAAGAAGTGCTCGTTGAAGAAGACATTTAATATTATTATATTCGTACATTTAATTTGTCTGTTAAATAAACATTCGTACATTTAATTTGTCTATTAAATAAACATTCGTACATTTAATTTGTCTATTAAATAAACATTCATTCCTACACATATGACTATTGCAAGGGTAATTAATTTAATAAAATTTGTATCGCATATATTGAAACAGAAAGCAGAGTCATAAGTATATTATAAAGTTAAAAATATCTTGCAGTTATTTTTAATAACCTACACCAATTTTAATTTGTTGAAAAATTTAAGACGGTCTCGTGTCATGTACACATACCAAATACGATTTTAGTTCAACTGCAATTCAACATGTGTATAAAAGTTTACATTTTTATTGCATTGTGCACATTAATTATACTTTTTAGTTCTGAAATTATTTTCCTTTTTAGTCGAAGCAGTTATAATCCCATTAAAAGTTTAAGTGGCAATTTTCGTGACTTTGTGCACTCTCACATATTTTGAAATCATTAAACTTGCCACATGTTTACAAGTACATACGTATTTAACTGTGCGAATAAGTGTGGGAGTGTAACTCTTTATGATTTAAGTAGCTTATCTGTAAAATATATCTTGGAGTATATTTTGTACAAAATGTTTTGCTTTACATTAGTGCAAATATTAAATTCGCTATATGCAATCAACACATTTATAGAAATTATCAAAAGTAATTAATGATAATGAGTTTTGTACAAAACCAAAGAAAACGTTTTGATTAAAATCTCTTGGTTAATTTCTTATGGTTGGGTTCATTTTGGATTGCATTTTAAGAGTAGATTAAATGATAATTTTGCTTTATGTAACGCTTTTCCTGTTTTGAAACTTCTTAACATTTTTGTACTTATTTACCATATATTTCCTTTAATATATGCTCGTACCCTACAAATTAGTTTTATTATAATACTAACAATATACAATGCAATTATGCATTTAATAATAAAAACAGTGACAGTAGTAAGTAGTAAGCCTACTGCAGAGAAGAAGGTTACATATCATCTATAAAATTCTGTTAACAAAAGTTTTTAAATGTTAAGCAGACTGAATATGTTAAATATAAATTTATTTAAATTATTTTAATTTACGGTAACTTATATTATGTATGTAGAACATATATAATATATAATATATAGAATTTATTATATACCTTATGATCAAAAAAGAACGAGAATTTAAAAAAAACGCAAAATTTTAATTTTTAATAATTTTCTTTATTATCACCTTTAAAGTACTCTCCTCCTGTGGCAATACATGCATGCCAACGTTTGATCCAATTTTCCATAAAAGTTTTATAGGCCGCCGAAGGTATGACCTTTAGTTCACGCAGCGAATTCTTTTTTATGGCCTCTATGGTCTCAAAACGCGTCTATTGTCCTCGCAATGTGAATTTGAGTCGGGGGCGGGGGAAGAGGAAAAAGTCACACGGGGCCATATCTGGAGAGTACGGTGCTTGGTTGATGATATTGGTGGAGTTTTTGTCCAAAAACTGCGACACAATCAACGCTGTGTGAGCCGGTGCGTTATCATGGTGTTAAATCCATGAGTTTTCCTTGCATAAATCTGGTCTCTTTTTGCGAATGGCCTCACGCAAACGTCGCATAACGGCCAAATAACACTCCTTATTGACCGTTTGATCATTTGACCGTCCGGATGGAATTCATAGTGCACCATACCACGAATATCGAAGAAAACAGTCGGTATAACCTTGATTTTGGACCGAATTTGGCGTTCTCTTTTCGGTTTCGGCTCACTTTTGAAGCGCCATTCGGTCGATTGTTGTTTGGTGGGCATGTCAAATTCATAGACCCATGTCTCATCACTAGTTATGATGCGTCCGATGAATGTGGGGTCACTACCTGCGTTGGAAATCATCTCTTTGGCCACATCACAACGACGGTTTTTTTCGAATGAAATTCAGCTAAAAATCGCCACACGAAAATTTTTCGACTTCTTTGCATAGACGCCAAACAAAAACTAATCTTACGATATGCGTTAAACTTTGACAGAATGTGTATAATAGTGTTGCCAGCGTGAAAATAAAAAAAATTAACCGATTGGATAAGCGCGGGAATTCAAAAATTAAAATTCTTGTGTTTTTTTGATCACAGGGTATGAATATATTCTATGTATAAAACATATTTACTTACTTACTTATTAGGTGTACCGGTATGAAAAGAGCGTTTTTGGGTGAAAATAAAACACTAATTATTAATAGGAAAGTAAAAAACATTTTATTCAAAGTATTGGCCATTGCTTTCTACACATTTTGACCACCTTTCTGGCAATTTGTGGATACCACGCCAAAAAAATTGTTCGTCTTTTAAAGCAAACCAACCAGACACACAATTTTCGACCTCCTCGTAAGAATCAAAGTGCTGCTCAGCCAATGCGTGTCCCATCGATGAAAACAAATGGTAGTCGGAAGGAGCCAAGTCTGGTGAATACGGTGGGGTAGGGTGGGGTAGGGTGGGGTAGCAGCTCCCAGTCAAGTGTTTTGATTGCATCCTGAACCCGTTTTGCTTTGTGTGCAGGTGCATTGTCATGGAGCAAAATTACCTTGCCGTGTCTTTTGGCCCATTCTGGTCGTTTCTCGATCAATGCATGGTTCAAATTTATCAAATTTGTTGTTCGTAGCGACCAGCATTGACGGTTTCACCAGGTTTTAGGAGCTCGTGGTACACCACACCTTTCTGGTCTCACCAAACACACAGCATTGTCTTCTTGCCGAATCGATCTGGTTTTGCAGTCGATGTTGATGGTTGTCCCGGATTAACCCATGATTTTTTCCATTTAGGATTCTTAAAATAAATCCATTTTTCATCGCCAGTAACAATCCGATGCAAAACCGATTTTTCTTTCGTGTCTTTGAAGCAAAATTTCACAAGTGTTTTTTCGGTTTTCCATCTGTCTTTCATTCAATTCATGTGGCACCCATTTTCCACACTTTTGGATCTTTTCCATAGCTTTTAAATGGTCAGAAATTGTTTGTTGTGCAAGATTTAACATTTCTGCCATTTGCGTTTGACCCAAAGTGTCATCTCCATCCAATATCGTTTGCAATTCGGCGTCTTCAAACTTTTTTGGCGGTCTTCCACGTTCTTCATTTCTCACATAAAAATCATTATTTCTGAACTGTTGAAACCATCTTTTGCATGTTGCTTCTGATATAGCATGATCACCATATGCCTCGACAAGCATTCGATGCAATTCTGCATCATATGCCTCGACAAGCATTCGATGCGACTCTGCACCACTTTTCTTCAAATGAAAACAAAAAATTAATGGTTTCCGCAAATCATCACTTTCTGGTACAAAATTCGACATTTTTAACACGATAAAAAAATATGATGTTGTGATGTTGTATACTAAATATATTTCACACATGTCATAGCAAACAAACAAAAAGAAATAAAGGCTCGTTCACAACAAATGTTCCCTGTCGGAACATTTGTATCTTTACGCTCATTTCATACCGGTACACCTGGTATTTGGCCATAACAACCCGTTACCGAGTTTTGACCTGACGTAACATCTCTCCCCAGGCGTCTCTGCGGAATGCGCGCCTTCTCAAGTCTCGTACACAAGTCCAGTTAGTGTTCACTCAACTTGATCACTTCACAGATACGGTCTACCTCAACGTCTTCTTCCGCCAGCTTCAAACACCTTTTTCGCTGGAGCATCTTCATCCATTCTCTCGACATGACCAAGCCAGCGAAGCTGTTGGATGTTAATTCGCTGAATTACATCAATATCGTGATAAAATTCGTACAGCTCGTGGTTCATCCGTATGCGGTAGTTGTCTACAACTCGTAGAGGACCAAAGATCTTACGATGAACTTTTCTCTCGAACACTCACTGCTACATTCTGTGTTAACGTCTATATTTCTGCGCCATACAGAAGCATAGAACTGTTCATTAACTTTTGTTTTGCTTTCTTCTTTAGTGTTTAGACGTGATGTTATTATTCGTTCTGATATTGCGTGTCAATCTAGTAGAGCATTTCTAATTTTCCGGTTCAGAAATATACCGACTCCGTTTATGTGTGGATCATCACGATTATGCTTCCCTGAGTATATAATTAATTAAGTCTCGCAGTATGTTTTACCCCGGATTTGTTCCACTTCATTGATGTTAGTTGTACTAATTTTCCTGGTGCAAATGGGGTTCTAACATTCTACTGAGCAAATCGAGTCCTTGTACATCAGCCGTTTTGTTTTTCTTGTTGACATATTGATATGATTTAGTTCTCGAAAATTATAGGATATCTTTAACGTTCATAGTTTGGTGACAAGGTTGCTACCTTACGAGTATTATTTGCTAGCAGGTGATTTTCAAAACTGCTATGATTTGATGTGTGGTTATAGTCATTTCCTACTATACCTAGATGTCGACATGGTTATATCGCCACGTACTTGGTCGCCAGAACTTCTTCAGTGGGAACAAGATGTACCGCGAGAAGGTAGAAGTTGACATTTGAGTCAGAAAGGCAGTTAGAGACACATCATGACACCATACAATCTTAATTAATATATTAATTAATTAACATATATGTCATTAATCATATGAAAAGTATGCCAAACGAAGACCTTTTCAAGCATTGTAATGGTTTAAATATAATATTTCGGAAAGGTGAACATAGCTTTATTTAGTATTTTGAATTCTATGAGGAACTGCTCCTTTTAAAATCGAACTCACTCAACTCAAGCAACTCATCTAATATATTAAAGAAAATAATTTAGAGGAACATATCCGAATGTTTATATCAGAATCAAACTTACAGTTTCACTCGTACAGCTTCTGCTGAAAGAAGCTTCTCAAAGTTAAAATTGATTAAAACATACTTGAGAAGTATGATGAGCTAAGAGAGACTATCTGCATTGGCAATTCTATTAATTTAAGCGAAAATAGCAGCAGAAAATATCTAAATTCAGTGAGGCTTAAAGTAGGCACAATATGGATACATAACAGATATATTAAAAGCTTATGAAGTTATTTTTCCTCTGTAAGAATTTTGCACCTATTTTATATATACATAAGTTCTTCTAGTTACTCAATTTGATCATCTGTGCTTGCATTTCTATATCAGATGGTATATGGTATATCAGATGGTTGTTAGATGTTTTTTTGAGAATTTGGGAAAAAGAACAGGAATTGAATATTTCAATTACTTGTTCTTACTATATAGGTCTTGGTGAGCGAGATATAGTATTGTTGTAATTGAGTTTTTTTGCAACTACAACTTTATTATTGTTAATGCTAAACAATGAATTAAGTTTCTGTGATTCTTCTCAATTACAAAAACAATATAATTTTTATTTAAAATTTGTTTTTTTAGTTTACTAAAATTTCTGTCAAATTCATTTTATGTATCTATGTGTACTGCGTTATCATCACAGTATAATATAAAATATATATAAACAAGTTTAGTTTTTAAATTTTACTTTTTTAAACATTGGGGCTAAGTATGTACAGTCACTGCTTATTAAATGAACATTTTGTTTTAATTTACCGTAACTGCTATACACACATATCTTTTTTAGAGAAACTTGGAATTATAAAATAATTGTTTGAATTTTTATTTATTTATGCATTAATTGTTGCTGAATCAGTTCTTAAACTATTTTTCTGAATCATAAATATTGTGAAGAATATAAATTAAACTTCATTCATTTAAGATTCTCTAATTGCCATATTTCTAATTTCTTGTTAATAATAATAATTATATCAAAATCTTACGTCACTGGATTTTAAAATTTCATTCTTTTTTAATTTTGTAAATTTTTTTTTTGTGAAAAACTATTCTAGATACTGTTATTGACATCATACGATAATGAGTTACCAATTAAACATAAAGAGCAAATCAAAAACAGATAATCAATTCGTTTATATGAGTGCTCATGCATCAAAAATCATTTGTCCTTTTAATTGACAGTAGAAAAAGATTTATGTCAATTAGCATGCTCCTCATGTATATTAACTGCAAGAATGATATATAAGTGATAATATTAAAATAGTAGCGAAGGTTTGAAATATTTCATGTAATGAATATTTAACGAATATTTCTTATAGTGATTTTTTAAGTGAATTTATTTAATTCAAACATAGTCTAGTTGTGCTTAAACATTGGTGTAATTGGCTGTATTTATATATTAAGTTTAAACTTATGCTTATAGTAGTCTGTTCATGTGTAAATGAATCTTGTGCTTATATGTACACTGATTAATTTTTAATAGATTTACATCTTCACATCCATACGCGTACGATGTGGTTGATATTTTGTGTAGTTTCTAAACGAGTGTGTTGGCTTAGTCATCATCATTAAGTATTCATGGCCAGCTCTGAACCATAATTAAATTCAACGTTTTCTATAGATTTTGCATATTTTTTTGCGTTTAGAGTTACTTTATAATGAAAGTGTATATATTGCAACCTGTATATACTGCATTCTACGGACTTTAAGTCAGAGTCTCTATCATAACCGCATATGCAGAAAATCTAGTGTAAATATATAAAGGATTTTGGTTGATAAAATTTGTACTAACGTGTAGCAGTTACATCATATATATATAAATAATGTGCATGCATATATTATAGTATTTAAATATGTATTTACTGTAACATTGAAGTAACTCATACGCAATGTGGTGAACTTATGTTGAAATTCCATACAAGTATACGATAAATAAAAACATTAAGGATAGATTTTTTTTGATTTTTGTTATTACAGAGAATATCCTTGTGATCATTACACTTCCGTTATAACAGTAACGCTTTTGATGACAGGCTGCCCGCGTGTAGAGGTGCATTCCACTGCTTTACAGTTATTACAAATTTTGGATAAGCGCTTTTTTGGTACCGTTGGTCCACTTCACACTGAAAATGAAAAAGGTATGTTGTTACCATATGAAGTCTATCATAATAGCTAATATAATATTTATTATAAAAAAAATACATTATTTAAAATAGTATGTACTTATACTTATTATTTAATTAAATTATATTAAATTAAAATATGTGATTGTAATTTTTTGTATGACCCTAAATATTACACTGATTAAATGAGTTCACAAATTTTTTCAAATGAAATTATTTATTGGATTTGGTGTAATTTGCTGATACACCAAGATTTTATCTATTGATAGTAATATTTATAAGTTAAGCATTTTTTCTAATTAGATTTCTTGTTTATGCTTTGTGACAATAACAGTAACAAAAAATATACATACATGAAACAATGTTTTATGCGATTGAAAACATACAAACGAGTTTGTACGTATATAATTATATTTTCTATGGATTTGAATAATGTATTATTAGAATGTGAACTATCATTTATAATTTCTAAAAAAATTTAAACCTCATAATACTTGTGGTCAGAGTTTTTAAGGGGTGTAATGCAAACCATCACTATATATCATATGTAAGCTTTAAAAAGATACACAAATTTTGAAATAAATTTTTATCACATATAGACAACATATCAAAAAGTTGTATGTATCTTCATGCCGATTTCACTTTGGTACAGTTTTTGTACTGTTTGACTTAAATTATTTTATTATTTATTTTAATCGTAATACACATTTTACTGAATTTATTTTTTATGTAAGTAAAAAAGAAATATATCAAAAAACATATTTTTTATAAAACTTGGAAATAGGAATATCAATCTATCAGTCATTTAACATGTGACTGTTAAGTATTGAGATAAATTGAAGAAAAAAGCTTAATTGTTATAAGACTTTCCTGAGTTCATATCCGTTGGAGGTGCAGAAAGAATTGCACCGAAATAAAGTAGAAAATAGATACTTCTCAGAAAAAAGTTTTTTTGGGACTTATGAATATTGCTTTTAAAGTTTAGATAAATAACACGAGAATTTTTCACCAATATATCCAACACCAAAAACTTTAAGTTGAGCGTTAAATATAACTTGAAGTGCATGCTGTAGTCGTAGGTGTTTTGTTGACCATATTTAAATAATATGAATATTTCTGGGGGACTGAGAATGAGAAAACTCTTTCAGCATTGTGGCCGCGGTAGACCATAAACGCAATTACTTAAATATTTCTATGGTTCTGTTAAAACTTTTTAACATAAGAAGGTTGAACTTTAATGCAGACTTGTAACTTTTGATGAAATTTTGATCGACTATTACACTCCAAAAACCGACAAATAATAAAAACAGGAATTGAAAAAGTTAAAATTGCATTTATAAAAAGTAAAACTTGTGCTATAGTTTAACTATTCTATTTATTTTTAATTAACAATTCACAAGTCTATTTATTCTGAAACTGTTTTATCATTATAGACAAACATGGTCTACTACTGCTATCTTACTACGTTCTTACCGTTTATTTAAACGTGGTTAAATTTTAATTACTATTTTTAGTTAATTTCTGTTATAACAATACCATATATAAATAAAATAACAATTCACATGTTTTATCCTTTTTAAACTTAATTTTTTACACTTCAGTTCTCTATTCTATTGTCCGCGTACATTTCATGAAACCAAAAACTCAATGCCATAGTAGCAAATAAAAAACTTCTGTAGCACTTCCCCGACTGAACAGGACTAAGCTTAGTTAAAGATTAATTAATAACTCGATCGACTGGGAAGCAAACTTTTCAAGACTGCCTTATATTAAGACTCCAAAAAACTATTTTTTAGCTTTTTTCGCCACGGAAAAGGTTAAAGCATTGATCATGAGATTAGCACATAATCGGAAAATTCCACAAATATCCTGCTATTCAGCGGAGTAATCAAAAATGTTAATTGTACATTTTAAAACGATTGGCCCAATTATTCATTGGAATTTGCCAATGTTAAAAATGCTCAACAAGTAAAACATGCAGATGTCGCAATTATTTAATTGCTAAACACTTACATATCGTATGCTAAAAGTTGCGTTTTAAATAATATTGGATTAATTTAACGAATGGTATTATGCACCAAGAAAAAGGTTCGTAACCAATTGCTGATAAAAATTTAGGGTATCGAGATACACGACACTATTTCAATAATAGTCGCATATTAACTTGAGGCTCTATGTTGCTTAAGCAGTTAAATGAGCTATTGATGGAACACTACTGGTGATGCTATATTACTGAATTTATTAATTCGTAATTACTGAGAAAAGTTGCAATTTGCAAATGAAAAGAGTTTTGTTTTTTAAATCTTAAATCACTAGAGTAGGTTGAGGGTTGACGAAGTGACGATCGAGTAATGTGTTTATATAGGCAGCAGTAAATAAGTTGCAATGAAATATTTAAAAAGGTTCGTTTTTATTAGGCACAAAACTTTTCAAGCATCTACTGATCATATAAATATTTAATAAATGTACGTGTGTGGAAAATCAATATAACCCACAAAAAAGATAGCGCATCACTTTATTGATGAGAATTGCAGTTTCTTAGAAAGTTTCTTTCCTTATAAAGATCAGACGTGTTTAAGATCGAAACGGGTTAACATATCAAAGTGACGTAAAGTATTTTTTATTATTATATCGATATATACATATATATATATCGTAACGCAATTCTGTGAAGTAAATAAACTTCTTTTTAAATGAAATTATTGTGTATTTCTATCATAATTTAGTACTAATTGTGTTCAAACTTCCAACAATACTAATAGAAACTTTTAACCAAGCCATTTCTTGGTTAACCAAGCCTCTGTCCAAGCCATTTCTTTGTTTTATTCTTAGCAGCACTTACAAAGTTTAATTTACTATTTACTAATTACACACATTTACAAATATCACGATTGCAATTTTACACATAATTTGTATAGTATTTAGTCCATGATTTTTCTATTGTTTGATGGAAAATTGAATTTTGAAATGAAACAGAAGAAAGGAGATTATGAACATGATAGTAAACTGTTTACTTTGACAGGTACGATGACCTAAACAATGAAAGGACTTTATTTAAATTGTAATTCCATATTTTAAAAAGCAAACAAAATCATAAATGTGTTAACATATTAGATTACAGATTTATGCAATCGTAAATTTTCAAATTAAAAGGAAAATTATTAAATCAAATAAAAATATTGCTTGCACTGTGCATATTTTTTGTTTGTATATACAGAACGCAAAGAAGTTTTTATTTTATATATTTAATATTTATCATTTTATATGTATTTATCAATATCTACGCATTAAAAAACTGTGTTAGTATGACATTGTCACGGAAAGATTGTAATACTATTATAGGTATGTTGTCAGGCCACAGTCTATTAGCGGCACACGCATACAATAAAGAAAGTACAGACAGCTGGAAATACAAGATACTTTGGAATATCGCTTATACTTATGTCATGTTTAAAATGTTTAGAGCTTCAAACAATTTTAAGAATTGAGCTTTAAGCAATGCTTAGATTTCTAAAAAGCGACGACAACCTATATTTTGCTTTTACAATTCTACATAGAGACTTTGTTCTCTATATATGACTGCAAAAATTAATTTAAATTCTTGTTATATATGTCTTTATTCTATTACTCCTGTCTTATAAAACTGAATTTGAATTACTGGGACCCTTTCAAAAACGTTTAAATGATTGAGAGTGGTGCGACCTTGTGAATGGGTCGTCGCAGCACACCCTAGTTAGTATAGATATCCACAACACGAATTCTTCTGTCTTTCTCGGCTTTGGTTCCAATTATTCTTTTCAGTTATCAACGTTGTGAGAAGTGTTATTGTAAATAATTACCAAACTACCAACAGTGACATTGGCTTCAGGTTTAAGCCATTTCTGTCTACGCTGCAAAGTTTGTAAATATTCATGTTATATTTCCAAAACCGCTGTTTTAAGTACGCGAAATGTTGCCAACGCTTTAAATATGGTGTGTTGGCTACTGTATAATTGGTTTCAGGAAAGGTAATTAGCGAAGAGCCTATTAACAAGTGAGCAGATGTTAGAGTTTATCATCGTTCGTATCATCTGAAAAAGGGAATAGCGGCCGGAAGATTAAGATTACTTCAGCTTCAATCGTCACGGTTTACAATTCTTTTAGATTAGAGTACGTCAAATTTTTTAATAACAATTTTTTGAGTTATTTTGAGTTATTACGCCTCCGAAAAACTACCAAAAGGAGGTCCTCTTGGCGGAATGAACTTGAACTCTCTTAGACTTTGTTGACTAAAAAATTGTTTTTTAAATTTCAGTATCTACATAGTATCTACATGCCAAATAAATTTGTTGTATTGCCACAATAAATGCGCTGCGGTATTCTTCGACATGTTATAAATCGTTTTCGGCCTACAAAAAAATTACTAGTGGATAAATATGTTATTAATTCAGTGTGAATTGCCTTTGATGAAAAAACAAAAAATGCTATATATGTTTTGTATAGAACTTAACAACGAATATAATGTCATATAAAATGATCCGTAAAATCAACTCCTGATATTAGATTGCACACTGGTGCAACCAATCGATCCGGTGACAGCAAACCCATGATTTTGCGTAGCAATTTTGGTTTAAAGTGAAAATAGTAAACGCAATTACGCACTACTTTTAGAACGAATGCTTGAGCAATAATTATTTATATTTGAGATCATATTAAACTGATTAAAATTTTAGCGCCAACATAAATGACAAAATGATTATTAAAATTTTTGTACTTTAAATGGACTCACGTCGCTTAATATTTGAGTTTGCTACAAGAATATATAATATTAGTCGAAAAATACGCATAATGATTAGAAATTGTCAAAAATTTTATTAAATATGTGTTCATCGATACAACTGTTTCTAAATTTCAAGATTGTAAATTTTCGTTGCTCAAGGTCTTTTGCGAGAAACTTAATTGTTCTCAGTTCTCGATGTATCTTTTGACCATTCTGCAAAACCAAATCGAAACCTTCAGCTCGCTTGCTCGACAGCTTCGATATACTCTGTCAGTTGTATTTTGTGACACTGCTTAAATTGGCGCAATCTTTAATTTCGATATCAACAACGATGATTTGTATAAGTGATCGAATACGTATACAACGAAAAATATGCTGTTATATATACTGTTAATTTAAAAAATTAATTTATTTCATAATTGATTAATTTTTTTTATTGAAGATAAAATTGAAACATTTAAATCTGTACTCTTAAAATTACTTACATCTTATGTTATTATATACATCAGATAATCAAGATTTGAGTTCAAGACAATACTGTATATAGTGTATATAAAGATACATACTAATTACGTATATAAGTTTAGGTAATTTTATTTAAATTTTAATACATTCATTAACGTTTGTAATTCTATGCTAATCACAATTCATAATGAAAAACTTGTTCTTCAGTTCCGATTACTTGAGAAGATGCATTTCATGTATTTCATTCCAACAGTGTTGTGTCATCATGCGTCGTCTCGTGGACATACCAGTAGCTCCGCTGTTACGGTAGTATTCTGAAACTAGTAAACAAAAAAAGAGAGGTTATGCATGCATGTCATTAAAATTTTGGCAAAAATTTTTATTTTGGTTGTCGAGAAGATGTAACTCTTAAATGCTTTTTGCTTAATAGAATTTCTTTCGAAAAACAGAAAAACAGCTGCCTACAATTAAATTTATTTTAGAAATATTTCTCGTCTGAGTCTTAGGTATTTATAACGGTTATCTGGTTATTTTTATGTACACTTAATTTTGTTTATTGCTTACATTAATGACATTTAACTACTCAGTTTATTTTATTTAATTTTGTTTAATTTTCTTTAAACTGTAATTCTACATTTCAATTAAAATATCGTCAAAAAGAAAGCAAAATTTTTTTGCAAAATATATGTAATAAACCTGCGACCAGCTAACTAGTCAGCACAAATTATGAATATTTCTATTGCGTTTACGTGGGTCGAAACAGTTTTATAATATAAAAAGGACAGCAGCTGCCAAATGAATATCGTAATTCTATTGTCATTTAGAGGAGCAAAAGGACTATACAACCAAAGATGCTAGTGCGTAAGATGATGTTTTTTAGGTCGAAATGAAATCGTGATACAACTTTAAATATGTCAAGTGTGTCGACTGACTAAGTGACTGCATCACTAAACTATACACAAAATGTTGAAAAAGAAACAGAAAGCCTGAAGCATTATTTATTCGCATACTTTTAAGGAAAATTCGAATGTACTCGTGCTCTCGTTGTTTGTTTTCATTCTGGTTAAAAGAAATATTTTTTATATTCATTTCTAAATTTGATTTATATATACTCTCTAGTACATTTAAATTTTTTCTGCAAATTTTTATTCCTAATTTGTTTTCATTCTTCACATTTCATGTATCCACATGCGTCATAATATGATTTCAGAAATTTTTAGAATTCGTTAGTTGAAATATTTAATGAAATATATACTTTTGAATTTCTGTATTTTTTTATATAAAATGTAATAACGATTATTATTAATCGTTATTATGTTATTATCAATATTCTTTTGTATGCCTTAAGATTGTAATAAAAGCAATTATGTATAGAGTAAACATACAGTAGCATTAAATAATTTTCAAAATATAATTTTATTTTTTTTAATATTTTTACAATTTTAATATAACAATTTTTATTTAATTTTAGAAGTAAAAAAAACAATCTAAAATGAATGAATGTTAGTGAAACTAGCAGTTCGTCTTTAGTCCCTTAAGATAGACTCTTTGCTAACTGTGCTAAGAATCTTAGGTAAACGTATGTTTATTTCGGATGCCTATATTGGTAGCATCAGAAGGGAGTTCCCGTCAGCTCCCTATTGATTAATTAATTCAATTCAAAAGCAACTAGTTTAGAAAAAAAAGTCAGAATATATAAAAAAATTTGTTAAAAATATGAACTTCGAATTAATTCTTGCCGAGAGTGACTCGTCTTTATGACGAAAATAAACTATTTAAAATTTGCCGAGAGTGACTCGCCTTTATAACGAAAATAAACTATTTAAAATTTAGACGGATTCGAATAGCAAAGAAAGACAAGGACAACAATTTATTTAATTTATTAAAATTTGGCTGACCATACAACACTGTTTCGAGTATTGCCAACTACTCATCATCACTCGTCGTAGAAAATATTCGAATTACTTGATTAGTTTATAGTCTGTATTTGATTTAGAACTCGTGCCTGCCATATTAGAAACGGTGACTAATCGTGTTTTTCCTCAAGAAACTTGTTTGGTGCATGAAGAAGATGCATGAAAATACAAATCACGTAAAATATTTAACAAGTCAAATAAAATTTTATATATCCCGGCAGGAAGGCAATGAAGAAAATTTTTGTGGCAGTTTTCTTAAGGTTTTTAAATTTGGAACAAATTTATTTATTGCGTCAATAAAATACATTTTCTTATGCTGTGTCAAATACTCATCCCTGCTCATGACATTAAACAAACATCAAGCTCAACAAAATTTACAACGAAGGACTATGGGTAATGTAGAAATCGTGTAGGATACACCTTGACAGTTTAAATATAATATAGAGTTAAAACTGGTTTTGTATTTACTCTCGTTAAAATATCTTAAGGGATATTCCAAAGTCAAATAATACGATATGAGTACAGGGAGTATAATTTTTACATGATTTTAAAATAGTTTTTTTTACATTTCAACTGCTTTCATTTTATGTGAAAGCTCATACTCATGAGTACTCTTAACTATGCTTCACCACTAAGATTGACCACAAATACACTCTGATGTTCTTAAAGTATCTTCTACAAGTGTTGAGGTTTGATAACTGGTGATTCAGTATGTGATGGCATTCAATTATCAAGTGACAAATACACTATCAACCACAGAAGCTAATCGATTTATGTTCCATGCCTTTTATTTTTGTTCATATTTACTTCGGTTACGCTAAAAATTTCATTATGTGTCATTATTTTTGAAGATAAAATTAAAGAACTTCGTATGCATCAGCTGGCGGCAAATATTCATCATTTTATGTTTATCAATGTCGTTGACAATCAACTGTTATCACCATTCCAGCCTAGGAAAAGGCAGCATGTCATAGGCACTGTTTTTGTCAGTTCGCCTGTTGTCGTTGTTTGTTACTGTTGTCTTAGTTAGCATGACATTAAACGCTATTTTCATTGGCTCAATTTTTTTAAACTTTATTACAGTATTGAGTTTAGTATGAAATTTAGCAGGAATTCGTCAGGAAACTGACACAGTTTCTTCTATTTTGTCTGTAAATTTATGCGGTATTTGTTTAAATATTTTATAAATTTACTAAATTGCTTTCAGTCATATTTTCGTTAAAGTTTTCATTAATATTTACTCTCATCATCAAAGCAAATATTTTTACTCAATTAAAAAAAATAAACTTGAAAGTTTAGTTAACTTTTATTCTTATATTTTACAAAAATTTATTTCTTTTGTTAAATTTATTATCAACAAATTTTCAAATATTTAAGTGTGAACTTGTGAAATTTCAAGTTACTTGAGCTTTAGTTGAGTAGAGTTAAGAGTTTTATTACATTTGCTTCTTTGGTTGCTATATTTATATGGCGGCATGTGGCGCCTCTTGTAATTCAATTAAATTATATGAAATTATTATTTTGTCAAATTTGATGCTCATCAGGCCAAGAAATGAAGCATAATGTACTAAGCAAACATACATGGATACAAATTAATATGGAGACTGTTTGAAGAAGGCACACTTGTTGGCTTTTGTCCTAATTTTATTATTGGTTTTATGTTTATAATAAAAATGTCTTTAAGGCTGATATGCGAGACTGATAAAGACTGATAAATCAAATTACATTTTTTATCGCAAACACGTATGATAAATCAACAAAACATTTCAATTTTTCAGCGTTAAGGTTATTGCGATAGGTAAGGGTGGTAAATGTGAATACGGGACTAATAGTAGGCGATTTATAAATGTTAAAAGTTATAAAATTGTAGAGCAATAATTTTTATTCCATATTGTTTTGTTTCTAATTTCCACAATTGTTTCTAAATCGTTTTTGATGTAGTATTTAATAAAAAGTTTTATTTGAAAGAGATTAATATGATATTCAAATTATATTATATTTACTTTTGAAAGCAATATACTCACATTATTATTGCTATTACTTTTCAGTAAATGATAAATGAACATATTTTGATATACCTATATATTTTTGCATTTCCTTCACATATTAATATTGTATTATCTTATGAACATTGTTTATAAAAAAAAACTTCCTTCTATTATTCACCGTTATCTTGCTTTTTTTTTCAACACAAACGCCTCAAATTATCTCATGCGTATGAGTATAAATAAAAACATATGTGAATTTTTATGGAAGAAAACACCAAATAGCTCGCTTTAAACTTCGGTCAGAAAAAACTGTTCGTGGAACATTAAGATACATTAGGATATATAAGATATAGGTATATGAAAAATCATAATTGAATAAAAACCCTTTTGATCCACTTTAACTTCTGAATCCATTAAAGTAAAATAATGAATTATAACGTACATATGTTATTAGAGGATACATAAAGAAATAAATAATAAATGAGCTAAAAAATTGTATATAAGTTAAGTAATTTAAATCAACTATTTTCAAGATATTGAGAGTCTCATACTGCAATATCAACATGAGTTGTTTTCGTTGTTTCGGCCGAAATTCAGAATCAATTCAGAAGTTAAATGGATATTGTAACTATATAGTACTATTTGAACTGTTTAAATGTAAAATATTTCGAGTAATGTACCATCACAATCAGCTATTTTGTTTTCAATGTCTTACTGGAATTAGAGATATAATTTTGTGACCAGAATAATTCACTAGAAAAATAAAAAAATATATATTTACTTTGCGTATTGGGGCTCTATCTTCTACTAAGAGAAAAAGATGACTGATTTCATGATATTCTTTTTAATTTTACAGTTTATTTTTAAAATTGTCGTAAAGCTTCTTTTGAATTAAAAATTTTTTTTTTCAAAATATTTATATATATATATATTTTTCTTTGAATTGCTTATAGTGCATAAATTTTCAGTTATTTTATAATAAAATCAAAAGTTTACTAAATTTCACTTGCTCACAAAAAGATACAAGTAATAAAATCGCAAATTGCAATAAAATTTATATTTATGATATATTTTATAGACAACTTTTTACACGCGTGAATTTTACATAAAAAATACTTGAATTTGTTAACGTCTTTAAGACCATTCAGTGACATTAAAGGTGTCAAGTGATAATGTTACAGTACACATGTCAACGTATTGGAGCTGTTATCCTTTAGGCTTGCATAAACTTGCAATTTTTATTAACTTAGACATTTGAACTGAGAGTGATAATATCATACATAATCCTGGCAGGCGTGTTTTACTCGTACTTTCAGATGTTTTATGCAAATAAAAGCAAAGTAAATTATTTCGGATAAAAGTCTTAAAAACAAGCAATTGACGTTTATTTAAAAAAAAATGTAAATATTAACAACTTATATACACACGAGTGAGATTCAGAGGTAAAAACGAAGCACACAAGTAGGTGTGTCTTAACTGTTTCCGGCACATTAATTCACACACGAAAAGTTTTAAGCAAACAATATTAAAAATTAAAATACAATAAAAAAGTGGTTGAAAAATTTCATTAAAATAAATATAAATAAAAAAAAATAAAGAAGCATTATCATAATATTGATTACAAAAGTTGATTGCTTGCATTTTTGATGACTTGATTGATTACTGTACTAGGTGTACTAGGTAGGCGTAATGCTCCAAATACCAATGCTTCAAATTAAAAACCAACAAAGTTACCACCAAACCAAAGGTAACTATGTGAGTTTCATTCATTGATATTCATAAACCTTAAATTTCAAAAAATGTTTGCTCGTGTTCATGCAATTGGCATCCCTGGTTCTTTAATGAATTTTAAACATGTTAGGATCTACATCTTTATATTAAATAGCACTGTGTATGAAATTATTATCTAGTTTCAAAAAATATGAAATATTTTCCAAATTGAATGAGTTTGAATATAATTCCATACGTACTTCACACATACATATACCTATGTATGTTGTATGTTGAATGCTGGTAAAACAGTGAATTGATAAAAAATTCTAGGTAATACTTAGAATAGATTTTATAAGAATTTCGTAGATTTGATAAATTCCTAGTATATGTATTATGCAAGACATAAATAAGAAATGTTCATTTTATTTTTTTTACGAGAGCGGTTTGATAAGTCAGTGACTTTTTGAATAAAACAAATTCTTTTCGCAAATAAACATTTTATTTTTCTACATAATCATCTTTTAGCTCGATACATTTAGTCCAGCGTTTTTTTAATTTCCTTATAATAAACATTTTATTTTTCTACATAATCATCTTTTAGCTCGATACATTTAGTCCAGCGTTTTTTTAATTTCCTTATTCCCTCCAAATAATAATAGCGTTTGTTTCGGTAGTGACTTCTTCATTCGACTCAAATCTCTTACCGCCCAGCCATTTCTTTAGGTTTAGAAACAGAAAATAGTCGTAGGGGGCTTAATCTGGAGAATATGCTGGATGGGGTAGCATTTCGTATCCTAATTCGTGGATTTTGGCCATCGTGACTAAACAAGTGTGCACACGTACATTGTCTTGATGTTTTTTCATATCCAAATATTCGTGTAAAATATGATGTGCCCGTTCAGTTGAGATACCTAGAGCATGAGCCAATTCACGCACTTTCATTTTCCGATCATCTAATATCATTTCATGGATTTTATCGACGATTTCCGGCGTGATCACTTCTTTTGGACGACCTGATCATTCGGCGTCACTAGTGCTGGTACGACCACAACGAAACTCTGTAAACCACTTCTTAACCATTGAAATTGATAGTGCCGAGTCCCCGTAGTATTTATCAAGTCTTTCCTTAGTTTCAGTGATGGATTTTTGACGCAAAAAGTAATGCTTAATCAGTATACGAAATTCACTTTTTTCTATTTTCGTAAAAATTCACGAGGTTAACTGCTTTGAACGGATATCAAACACCAATTGAACGACGTAGCTTGCTCAAAATTAGAAAATTGCAAATTGGTAGATTACAGCTGACAGCAGCACTGTTGCATTTGGAGTTACTGCGCGGGAAATTCACAAAATTTCCTGACTTATCAAACTGCCCTCGTAAAAAATAAAATGAATATTTCTTATTTATGTCTTGCATAATACCTATACTAGGAATTTATCAAATCTACGAAATTCTTATTAAGTCCACTCTAAGTATTGCCTAGAATTTTAACGTAGTTTTTTTTTTTTTTAATTTTCGAACTTTTCTTCTTCTTGCGGTTTGTTTTTGGAGAAAATTCTACTATTAAAGACAACTTTTGTAACGAATATATCTCATTTATACAAACACATCACCGATGTTAATGACATAAGCTATCTACTTTAAGTCAGAATGGCAATTTTTGAGCATACCTAATTCTTTTTCGATGATTTCAAGAAATTGAAGGACGTCCAAAACGAATAATGTCTTTGATAATATTTCAGTCTTTTTAAATGGTTCGTATTATTTGTAAGCTCATGTTTTAGAGGGTATCGGTATTGATATAGTACAAGTATAATAATTTGAATAATTCTAAGGAGTTGGTATGAAAAAAACAACCGCAGCTCACCATCTGCTGAACAACTTCGTTTGTTGATAAAATTGACATGCACTATTGGATTAAACTATTGGATTCAAGTTCTAACTTGCTTAGAATTTCTTCAAAATTAAGTTTATCAATTGCATGATTTACATATTTAAACTTCTAAGTGCTGTTCCCCTTGAACACTTAAAATGAGTTGTTAATATGTAGTTGTTCAAATTCATTTTCAAATTCATTCATTTAATTGCATTCACAAAAGAATTTAAAGATAATGGCATTTTGGTTTACCTGTAACTTGTGTGGTTCCGTCTCTGTGAGATACACGTTGAAACATTGATAGTACGGCTTTGCTGTTGAAAAATTTAGAAAACATGTACAAATATATTTAAGAATTTGAAGCATTTAATTTTTAGCAAAATAGGTATATTCATAAATTTTTCATTCCTATCTAAATGTAAAAGAGTGCAGTATAATTGATATTTTATTAACTGAAATGGTTTGGTCCTTTATTTGAAAAATAAAATTCGTTTTAAATTTATTAAGTGTTACATTATTGGTTATATTGGTAAATATTTTTTAATGTTTTAAATTTCAATATATGGCAAACGGCTATAGACTATTCACGATAGAATCTGGCATTGAGTTATTACTCAAGTTTAGTTTATTTTTGTTCGTCATAACTTTATTTTATACAGTTAGACAAATCAATTTGGTCTGACAAAAAACAATTGTGTTTGACAGAAATTAAAATCCACTTAATTTATTTAAAAAGAGAGTCGTTTTCTGAATCAGTAAAGAAGTGAGTGATTAAGAATATTGACTCAAATACCGTTCAAGATGTTGGTAAAACCATTTTAATTGGTTTAATGCTGTCAAATCAGGTGAAATCAGGATTGGGAGAAGTTGAACTTACCGATTCATGTAATTATCAGATTTCAGTTTATCAATAAACATGCGGCTTATTATTTATGTCCGCATGACCGCTTTTAAAACCCATTAAATACTCATTAACCCTGTTATAAAATAAACAATCTTCACCATAAGTTTAAATGAGATTTTCTGTGTTGATAATCACCTGCGGGCATATTACGCAAACATACTGTCAATTTAGACATAATAACTTTGTTTATATTCGTACAAATGTCATCACATTTTGGCAATTCATCAGTAAAGGATCTATCTAAACGATAAAGGCAATAAAGGCATTTGTAACTAATAACGCTTAAGCTTGAATGTACTGTAAACCCTAAATAGAAATGTTTTAATATTACATTAACATTTATTTGTAAATTGTATGTAATATATATATTGCGGGCTAGAACAAATCTTTATACCCATATTATATTATATTCCACTCTTAAGTACTTAAAGCGCATCTGCTTTTATAAGTCTTCAAGCTGTAGTACTCACCGAAAATTTTGTCCACTCACACAATATAGTACAAAATTTATTCCAAAATTCGTTATGAAAAGTAATTGAAAAATGTATTGCAGGACCACGGTGGTTTTTTCATTTGCAGATGTTTGAGTCTGTAATATATAATGAGCAGAAATATTAAAATGATCAAAATTGTACAATAATACAATATTTTTAAAATTGGAAATAAAAACAATATTTAATTTGTAATTAATTTTAAATCTGATAAGTGACTGAGAAATATTATTCTGCTTATGATAAACTAACAAATGTTTCACATTAAAATTAATGTATAATTTTGAATTCAAAACAATTCAACATGTCCGATTTGAAAGGACATCTTTTGGAAGTCGAACTTGCGTAATATTAATTATATTTAAAATATGATACGAAGAAATAGTCTAGTTTTATATAAATACTTTTATGAAAATCTACTAATTTATGATTTTCTAATTCTATAATTTTTATACTTTAGTTTTATATAAATAAGATTGAAAATATCAAACAGAATAGTTAAAACTTGTTACTTTTTTGCGTGATCTTATAAAAAAAGCATTATATTGTTTTCTGTTGTTGATTCAACTATATAACACACTTTTTATTAAATTAACTGATAATGAATAATTCGTGTTAATATAAAGTTTCTAACAAAAATGACAATACTTTTAATACTGCTAAGATCTCTATACGTAGGAATACATAATATTTTTTTTTAAACTTTATTACTGAAAATATGTAACTGAACATACTGAAAATACATATTCGCCATGTTTTTGATGTTTCAATTTTTCAATATTATTTATAAAAAAGCAATTTTCAAAACTCATTATATTATTATTTTCTATACATAGTTACTTTCATCATTTAAGTTTTTATTTATTTTCTCAATCGGTTTCAATTACTGTCGAGTACTTGAAACAATTATTCCTAAATTTCTCTGTTTTGAGATGTCTTTTGTCTCTTATCTTAATAATACTAATATTGTCCACGTGGTTTACAAAATTTTAATGTGGGTTACCTTTTATTTTTGAATTTTTTCATGGTCGTTCTGATGTTTCATTACATTTAATTATCGTTAATCAAATTCCCTAAACTTCTTCTAAATGATTATTATGTTGTTTCGTATTTCTTATATTTATCCTATTATTTTTATAAATTTCAGTAGCATAAATCTCATTCATTATAATAAAAAAATTTAAAAGAAATATTTAATTATTTAAATGTTATCCTTTTTAAATAAAATTTTCAATGCCAGAGAATTATTTTTGACTTTTTTCATTAAATATGCGACATTTATGGTACTATGTTTACTTTTCGTTTGATAATATTCCATAACAATTTTATAAAGATTGATTGAATAGTATCCGATTGCATTCAAAACAAATAAACATATACATATATAAAATGTTGTCGATTCATTTTTATCCTTTTCTCTGTTAGGTGTTGCAATTCTTTGCAAGTTTGGTTGAAATATGGTTTGAAATATTGCTTAAAAAACGAAATAATAATATTGTTTTTAAAAGTATGTTCAATTGATTTTATTTTATATACGTATGAGTCATTTGCCACAATGTTAGAGACCTATATAATTAAGTTTCCCTTCTAGAAAATCCAATATTTACACATGCAGTTACTGCCTCCTTATGGCAATTTTTATCCGGATTGTGGTTGATTTACCTTGTACAAGGCATAATTTGCAAAAAACTTGATCATTTTGCTTAGTTGATATGTTAAGTATTTTCTGTTCCTTACGAAAATGTTAACATATAATTATTAAAGAACTCTATGAAATAATTTACTCAGCAAAATTAATGTTTACATGCACATATATTGTATCTATAGGTATGTAATATTATTGAAATATTGACAGGAAGCAATTTAAGCAAATTAATGAAATTGTATATCAATACAGTTTTTTTGTTGTATTTCATGTAGTTTTAATAACACTTTCACTAATTTTCATTCAATATTTAGTTTTAGCTTGTCAGATAACTACGTATTAACTTAATTCAATTTGGTGCTGTTTACTGAAGTGAACATTTTTACAAATATATAACGAGAGAGAGAGAGAGAGAGAGAGAGAGGGGAATAAATATGCCTTAATCTGATTAAGCCATTATTATTATTTATTATATATCCAGTTTATATACTCAGTTATTTAATTTATTATTTAGTTATGTATAGATATATGTGTATTATATATATATTTATAATAATTCTTAATTCACATTAAAATACAGCCTACTATATTAAATTTGCTCAGGGCTAGGCTTTACATATCCATTCATCTGTAGTACTTAAGTAAAAGAATCTAGTTTTTGTTCAACATTTAAGAAATAATCTCAATACAGTTCATTTGTTGTGTGAAAAAAGTAAATAAATTTAATTATATTACAGAATAAGAGAAAGAACATTATATTTACAAACGAATTTCCAAAATATTTATATAGAATATTTGACACTGAAAAAATTAGTATTAGAACAAAGAATATCATGAAACTTGTTCTTATCAATAAAACATATAAATTTACTTCTAGTTATTTTTCTCTTAGTCCCCTTTTTTTAAGAATTAATATTTTTATTTTACGAGAAAATTTAGGGCAATTTTAAAAGAAAAAATTTAAATTAAACTTCAAGTGAAATTGTTTGTCACTTTTATGCTTGAGAAATTATTTTATGTAGGTTGTTATATAAGCACATGGCTACTTCAAAATTTAATTTATTTGTTTAATTTATTACTTGGAATCATTATTTTTGTATAGGTCTAAAGAAATTCCTGCAGTTTATTCATATCTTATGAATATTAAGAACATTTATTTACTTTTTCTTCATTCGTTAGAAAGTTTGATTTAAATTTTTCATTGATATCTTCAGTATGCTTTGTATCACTCCAAATCATTCATTTTTTTTTGTCATATTTGTATAATTTTTTGAATCCCTCTTTAAATCGAATTTTATTTGTAAATTTTTACGATTTTTATATCATTTATTTAAGACTTGCACCTTAACAATCACCTTCGGGACACTTTCTTTAAAATGTAGATTTTATTTATTATATATTAACAATGTGTTACAAAAGTTCAATTGTGCCTAATGTCCTTTATCAATGGAAAATATTTTGATAGGTGTCATATTTTCAAGCTTTTCATTACAATCCTATCTTTTTCTACCCTGCACGCCCTTAATATGAAAAGGGTATGTTGAGTTCATTGAAATGTTTGCAACGGATAAAAGAAACTTCTACATTTTTAAAAGTTTATATATTGCACTTTATCACCATTCTGTTTGCTGTTAATGAAATTGGAATTAGTTTGGTCAGATTGTGATTGTGATATTGTGTATTTACAAATAATTGACCAACTCAAATTAAATCAAACATTAGAGCAAATAATCGTTTGAAAACTTTTACTTTTGTTAGTAAATGAACTATTTTGTACTTTGTCTGAAGGGTATTTAAACGTAGACAAAGTTGAAACTTTATTTTTATTTAAAATCAATGAGATTTAAAGTACACAAAGACACTAAATAGAAATATAAATATAAATATTAGTAGGTATATTTGTAACGTAATGTGTGCCAATAAATTTAAATAAATAAGAATAGTGACAGTTCCGAAAAGCTATATGTAACCATTGCTTTGATTAGTTATTATATATGGTGGGACGTTGGGACAGCGCACTGTCCAACAAGTGGCCCCACTGAAGTGAAGGATTAGTCGAAGTAGACCACGAAACGACTTGGGTCCTTTTTCGTCCTTCGATTCTCGGATGTTGTTATTGAGTTAAAGCTGGAGTGGCTTCCGTTCGCATAACTACATCTTTTGTTAATGCAAGCATCTCATTTAGCTTGAGGTTTCCTGCCAAGTCGTCACCAACCCAATGGTGTCCCAAGACAGTCTTCCTCCTACTTGCCAGTGCTGGACATTGGCACAATATATGCACCGCTGTCTCCTTTTCTTCTAGACATAGTCTGCAAGTGTCTTCCTCAGCTAGAGTTATCTTTTTGAGGTGATACTTGAAGTTGCCATGTCCAGTAATTAGTGAGGTCAGCCAGCTTAGAGTGCTCCGCGAATAGCTAAGCACTTTTATCGCTTCCCTGGCCCACGGTTTAGGTAACATGAGTTTGGTCTGTCTACAAGTGCTCAACTCTCTCCATCTATTAAGATGAAGTGAGATTATCCACTTATTGACATAGGCTGCCGTCATGCTGTACCCCAATGGTATTCTGGGCTCCGGGCCACAGAAATTATGGCTTGATCCTTGCTTTGCAAGTTCATCTGCCTTCTCGTTTTGCTCAATACCGATGTGTCCTTTAACCCACATGATCGTCATCTCATTTCCATGAGCACATTCCATGAGCTTCGTTACACATTCTTGTACTAAGCTGTTAGTTATGTATGTCTTTTGCATGCTTTTGATAACTGCTTGGTTGTCCAGCGCTATCAGAATCTTTTTCTGATATACCTGACAATCCAATAGGTGATCCAGAGCATGTGAGACCGCCATAAGTTCCGCTTGATAGACGGAAACATATATTCCTAGATGTAGAGTGCACGTTAGATTTAGCTCTTTCGAGTAAACCCCAGCACCAGCTCTGCCATCCATTAAGGAGCCATCGGTAAATATGCAAATGTCATTCCTTCCACATTCATTATGTAGAAGGCCGTCTACTATCAGTGTTCTGTAGGACACTTCTGCCCCATAAACCCTCCTCATAGTCTCCAATGGCATCTGCGTTTCCTTGACCGCGGCCTGGACGAGATCAAGAATCTTACGATGGCCCACTAATTTTCCGAAGTTGTTCCACGTGGAGCTCCGGTTCATGCGAATTGCTGCCAGTGCCGCCGTTTTCTTTATATGTAAATCCAACGGAAGCAAGCCTAGCATCGCCTCTAATGCCGGTGTTGGTGTAGTTCGCATAGCGCCTGTTATTCCAACACAGGCTAGTCGCTGGACTCTATCTAACTTCGTCTTTATTGTCTTTTGGGTGACTTTACACCACCAGACAACTGACGCATATGTTATAATAGGTCTGACCATCATGGTATAGATCCAGTGCATCGATTTTGGGGATATCCCCCATCGTCTTCCGCACACTCTCTTACATTGAAATA